GGAGGTCGACGAGCGAATTGCCTGACTCTTCGCCGGGGTAGTGCGCCGCCAGGATGGCCGTCACGTTGGGGTGATCGGCGAAGGGCAGCAGGTTGATGCCCGCCGAGTGGGTGACCACCACCGTGTTGTTGCAGTCGCGCGCCACGGCCTCCACCACCGCAGGCCCATCCCAGTCCAACTCCAGCGAGCTCCGGTCCTCGTTCTCCTGCGACCAGCTCTTCAGGAACACCAGACACACGTCCGGCTGCTGCGGGTTCCACAGCGAGGCTAGCCCCGAGGTGGTGATCAAGGTGTTGTTCAGCCACGACTGCACCAGCGCCCCGTCCTGCCGCGCCCGCGCCGTGATCGCCTCCAGCGGCGTCGACAGGAAGCTGAACCGACAGGTGCCCGACCCGCCGGCGTTGGCCAGCGTTCCGTACTCGAAGTCGTTCTGGTTCGAGGCTCCCTGCGTCATGGGCCCGGCGTCGTTGCCGACAATCACGATGTTCCGCGGCTTGCGCAGCGGCAGGGCGTTCCGCTCGTTTTTCAACAGCACGGTCGAGGCCGCGCCATGTGCACGGATGAGTTGGCTGTGGTTGCCGCGCACGTCGCGGTTCTGCTCGCCTGTGAACTGCCAGTCGTACAGCCAGGTGTCCGGGGGTGAGTCGATGTTCAGCGGGCCGACGGAGGCATCGACGCTGGGGTAGGCGGGATTGTCCTGGCCCAGCCAGAAGTACGGAGTCATGATGCGCACAATCATGTCATCCAGGCGAGTGGTGGCGACAGAGCCATTGCGTACCGCCGCGGTCAGGTTCTGGCCGAAGTAGGAGCCCTCGGTCCACAGCTCGCCGTAGACGGTGAATCCGCCGGGCATGGTCATGTCCATGCCGCTCTCGATGGAGGCGACACCACTGTGGGTGGCGCCCCAGTCGGACATGACGTAGCCCTGGAAGCCCAGCTCGGTCTTGAGCAGGTGATTCAGGGCGTATGAGTTCTGGCAGGCGTGCGACCCATTGATGCGGTTGTAGGAGCACATGACGCTGGCGACGCGGGCGCGCAGGGCGTTGGCGAACGGCCACATGTAGATCTCGTGCATCGTGCGGTCATCCAGGTTCGAGGAGACCGAGTCCTGGATGTAGGTCGTCGCGTTGGCGTCGGGGGCGTAGGTCGGATTGCGCTGGGTCTCCTGCTCGTAGGCGACCCAGTGCTTGGCGTTGGCCTGCACGCCTTCGTCCTGAATGCCCCGGATCGTCTCCTCCATGCACACCCCGGTCAGGTACGGGTCGGCGGCGAACCCTTCCCAGGTGCGTCCGTTGTACGCACTGCGCCCCAAGGGGCCGCCGATGGGGCCCAGCACCACGTGTGTCCCCTTGGCCTTGTGCTCCTGGGCGATTGCCTGTCCGCGCGTGTACAGCAGGTCGCGGTCCCAGCTGGCGGCCGCGGAGACCCCACTGACGAAGACGCTCGAGTAGTCGCCCTGCTCCAGGCACTGTGGTCCGTTCTGCAGACAGAGTCCGGTGAAGTTGAGGCGTGGGATGGGCAGCACGTTGCCGACGCAAGGGCCCGGTTGGCCGGTGGCCATCCAGGTCTTCTCCTCCAGAGTCAGTTGGGAGACCCAGTGTTTGGCCTTGGCTAGCGCCTGATCCCATCCGCCAACGCCGGTGATGTTGGCTGGGCGTGGGGAGAGTCCGTTAGCGGGGAAAGAGCCGTAGAAGCAGAGAGGACCTACGGGAAGGATAGACCGCCGGGGAAGAGCCGTAGGGTGTCAGAATGGTGGTGTTGAGCGGCTGCACATGACTGAATGGCTTGCCAGGATGGTTGATAGGGGCCTGGCAAGTGCTTGCATGGACTGAGGGAGCCAGCAGCGCCCCTGAGAGGAGGAAGGCGTAGTCGGGTGAGACCTTCATCGCAATCAGATGGGCCTTGACTGGAGGAACTGAGGTCGCTGTTGAGGACTGGATTCAAATGCAATGAGACGTCCACGGGACCCTCTATTTATTTACCTCGAAGTACGCTGTGACACCAAACGGGAAATACGGCATAGCGATGTTGCATTGATGGATCGCATCATTATCATCATCATCTTCATTAGGGCTCGGGATGAAGTCCAAAGCCGGGGATCGGCCTCGTGCCGAGTCCTCGACCCCGACCAACCCCAACGCTCCACAAATCCCACCCGTGGGGGTTACATGCGGGTGCGGGGACTGTCGATGACTCAATGGCCTCATATCTCGTCTCCACTTTCCATGTACTCAGTATAATTGATCATTTGCCGAAGTTTTGCCGAGAGAAATTTCCCTGGCGCGGTCGATGACGTAGGCGGGTTAATTGTTCATACGCAATATTGCTAGCGAAATTGAATCTGGACCCCGTTCAAGTGATGGTTGAAAATACCGTGAATCCTGTACATTCTTAAGGAGTTACATAACTTAGCAAGTAAGTCGGATGGTGGCCGGCTACGGGCTCGGTCCGATAACCGGAAGGGTTGTCGCTGATTGCGGCAGTCCCCGCTTTCTTCCCCCTCGTGTGAATTGCCGCTTTCATGTAGACAAAAAAGCCTTCAACTGATTTCCGACAAGCCTCATGAGAAGAAGGAGTGAACCAGAGAGTGGTATGTTTATCTTCCGAGCCCAGACATCAAGGCACCACACGTACACGATGTTCACGATGTATATAACAACATATAACAGATGTAATTTATTTTTATTTTATTTTATTCCTTATTTTTTTTTCACATTTTCTGGTTGGCCGAAATTGATTCGCATGGCCTGTCCAAGAGGCCACTGGGTAGTAAGATAGTGAGTGAATGAATGAGGGTTTGTCCTCCTAAGAAGGCCCTCAAGAGGGTGAGGGTACAACACTCACCGTAATTTCACCTTCCTGTTCTCGTCTACACTCAGCCTCAGATTCTCGAAGGAGTATTTTGTCAAACAGCTGGAACCAATCACCAGGGAAGAAGTATGGATCGTCTGCCGTACACTGATTAAGACTGAGCTGAACCCCTTGTGCACAGTCGTCGATCACAATCTTTATCATATGGTATCCAATAATCTTCGGTCCTGGTTCATCAATGCCGACCTTGAGTACATCCCTCGGCCCAGCGCTGGGGCTATGGAGCCGTTCCCCCGTGCCAGAGAATCCCGTGACGACCTTGGTCCCAGTCACCATATACAGTGTACAGCTGCCGCCGTGTTCCTCCAGCAGTGCTTGAATAGCAGGATCCGTCAGGCGGGCCTCGACTGTGCTCTGGCTGGGCATAGACTCAAACATATAGTCCACGACGCTGTCGAGGCGCCACGTTACCGTCCAGACCACTGATCCCTCATGTATAAGAGCCGCCGAGGGCATCTCCCCAATCCCAGGCGGAAGGTTTAGCTCAGACGATAACCGATCATTAGTGACTCTAATTGACATCGGTGCACCCCTCCAAACTCGGGGGTACTTTTCCTCAAGCTCAGCCGCTGTGACTGTTGTGAGTGGTCGATGGGGCTCGCCAGGGTTCACCAAGATATTGCCTAAGCGAATCTGGCCACCGGGAGCGTGATCAAAGCTCTGGACCAGCGCCCAGTTGTTGTTTATTCTGTCAAAGTTCAAAAATTCACTTACACCACGACTCATGATGGATGGGATCTGGATGAATGTTGTGGTGAGATTGGTGAGGTTGTTGATCTCGGTGGGTTGAGGAATTGCAGTAGGTGGCAACACGCTGTGCTTTAAATACACTTCCGAAAATGCCAATTGCAGCATCTACTGGATCTGATCAGGCTTTGTTTGCTTTTGGGTCACGGCGAGCACCGGTTCCACTATCTCCGTGCCATAGGGCAGCTTTATGTCTTCCTTGACTGGCCCTTTATCATCTCAACAGGATTAATTGAATGGTACTTTTCTATGCTGACAGAACCTATTGAGGAGGCCCCGGCAGTCTTTTATCCCCTTCCCAAGCACTGACGGCACAATGAAAGATGGATTGTCTCACGAAAGAGCGAGGTGCTTCATCGCCAAGGTGGGCTGAGATAGGGCCACAATAAGCTTAGTGCCATGTGGGTCAACAAGTAAGATTCCCGGTTTTCCGTGGATCGGAATTGGTGTGTGTACTGTTCGCGGTTGCCCTGGTCTTGATGGCGATGCCTGGGATACTTATGGTCCGGACAATGACAACCAAAGACAGATAGCCACAATGGGGGCTTACCTTCCACAACTCTTTGCATCCCAAGCCAAGCCAAGCCACGTCGCTACCACTTCTTCCTTTCCATGCATTTGGACTGCCGGCCAGCTCAAACCGCCCTCCCTGCGAGACAGGAACCGGACTCATACCGCTGAGCTCTGACTGCAGGAATCTCCTGCATGCCCTTGTTAACCGGCCGACTTCCACGTCTCCCAAGCGATTGCCATGGCTCTCGCTAGGCACTCTGTGACGACGTCCGATCCCTACTCCCCCCTCCTGACTGGGGGCTAAGTAGCATTGGAAGCGGCTCAACATGATACAGTAACCGGATCGGGGTGCAACGCAACTAGTGGTAGAGATGAGGATGACGTGGAAGGGGACGGACGGGGACATAGGGTAAACATAGATGTATATGTATTGTAGTAGTAGTGGGTTCATTGACAAGTATATAAGGAGTGGGAAGGTGGTGCGGTGCTGTCCTTGCCGGTCACGATCCGTTACGACTGCAAGTGACCCTTATAATCATAATCAGCATGCAACCCTTGTCAGTTAGGAATGTGCTTGTACGAGTAGGATGGGATAATGGTAGGATCCCTGGACTCAGTCAGTCTGATAACCGGAGCGTTGCTGATGAATTGCTTTGCGAATTGCCGCCTTCAATGTCTTGTTAAATGCCCTCAGAGGCATCAAGGCACCGCCTGCCCGAAGAAAGGCCAGAGAGATTTGGGGTACCAGGTAGTTAAGTTGGTATAAGGATGTCAGATGTCTTGGATGTAAAATTTATAATGGGTTCATCTTTTTGAATGGTATTTTATCTGTTATGCTGGGTCATATCAAGACGCATACCAAATGCATATCAGATTTGTCCCTCAGGAAGGGGAGATGCGCCCATCGTAACTTCACCTTCTTGCTCGCTCATATACTCGGCCCCGATCTCCTGGTGGAGTAGTCGGTGGGCGACATCGGCCAAAGAATCCGGAAAGAAATATGGATCTTCTCTAGCAGGGCGGTAAACGCTGAGCCTAACCCTTCGTGCAGGGTCTATCACAACCTTAAGCATTCTGTAGGCGAGGATTTTGGGGCCTTGGTCCTTAATAATGACGTTGACACCATCCTCTGGACGCCCCTCCCGAAGGTGATATCGTTTCCCTTCGATAGTGATATTTTCAGCGATGAAAAGAGAGTTCACTAGATACAGCGTACAGTCGCCGCCGCTACGTTGCTCCAGCAGTGCTTGAACCGAAGGGTCATTTATCAAGCTGGCCTCAACTACCTCCTCCCTGACCCATAGTTGGCGGAAACAACTGATATGGTGATCCCCAATGGACAGCCTCGTGTCCCAGAGCAATAATCCATCATGAGAACGAGCCTCCGGGGAGATCTCCACTCCGGGTTCGGGGGTATCGTTCAATCTCCACATATTATGGGTAGTGTAGTACCCCACCGATCTCGCCGTGATAACTGGTGGATAGCCCTCCTGCCCCTCGGATGCCGGGACTCTGGTGAGCGGCCGATGAGGCTCGCTAGGATTCACCAAGATATTGCCGACCCGAATCAGGCCATCCGGCGCGTGATCAAGGCGTGAGACCAGCGCCCACGCGGGGGACATGTCGCGACCGATTCCTGAAGGCATAGTGAGGGATCTGAGATGCGGTTGTGGTGAGATGTAGTATCCAGGGGTGATTTCAGCCAGCTTAAATACCCTTCCAGCGATGCAGACCGCAGCATCCCCTCCAACTTGACCAGGCTTTGTTGGGCCGTAGGGTCACGACGAGCACCGGTTCCGCCAATTCCGCGTTACATTGCTGCTTGATGTCATCAAGTTTGGCCAGGGGGATTCTGCTCACTGTCTTTCACCGACTCAGTTTCATCCTAGCTAGAAATGAAGGGTACTTTTCAACTCTGATGACATAACTGACAACGAAAGATAGGTTGCCTCGCAAAGGAGCGAGGTGAATTAGAGATTGCTGTCTCCCGTGGATCAAGAGTGAAGTGTGTATTGTTTGCGATTTCCGGTCTTTGTGGCAATACCAGGGATGCCGTGAATGAAACAAACCCTCATGATCTGAACAATGATAATCAAGGTCAATATAGTGATGGAAGCCTTGTAGTGAATGAATTGCACTTTGCACTTGCTCGTTCATTATTTTAATCCATCGATGCCGTTCTTTATGGAATCCTTGTTTTGTCTTTAGTGTAGTCTTTGGCAGCCAGTCGTGGTGCTGACTATGTGTGACCCTTGGGGGTCAAACCTTAGTGATCACCCTATCCGAGCTCTCAGGCTCTGGCAGAAGATAGCTCGTGCTCACTTACTGTGATTTTTGTCAGTTGTTGTAGCACCGCGGCGAGCAATCAGTCCCGAAGGGATCATTTGGGGACCAAATGCACAAGGGGAGTATAGTGCTCCCTAGCTTTGATCTCCCCTGTGCCGCCCATCACAATCGCGAGCAGCCCTCAGCTGAGGACAACCGGGTGGCTCGAAGCTGGCTTCAAGCTAGGGCTGTCATCCTAAGAACATGGGTATGTGACAGGCAGGTTCCTGCTAATTTGGAGCCCAGTCAGGACTCTTGTCCCAGAATATGGGTCGATTGTGGAATCACCAGGGGATGTACTGACCAGAACAAATATCAAGGAAACGCAAAAGCATTCAGACCAGAAGGAAAAGCAACTATGCGGGGCTAACAATGTTCTTCCATCTACCATCCACACAGATACTGACGAGCAGAAAGGCTCGTGGACATCTTTCATGGAAATCGTGCAGCTTCCTGTGATAGCAATATGTATGGAGAAGGAGGAAGAGCTGTAGTGCGATTCACTCAGACTCTTCATCTACAGTGAAATCACCGTACCCTTTGTTCTTCTCTGTTCTAATACAAGCCCCATTCAGGCGCTCTACGTGGATCAACCATTTCCAAAATCTCTTCCATGTGGCCATAAGCCAAAACCACATACCGCACACATATCACACCTCTTCTGTTCCTCCCCCACGAACACGATTCTCCACCTCTGCCGATCTCCTGTCCCTCTTCGTAACACACGAGAACATACCCAAACGATCAACTAAGATGGAGAGCATCGGCTGCCGAAACGGACTGAAGACCGACACAGCAGAACCAGCCAGGTAGGCGACCGGAAGATGGCCTAGAGTCTCCCAGTCAATCGGGGACTGGGATCAGTCTGAGCCCAGCAACCTTCAAGCCAAGAGCGCAATAGACCTTCCGCTGACATGAACGTTTCGTGGCAGGGATATCTTGCTGCGTCCGGCACCCGAGGCTTGCGATATGCCTGCAACCCCTCCTCCTCCTTGTCATAAGAGCCGTTCGAGTGGACGGAACGCTGGGCATACGAAAATAGACCTCCGCTCTCATGTGGAGCCTATCCACATTCCCATCTCCAGGGAAGCTCTTGACGCAGCAAAGAAAAGCAGGACTCAAGAATGGCTCTCGTGTCTGTCCAGTCGGCTCCAAAACCTGTCTCCGCAGTCCACGCGCAGAGAAACCCAAGTCGTTGTGATTGACTCAGGCTGCAGGAAACCCCCAGGAGAATTTCCGCAGCTTGCCGGGTATGAAGACCTGGTCAGGGGCGGGACAGTGTGCTATGATGAGAACGGACACGGGACTGAGATTGTGAGCCTCATAACGAGCCTTTCTCCTACCATCAAGGTGCAAGTGAAATGCATAGGAGATCGAGACACTGACCTTGAAGTGGGGGGTCAGTTGATAGCTGATGTATGGCTCCTCTCCCCCCTTCCTTTGGGCCTTCATGCAACATCGTCATACTGAATTAGCATTAGGCAATCCGACAGGCCGCTGAAGACCCGAAGAACGACATTATTTGCATGGCGTTTTACGTACCAGAAGATGATCGAATCAGTCGGGCTATAGACGAGGCTGTCAGACGCCGGAACGGACACATTTTGTTTATTGCAGCGGCGACGGCGGCGAGGTGCTCGGAGGTCAGGTTTCCTGCCAGTCATCGATATGTGATAGCCGCCCGTCCGCTAGATCTGAGAGGATCGCTTTGGTCAGATCGACCGCTGGTCCGCAAGTCGCCAAGCGAGGTAGTGATCGCGACACTAGGCGAGTGCGTGCCAGTCGCATCGCTTGGACATCCCGCCCAGATCAAGGGTTATAGGTCCGGCTCGTCAATAGCAGCTGGCACCCTCGTCGTAATTGCGGCCACTTCATTGGAGTGTGTCGATTCGGGTAGCGATCTGGAAAGAAAGGAGGGGATGGAAGCTGCAATGAAAGGTCTAGCTGAAGCATGGAGGAGGGAGGAGGAGGCTGGGATTGAGGGACCGCCGACGAGCTTGTTGATGGTGTGGGATGCAGCTGAGTGAGCCATATCAAGTACAAGTCTACCTCTACAAGGCCGGCAAAAGTTACGCAGGGTAGGAATAGAGAATGTCATAACCTAGTTGCCAGTCTCGATCTGAGTCTCGATCTGAGTCTCGGTCTCCTCCCGCACAGATGGCAAGATCTGGAAATCATGGCCGCGCCAGTCTTCGCAGGTCATCTCGAAACAAATGGCACCACCTCCATCACCTCCATCAGGGCTTCCAGTCTCTCCTTCCTTTTCCTCCCCCCCTCACCATTGTCGGTCCTGTCGTGATGAACAGACACGAACGCTGCTGGTGGACAATGGAGTTGCGCTTGGATCTGCGGTTCCTGGGGCCCGGAGCCAAGAGTAACCTTGTGCAGTCGATACGCAAAGAGAATATTGTTGAGGCCGGCGTTGACGTTCCCGATCTCGGGGCTAGAGGTTCCCCTACTGCCCGTGAGATGCACGGAGGAGGAAATGTCGCCAAATCCGATTCCAAGATCCGTCCGGGGCGGATCCCGAACGGTGTGCCGAAGGAATTTCGTCGCGATCATGATACCGGACACAACGTACAGCGGCCTGCCAGAGATTAGGTAGGCAAGGATTGACTTTCGTTCGAGAAACGGGTGAAGTTCATTCCAGGGAAAATTGGGAGCGAGCTTCCGCGTCCGGACGCCCACCGCGCGATGGCTCGCGAAGGCGCTGGCAGGTCTTTGGTGCCGCACTGCGAACGTCATGGCATGGACAATTGTGGCTCCGATACCCAAGGACAGCGGCGATCCGTCAGCGGACTCGATCCGATAGGCACCTTCAGCATCTTCGGATTCCACAGTGGGAAAGTTGGTCAGGTCTTCGGGCTTGACCCGCTGGAGGGGGGCGCCCGGCGCGCAAGGATCTGCAATGACATTGCCGAGGGCAATGTCGCTCGTGTCTTCGCATGAGAATTCGGGAGCAAGTGCCCAGGTACCAGAAAGAGACATGGTTTTTCTACGGAAGCGAAGAAAGCGAAGAAAAAAGAGGAGGAATGCTTGATGGTTTCAATGGCAAGGAGGGAAGTGGAGGTCGAAACACAGGTACTCATGCTCCCTTTTATTTTTCGACCCGGTAGGTGGACTCACAACGAAAACAAGCTCATCGGGGCACCTCAAGAGACAGATAGGGTCGCATTTGTGGATGTCTGCAGGAGGCATCCCGCCCTGGATGTGCAATCTGGCTTCTACTTTCTTTTCTCAACCTAAGCACAAGGGCAGGGACAGCAGTCAGACCCCGCTCAGACGGCTGCACATACCCTCAGCATAACGGACTCCTACAGAATGTCACGGCGGTGGGGGATATGGTTGAGGTAGCACAGAGCACACAGACGGGAAGTTGCGGTCCCCCTCTGGAACTCTTCTCAGAGGCAAACGAAATCCTGTTTGCTTTCCAGGTGGTAGGCAGTGCCCTTCCAATGGAGAGAGTGGCATCAGTGAGCAGAGCTGAGGAATGGCCGCATTGGAGCCGGATGATTGGGGCTCAGGGCTGCTATTGATTATTACTTGGACTCACTGTAAAGTTCATTGATGTTGACCACAGCGAGCTGCGGATAAGGTACTGAACTGTACTGGACTGTACTGGACTGTTGTACACTATAATCCCAATGATGAGAATGAATGTAATGCTCTCAGCCCTGAGGGCTCCAGGCTGTGCCTTTCTAAAGTGACTTAGGGATAGGATAGGCCTACAGCTACTGGTGGAGGAGGCCCCCGCCGGTTGACTGTTTTGACTGGTTTACTGATTTGGTAGTTTTGGCTGGTTTGATTGCTTTGCTTGTTTTGTCTATTCGCAAATCCTGCCGTTCTAGAAGCTCCACCGCCTTTATACACCACCATCAATGTAAACCCCCTCACTCACTTTCCTTCTCCTTCCTTGCGAATTCAACAGTTCAATACCTTCATCCTGGAAGACCTGGTGAAATTACCCGAGGTGCTCCAGCACTACGCCAAACATGTATTGACGGACAATCATGAGATCGTTTTCACTCATGGCGACTTTGCCCCCCGCAATATCCTGGTGGAAGGGGACCGGGTCACGGCTGTTCTGGACTGGGAAGATGCTGGCTGGTATCCCGAATATTGGGAGTACATCAAGGCCATGCAGCATCTAAAACCGATACCCGACTGGCCGGATTACTCGACGGTGATACTCCCACCTCGGTACGAGAAAGAATATCTAGGAATGGCATTTCCTGCTCGTCTCCTGCGCCACTAAATCGATTACCCAGAACAATGATCAATCAATCCAACAATGAAAGCACGCAGAATCCGACCCATTCCCTCCCACGGAACGCGAGCCGGACAACCAGAGACAGGATCGATGTTTCCTTTCATGGATCACTCATATCCCGGGCCTGCTAAGTGAGCAAACAATCACAACATCCCCCACCCAATTCTGGCAATTCCAGTCGGCATCTGTGGGTCCATTCTTGACTGGGGTCCTGGAAATAACGCTTCTGATAGAGGCTTCGCTGATTGACTCCGGTAGCTCCGCCACTTGAACAGTAGATGCCAGCCGTCGACTTTGTTCGGGGTTGTAATTATCGTAGGTTTGGAACTCGAAAATCCCAGCTGCTCCGGTTGTATGCTCGAAAAAAAGCCCTGTGTGGCGGTACTTGGTGAAGTCGAGCGGGTCGCCAATGTAGATCAGAATATAGACGCTGGTTGGCATGTTTGTCTAAAGAATGGGCGGATGCGATCTAGGACAATTTCCGTGCAGTACAGATAGGTGCCAGTAGCTGGAGGGGATGAACAGGCTGTGTAGTCTGCCAATTGCCCGGAGACGAATGCCTCTTAAATCGACAGGAGAGGTGGGTGCTGCTCATCCATTTGAGTTTGGAAAGTGAAAGTGAAAGTAAAAGTGATGCAGGTGCTCATGATATCTCAGTGATTAGTGGATCAAGACTGTTGTCAACTATCGAAATTCGGTCTTTACTACTCCGCTTTTGCCTGATTGGAAACCTTATGATAGAGTCGGAACGGAGAGAATGCCCATAATGTGACCCTTGAACTAGTTGGCTGTCTGTTAAGCGCTTTGCTGCCCATTGCCCCCTTTTCTCAACCCGCAGTATCAACCGATCATAGGCCAACAGTCAAGAACGAGCAGACTGGGCACTTCCAAGTTGGGGAAATGGCGGAAAGTACGCGCTGGGCCGGACATTGTAAGAATATAATTGTACTGTACTGTACCTTAACTCGGATAAGAGATTTTCATTAGGTTGGTCTAGGTCTTGTATGCTGTACTGGATGAGTCGTTTGAACAATGGCTGCTCAACCCCCCTCTACACTCGCCACATACTCCGCCCAGACCTGTTTGATGTCATTCTTGTAAATCCAGTCTAACGAATCCGCCCCGGCGCCTCCGAACGATGCGACGCGGGCCTTGATGACGGTGTCGAAGTCCCCGTTCAGCGCTCGAGCCTTCTTCGCCTCGCTCGCCTTCCGATCGAGATAGTCAAACCTGCGAAGAACATTGTGTCAGCCACATCACCCTCTTTGGAGACCAGGCAGAGGATAGAAAAGCCACGTGCATCCGTTCATAGTACGGCGCCCGGATCCGTTGGAAGATCTCGAGTGCATCCTTGATCGTTGTGTTCGAGGTGATGGTATGCTCGATTGCCCGGGCCAGAATCCATCCATCCTCCATCGCAAACGCGGCCCCCGACCCAAAGGCACCGGACAGCGGGTGGCTGGCATCCCCGATCAAAGCCACTTTATCCCAGCCCTGGATCTCCGGCAGACACGGGCCAGCGGCCATGGCGAATTCTCGCCAGTCCCCTTCCGGGACCACATCCAAGACGGCCTGGATCCGAGGATCATACTCCTGTGTTTTCAGCCTCTGGTGAGTTCACGCCGCTGGAGCGAGTACGCGAGAGGGTCCGGGGATATATCTGTACGCACCCCACACCGAGCGCGGACGCGGTCGTTGGGCGATGGAATGGCCCAGGTTGCGGTTCGGCCGGGCACCTCCGGCTCGTCGAAGGACCGGACGGTGATCTCGCACAGCTCACGGTCGGGCTCGTCGTCCACATGCGAGAAGTAGAAGTAGCCGTTGAGGCCATGCCACCATCCGGTGGAGGTGGGAAACTCGGCGACATGGCGGATGGAGGCGACTGGCACCAGCACCCGCCAAGCGGTGACTCCTGGGAGGTTGGCTTCTGTTTAGCCAGGCCCATCTGGCGTCGTTGCAAGTCTTGACTGTACTGCTCCCACTTCAGGCGAGTCACTCACCAGTGAAATGCAAATGGTGGTCGGGAAACAATGTCTGTCGAACGACCTATTAGGGCAATGTCAGTAGGAATTCCACCTGTCCTTGGACTGGTCAGTCTCACCGAACGAATCCCATCAGCCCCGACCACTAAGTCCGCGCTCGCTACGGTCGCATCTTGGAACTGCAAACGAACCCCGTCCTCCCCGCCAAGATCTGTCAGAGAAACCAGCTTCTTGTTGAAGCGGATGGTGTTGGCGGGCACTCTGGCGAGCAAGGCGGCTTGCAGGCGGGTTCTCCGAGCCCTAATGGATTCATACTTGGCCTCCCCGGGACTGAGGGGTGGAGGCGTCGTTGCGCGTGGAACGATCGATTCTCCCGTGCGACCATTTCTGCGAGCTCGGTCTCAGCCATCACGTAGGAAGGAGTTAGGGCCAGGAGCAAGGAGGCGCACCCACCGTTGGAAGGGGGTTTGTTTCTTTGCCCCCTTGACCCCGTCGGCCGCGCCCAGCAACTCCAGCACATTCCAGCCATTGCGGCCGATACTGATGCCTGCTCCGACCTCCCGAGGCTCGGGGGCTCGTTCGTAGACGGTGACGGAGACGTAGGGGAGCTCCGACAGGGCAATGGCGGTCGCTAATCCCCCTGGCCCGGCCCCGACGATGGCCACATTGAGGTGTTTCCGGGCTACCATGTTGAGTTGGGTGTTCTCGAGCTGGGCAGGCGTTGGTTTAGTCCGGATCGATGGCCCTTCTGGTGTATTTAATCGCCGCTGACGGTTGGGGGCTTATCACCGAAGCCCCGCTTGCAGGCAAAGATTCGCCATCCCTCGGCCGTATGAGGAATGTCTTATCAGTGGTCAATCACGCATGCACCACTGCGGACGCTCATGACGCCATTCGTAGTCGGATGAGTGCTGTAGTTGGATGCAAAGCCTTCTTCGCAGCCCTTAGGTGAGTCCTAGACTAGGGAATTGCAGTTTTAGGATTAATCTTGCATCGTATGTGTTCAGCGGTGCCTGCGTAGCCCACCTGACAATGTCGGCTACCCAGACAGATCGCCTCGACAGGTAGCCTCGTTGATTGTAAACATGACAAATGTCCATAAATACCGTACATGCGAGTCTTGTGCATCACCATAAGCAACGTTCTTGTTTGTGCGACACTAGATCCCCCCCCCTTCCCTCCCTCCCCAAGCGTCTCACACCAGGCTCAACGCGTCACTCCCCGGCACAACAAACACTTCCCAATCATTCAAGTCGGCGAACCGACCCATCTTCCTATCCTCCGCAGCGTGCAGGTGAAAGTCCCGCCGTTGCCAGACGCCCTCAATGACCGCACGCATTCGCGCAACGCTCGACACACTGCTCTTGGCCATCTCCATCAGCAGCCGCAGGACCAGCCGTCGACGGCCACCGTTCTCGGCCTCCATGTTGCGACTCGGGCTCTCGACCACCACGTCATCGAGAGGATCCAGCTCGACGGCCGCCACGAAGAGCGGCCACATCATCGCCTGGCTGGCGGAGCCCTGCGCGACCAGCGCCCTCAGCCCCGCGAGGATTTCCTGGACGACGACTTTGACAGCGGGATCGCAGGGCCGGGCCCCGTGTAATGCACATTGGATATAGACCGAGCAGGCCAGTCTCTTGAGCTCGGCCACGCGGCGGAGGGTCTCGTCTTCGCCCCCGACGGCGGGGTTCTGGACGAGATCGTCGAGTCGACGTTGGAGGTTCGAGGCGCGCGCGCGAAAGGTCAGCTCCTCCGACGCGGAGGCCACCATGTGGCGGCGGTGGCGGCTGAGGTCCATGATCGCGAACAGGATCGACACCAGCGCGGGACTGCAGCCCATCCAGTCGTTGATGGTCACATCTCCCTCGGCCCAGTAGCTGGGTCCGAACAGATCGGCCTTCGCGCAGGCGGTGCGGCCCATCACGTCCTGGAAGGCGAAGAATAGCTCGACGAATTTCGAGACGGGGTCGCTTGGAACTGTGGGGAGGGCGAGAAGCGCGTCGGCCTGTCGCTGTTGCTGCTGGCGTCGGAGACGGATGATGTCTTTCGCGCCTTGCAGGTGGACAATCCAGCGTCGGTCGCAGTGATCGACGATCTCGTAGAGGCAGAGCAGCATGATGAGGACGAGGACTTCGGGGTCGGGGGAAAGAAGGAAGGATCCTCGATCCTCGCTCGCAATCCGGCGGCGAAAGCCACTGACGACCTGCGATTTGAGCGTCAGGGCGTGCACCCCGTAGCGTGGGTCCTGCTGGCTCCAGTGGCATGCTGCTAGGGCCATCAGGGCCTTGATCACCACTGGGGAGGCGGTCTGACAGTAGGGCAGGATGACAGCTGCGAAAGGTGAAGTGGCGCTCGGGCTTGGGGTCATCCGGGGGCAGATCTGGTGGATGTAGTAGTCCAACAGGAAGCTTTGGTCCAGGTGGTTCCAAAGAGGTGAGATGGATAGGGCTGGTTGGACACTGAATTCATGCACGTTCCTGGCCGGCATGAGCACAAGATCCTGGTGATCGAGCAATTGCGGCAAGCTGTGACTATCCGCATGGATAAAGCTCCAGTGATGGATGACAGGGGTTGTAAGGATGGTCTGATCCGCCGTGGATGGTATAGATCGTATAGATGGTATATTCTCTGGGCTCGGCTTTTTCGAGGCATCTTTGCGCCAGACTCCCGTACGGCCGAAGGTGACCCCCCGAGCACGATAATCCGACTCCCACTTCAGAGTCACAGTGCCTCGGATGCAGGAAAGGCCTTTCTGAAAGCAACGCGTACAGACCGGCTGTTTCTCATCGCATTTCACTTTGCTGCGCCGGCAGTGGGAGCATCCACGGTGGGAGCGGGTGCGCGGTCCACTCATTGTCTGGTGGTCCTCGTGTCCTCGCAGAAGTGGCTGGCAGGCATTATAGCTTGCTTTTCTTTTTGCACTCAAGTCTTACACTCAGCTCTTGTCTTCAAATTCTCTAACTCTAACATTCTTCAACGCTCTTATGACCGGGGTGATTGAAAAGCAGCAATTTTCTCCTGTGAAGTCATAGCTTTGATAGAAGGAAGCTCCAAGCGATGGCAAGGTTTGGAGTGGATCAGGGAGAGTTATGACTGCTGTATAAGCCATGCACGGGGCATGCACAGGGCATGCACAAGCCATGTATAAGCAGTGCACAAGCAGTATACAGGCAGTATACTCTGTACAGGCAGTGCACAGGCAGTGCACAGGCAGTATATAAGCTGTGCATAGGCTGTGCATAAGCTGTGCATCAACTATGCATTAAAACTGCCCAAAGTGGATTAGTCGAGAAGCCAGGCGGTATTAAGAGGCAGAATTATCTCTCCGGAGCTTAATCCCAACAACAACAACAACTACTACTACTACTACTACTACTACTACTACTACTACTACTACTACTACTACTACTACTACTACTACTTTTATCGATCATCAGTATGAGTGGTTGGCCAGCCCCCTGGTTCGACGACGCATCCTTTGCGGATACACTGGCCAAATGTGCGGCGCCCTGTCAAGAAATTGGCGCCTATGCGATGGCGCACCCTGAGGAGAAGGTCTCTGCAGCCTACGTAGCGGCTTTCGCCGTCTGGGCAACCGGAGCATGAAGGCTGCTTTTGCTCTGGGTGCTGAGGCGGAGTTCGAGCAGAACCAAGCACAGGAAGTACAGGAAGCCCAAGCCTCGGATCATCCAACAGAACATGCGACAGCCGAACGCACACCTGATGATGAGGCGGATACCGAGTTTGACGCGAGCGAAGAGGAGAAGGAGGAGGAGGAGGAAGAGGAGGAGGAAGAGGAACCCGGTTCTCCATTCATCAAGACAGAAGCACAAGAAGGTCTGACAGCATTCCGACCAGCGATTGTGGACGAAGATCCTCGAGCCTCCTCGTCGACCACCTCGTCGGAATATCAAAGCACAGAGCGATGGGATGACCAAGCACCTACAACACCCCCTCGATACCACAATCCGGTGAATTTCACAGCGGAAGATTTGAGGCTTCGATTGTCGTCGAACTTCGGCTTGTACGTGGGGCTGGATGCCAACACCATCTCGGGGAAAGTCGAAGTCGCTCTCTATCAATCGTTGGAACCGCACCTGGCGTCGATCCGTCTACGGCGGACGAAGCGCATCAATCCGAAAATGATCGACATATATGTCAACAGTGCCCGTGAAAGGGAGCATTTGATACAATGTGCTGAAAAGTGGGTACCATGTGTCAAGGAACATCAGTATGTCCACCCACAACCTCCCCCTCCCCCACCTTTTCCCCCACCAACGCCCACAAAAAGACAAATTCTTGGAGACTCCAGCCCTCTGAATCGAGCATTCAAGCTCTGATCCCTTCTCGATCTTCCGTAAGCCGAGGGTGATGGATTGAGGACGGGGTTCTGGTATCTCAATTGATGGATTCTGCACAAGATACTTCTCCCCAGCACATGCCCCACATCTCGGGGCCTCACTGCTTTCGGTTCCTTTGCCTCTTGGCCTCCCCGAATGTTTCACCACAAGTAGACACGATTGACAATTTCGTAGGCCAAGATTTGATGCAAGAATCTATCTATGTGAGCTTCCGCCTTTTGTGGGGTCGAAACGAAAACAAAGGCGAGCCAGAGAAGCTGCTCGGAAACATAATGGTCATGTCGGGCCGACCACTCGATCATCTAGATCTGCGTCGGGACGGTATCACCCCTACAGATGATAACATTGCCGGTTACAACTTGCGAGTACGGTGTGTGTATGAATAAGCGTATGATCAGTTGTTAGGCAGTTCACAGACTCTAAAAGTTTAGTCCAATTATACTGTTTACCCAGCTTTTCGAAGCTTCGCAGGTCGGCGCTAGTGCCTATGTCTGCCAATGCGGTAATGCACGCGTTTGCACTGCGAGCTCATCATGGCAAGAGCGTGCGAGTGCAAGCAGGAGGGAAGACCCTCTCCAAACAATATCTGAAAGGGATCCAAGGGCACAATCAAGATCCACTCATTCTCGACGGAAGCAAAATCCCACCCAAAGACTACGCATCCTTGTATCGACTTAAACAATTGTGATGAAGAAAAACTGGCTTGTTGGAAGATGGTCTATAACGCTTTAGCTCGGCTCATCACACGCACCTATCACGAACCCAATGGAGTGCCTCCTCAATACTCCAAAGAACACAATCACACTTGCTTTGCACGAACGCGAATCCTCACTAATTGCAGCCGGAACTCAACAGATACCATCACTCGGGCATATGCAAGTGAGACTGTGGCAACTGTTCCTGACAGAAGGACAGTTTACTAGCCGTCCACAATTCCTCCGACTGTATTCATACGACGTCAGTCAGTCTTCGACCAGTGGGTGACGGGAGAAGAAGAAAAAGCTCACCGGCTGTAACCGTCTCTTGCACTCCGGTTCCAGTGAGCCACCCTTGATGGAGATCTCCTCGGGCGCACTCTCCGCAACATCGGATATCGGGCTCCCACAGACCCCACAGAAGCTGCGATGCACGGCAAGGCCTGAGCTGCCCACACTGGTGAAGGTGCGAAGCGGACCCTGGATATGCACCGTATCCTTGGGGGATGTCAAGATCAGAGCTGCAGGGGGGAGGTCATCAGAAGGATAGCTATGATCCATGGTGGCAGCAGAACTGACCGTATGTGGACCCGGTGTTGCGCTGACAGTCATCGCAGTGGCAGTAGACCACGAGAGGAGAGGCCGGGTCGACGATGTAGGTTACTGCACGGCAGAGGCAATGGCCAGAGAAAGTCATTGTTCAGGCTTCAGGGTTGAATTTGCCCGCCCTTGGAGGACTGACTGTAGGGTTATCATGAATCTATAAATCTACATGCTCATGGCATGCACACTAAACCGGATCAGGCAGCCAAGGCGCAGGACTCGGGATTCCCCACCGCAACATTCATTAAGTTATCGATTCAAGCTGTGTGGCACAACTCTCTTCGAACTTTCGAACTTTCATCGGGAGAATCCCTCCCAAAACATCACACATCTTCTCACCCAACCAGCCTTATCTAGCAGCAAACTGACTGACCAGGGCTGGAGCTCGTAGATGCCCTACAAATCACACGTGAAAATCCACTTCCACACCCCAGAACTCGCCCCACAACATACCCCCATGCCAAGTGCATGCCACACCTGTCGCCGGCGTCGGGTAAAATGTGACTTTCGAACCCCAAAGTGTGGCCGGTGCGAGAAATCCGGGGTGGAATGTCTTGGCTATGGCAAACTGATCACCTGGGTGCAAGGTGTTGCGAGTAGAGGGAAGATGATGGGGAAGTCTTACAAGCCTTCATCTACACCCCCCGTGTCCCAGAGCACGGAAATGCGTATCCATGTGCAAAGAGCCCTGATGGATCCCTTCCTACAGGACCTCAGCTCCGAGGCTCGCCATCACTTGAATCATTTCTACTCCCGTGTCTGGGAGGATCTGGTCATCTATCACCTGCCTATGCAAACTTGGAATCCGTGCAGCGAACTCTACTGGCGCTCCCAGACCTGTCCCGCCATGTTCCATGTCATTATGGCCATGGCTGCCTATCATCGGTATAACCTCATTACATCCAAGGAGCGTGCGCAGAGCATCCTGGTCGATGCACTCCAGTGGAAACAGGGTGCCCTGGTCCGATTTCAGACAATGCTCAGCCGAGTCCAATCAACAGCGTGTGTGCAGGTGCTGGTGTGCTCGATGTTGCTGGCCAATTTCGATCTTCTCGAGTCTGGCAGGGATACATGGCAGCTGCATCTGGATTCAGCAGTACGTCTGATCTCTTATGGGGCCTTCAATTCGTTCCTCGGCGGGCAGACCAGAAAATGAGGGAAACTTGTTCGACCAGTGGGTCATATCTAGTATTCTCATGTAAGTCCTCACCTCTTCCGTCCATCCTGCACGGTCACCTAATCGGAACGACAGCCAGAGTATCTTTGGCTCGACCTTCTCCCCAAGCGTAGGACATCACCATCTGTCTACACTCAACGATCCTACCGTGAGGGTGCTTGACTCCCTGGTTTTCGCCGAGGGTAACCATTTCCTCTCTTGTCCGGCCGAGCTAGCAAGCTGTATTGTCCTAGCATTTCAGACACAAGAAGACTCCCAAACCCCGAGCAGAGACGCCTGCCAAGAGCTATACGAGTCCGTTCAACAGTTTGACCCAGCCGCATGGGCCACCGCTATGCAGTGTTGGACTCCAGTCAATGACTACCCCGAGCGATTGCATATCGGATCCGCGTACAAGACGGCCGTGGTTCTCTACCTCTCACGGATGCTGCCTAATTTCTCCCCCGGCGGTTGTACACCCGAGCGGCAGACTGGACTAGTGCAGGGCGTTATCGGCCATATCTCGCAAGTTCCGGCCTCCAGCGCATTATTCAAGTCTACTATCTGGTCGTCTTTTGTCGCCGGGGCGGAGGCCACCGATCCTCATCACCGAGAGTGGGTTGCCGCCCATCTCGACGCCATCTCGGCGCAGATTCCCTGGAATACGACAGTCACGGCGACGGAAGCGCTACGAGAGGTCTGGAGGCGGGTTGACCTGCCACTGGCCGAGCCACGGTCAGCTCCAAGGAACTGGATCCAGGAATTCCGGCGCTTGAAGGTGGCTGTCTTTCCAGCATGAAGATTATGAGAGTAGTTATGAACACTAAAGCAGCTTACTAAACAGCTTACTAAGCTGTTTACTAAGCACCAAGCATTGTCGATTTAGGATTGGTGCCTCAGCCACCCAAACCCAGCTCTCCTCGATGACATCACCACTTGCTCTTCGTATTATTGCGTCTCCATCGCTTCACCTTTCGACAGACTGTACTTCCTGTACATCCATCCCACATGGTCTCTGACTTGAACCTTCCCACGGCTTTTCTCAGATACCATGACCGGCCACATCGTCGACACGGTCAGAGAGGACCATAATGAGATCCAAGCTTGCTATGGCCGCATCGTGAGCTCGGCCGATCGACAAGAGCAGATCCGCTTCCAGAATCTCTTCACCTGGGCGCTGGCACGCAACACCGTCGGCAAAGAGCTCGTCGTCTACCCTGCCTATGAGAAACACCTCTCGGCCGGGGCGGTGACAGCCGAGAAACGCCGCAAGCAGAATCACGCCGTGAGTAACCCGCCAGCTGGTGCGCCGAGTGCGCGGAGTGCGCGGAGACCATGGACCCTGGACCCTGATTGACAGCCCGGCTAGGTCAAAGAGCATCTGAAGAAATTCCAGACCCTGGATCCGACCAACCCCACTTTCATCCCCACGATCAAGGGTCTGATGGAAGTGTTGAGTCCGCAGATGCGGGAGGAGGAGAACAGCGACCTGGTCGATCTCGAGCAGGTCCTGTCCGATCACGACAGCATCAGCCTGTCCAAGTCGTTCAACCGGACCAAGATCTTCATGCCGTCGCGGGCGCATCCCAGTGCCCCCAGTAAGCCGCCGTTTGAGACGGTCGTCGGACTGCTGACGGCGCCGATTGATCAGTTGGGGGATCTGTTTCGGAAGTGGCCTCATGAGAAGGATGTTCAAACGTGATCCGTTGATTGTCTACTTTAACACTTCTGTCTTTTTATGATTCCCGCTCCGGCTCCTATTTTTGGATCAGACTCTCTGGGGCGAAATATTCTACTAATACTCGCTTGCTAGCTCATAATGGATAATGTATGTACTGTACGTAACTCAGACTGCTACAACAACACTTCCTCTCTCCAGCCGTAAGCCCGTCACATCCCCGTCTCTGGACCCCTAGTGAGACCGCCAGAAGCCCCTCCCCCACCGAAAGAGAAGAATACACCGGCCCACCAGACGCCCGAACGCAAGCGGAATCCCGAACTTGAACCAGGTGGCCGGCTGCCACAAGGCAGCGCCGGGCACGGCAATCACGGCGCCACGCGCCGTGGACGGCGCCGCATCCCTGACCGTGACCGACCCCCCCGCGAACGCCGCGACAGCCTCCAGCATGATCGCGACCGTCGCCCCGGGCTGGCTCAGAAACGGGGAATGGCTCGTCGGCAGCTCGCGGTGCTCGACGCGCGCCCCCATCGCGCGCGCCATGCCCACCTGCAAGCGCTGCGCCACCACGGGCAGGCCGCGATCCTCGACGGTGCCGATGTACCAGACGGGCACGTCCTGCCACCCGGCATAGGCAAACTCCGCGCCCTCGAACAGGGCCTTCAGACTCTGCGTCGTCAGCTGCGACACCCACACCTCCGCCTCCTCGCGCGGGAGGTCGTGGTAGAAGAGCTCGCGTGGTGGGGTGACCAGCTCCGCGTAGCCGGTCTCGCGGTTCGCCCGCCACGCCGGGGGTGGGTGGCCGAAGAACGGGTCCATGAAGGCCAGTCCGGTCAGGGTGAATCCGGAGGCGATCAGGATGAGGCCGATCACGGACCCCGCGGTCGGCGAGTCGGACTGCCTACCGGTGAACCCCTTGATGGCGCTGTTGCCGACCATGCCCCCGTAGGAGTGGGCGACAACGACCACGTTGCGGCCCTGGGAGGTTTCGTGGGTGATGGCGGCGCGGGCGGCGTCGAGGTCATCCTTGAAGGTTGCATTGGGGTTGCCGGTGGTGGAGGGGAGGGTGATGGAGACGCAGTTGAGCTGATACTCACCCTGGAGGAGTTGGATGATGGGGTCGTAGCAGGTGGGTTGATGCCAGGAGCCGGGGATGAGGACCAGGGTTGGGGTTGGGAGGTTGGCCATAGTTGAGGAGCCGTAATTTGTGCTAGATGATAGTGCTCTATGGTCTAACTTATCATTTAAGTCGTATGATAACTATACGATATAGATATGGGTAAAATGTATGCCAAGTGGTGGAGGATTTGTGCTATATGGCATGGATGTGGTTGTGGCAATGCCCGGCAGGGAGAATTCAAAATACTTATAAAATACTTATCAATTCAACCTTACGGGTACAGTACGGAGTACAGATCCACCCTATGAGTTACTTGGTTTGGACAGTATCATGGCCCCATTTCCCTTGCAACGCAACAACTCGACTAGAACTCGGTTGAGCCTGGAAATTTAACAATGAACATGGATATACTGAGTACTGACTAATTGCTACTTTGTTACCTTGTAAAGTAACTGGATTTGCTATCACATCATATGATCAAGATATCTGCTGTGGCCTGAGGCAGCAGTATCTTAGTAAGTCTTAGATAAGCATCAGCCCTTTCCCAAACGGGTTGTCCCAACACAGGTTGCTGTATTTAGACGAGCAGAACAGCAATGAGATAATGAAAGGATCATGATCCCCAGTCAACAGTGAGCAGGATACAGAGGCAGAGCAGAAGAGAAAAAGGGAAAGAGAAGACCAAAGAGAAGAACCAATCACAGCACTAGTTAAGGAAGAACGGGCAGTAGCACCCCGTACAGTGAATACAAAGAAGCTCTGTTGCTGGCCAGTAGAGGGTTTAGACAGTCGAGATACTGGGTCTCGCGGCGTCTCGCGGCCTCACCGACATATTCAAGCAAGTCTTCAGTCATTGTGCGGTGTTTCTGGACCCCGAAGATCCTGCATATGACACTGTTCTCGTGTCGGCAGTCCTGGGCAAGCAACCAGAGACAGTCCAGCTATTTCTTGAGGCCGGGTTCGATGTCAACGGTCTCTATCCCCGAACGCATGGAAAGTCAGCGACCCTACTATATCTCCCCATTCGACATTCCGAGCTTCAGCGCTGGCGCGCGATCTGGCTGGACGCAGAGAAGGGCGAAGAAGATAGCGTGGAGTAGTCCGACAGTGCCCCCAAGCCCCTACAGGCTATGCCTCGAAATAACCTATGGTGGACGCAGTTTCCGGCCCTCAAGGAGATGAGGTGCTACTACTGGCGTGCCATTAGCCCTGTTCCAGATTGTGAACGCCTGCTGGCATGAGAGGTCCGCGTCCCTAGATTGTATCTGTATACTCACTACCTCATTACCTTAATATGATGCTTTTGCCTTGAATCCAGTTTCCCTTGACTCTCATCTCAACTTTCCTTCTTTCCCCATGATTGAGGAAAGGATGTGCATATGCACCACCCCCTCCCTCGGCGGAGTATCTATGGGCATGGTCTCCGTCACCAACCACTTTCGCTCCAATGCAAACCAAATAGATTGCCTGTATGCGGGGTTGTGAGACAAGCTGGCGACTTATGCTGGACTATTGCTCGAGTGGAGCCCTCTAATGCAGGCGGGCAAGGGCCGTGGCGGCCCGCTTCACGAAGCGTCCATAAAGAGCCAGAGCCTAGACCAGCCCAACTTCGGGAACCATCTGGAAAATCGGAAAATCGGTCGATCACACCCTCACTAGCAGGCTTGTCTGATTGTTTTCCTGTTTCTGGCTGGCCCAGAGGAGTGTATGGTGGAGGAAAGATGGTTTGTGCTACCCTCATTCCCCTCATTCGAGCGGTTTTGCAAGACACCCTAACCTGTTTGCTCACCTATCCCACTGCAGAGTGACGTCTCGAACTACTACATCAGGCGGAGTACAGTTGATACCTACCATGAGGTTTGGTCCCTCGGTCACGCCATTCTGGTTCATCTATCTTTGCGGGCCAGGACTTCTCCCAGTCAACGGAAGGACATAGATGGCTTGCCTATAAAGCTGCCCTCATCCCTCAAGGCTCAAGAACCTATCTTCAACCACCAGCATCAGATCCAGACTCAATCGATATCTAAAGACAATTGAGTAACGGTGTAAGCCACAGCAAAGCCTTCCCCTCCAAGATGAGCTCTTTGTTGAAGAACCCAGTCCAAGAGGCAGTCCAAGGCGCAGCCACAGAAGCCGCGCAAGACACAGCAGCTACTGTGATTGATATCAGCAAGGCGGTGGAGCAACTCCTGAACGGTATGATCTCTCCGCTTGGCCAACCTTAGGGCATTGATCCGACAGACGTCGCAAGTACTGACCTCTATCAGGTCTTGCCAGTCAGCCACAACAGGTCCTCCATGTCTATTCGTACAGTGATCAAACCAGAGCCATCGAGGAGAAATCATGCATTTCGTTCAAGAGTGTAGACGTGAACAAAATCAAATTGTCTGATATTCGGGACCTTCTGGTTAGTGAAAAGGTCTTGGAGCCGACCTTGTAAGTGCCCATACCCAGACAAAGTCAACAACATTCATTCACCTTCGTCCTACAGGCTCTGGAGCTCCTTCTGCAATCAGCGTGGGGCCAAGGTATTAGATTCCACCGACTACAATGCTTACCTTGCGATTCTGAACGAGAAAGTGAGTAGCCCCCTCTTTACGGTGCCCACGGAATCTTCAACTAACCCGGGATATAGTCGAGCGAGGTTGGGGTATGTTCCAGCCGACGTAGCCTTGCCATGTTCCTATATTGATCTCTATCAAGGACATTGCGGAAGACAACAGCGATGCCTATCGAGTCTATCTCAAGTCAGAGAAGCTCATTGACTATGAATACGCGCGTAGCCTCTTTGATCGCGGTGTGAGAGCTAGCATCGATGTGAGTCCATCGACAACATACCTGACCGCATCATGGTTGACCCTTTCATCAGAAGAAGACTCCTGATCTGCCCGTGGCTTCGAAGCCCAAGGCTGCCGAGCTGCCCACCAGCTTCAGCCACAATATCTTCCTGAACCCCACAACTACCTTCTCCATCGTGTAAGATGACCTACCCAAGGGATGCCCTTGCGCTTACTCATGGCCGCGCTGTCAGTCATCCTGCGGATATGTCGGAGACGCAGTGGAATGTCGTCCTGCGCAACAATGCCTTGCTGAACGCCTATCGAGTGGTCGACGCGGGCAAGACGATTGGGAAGATAGTGGAGCGTTCCATGCATCCAGGTAGCACGATCGAGTCTCACCTACCCAATCCCTGTTTTATATACTGATGAAGTCTGCAAGCCTTCGCTCTCAAGACACGTTTGTTCCAAAACTACGAGATTTCGGCCAGTGCGGCCTCGGATTCGATTGCCAAGAAGGAGGTAGGTCATATTTGAGCAGGCATGGCTGGATATCACTGACTTCCCATGGCCAGCAAATGCTGAGGGTCCCTCGATATCGGATTGAGGACGATTCCTACATTGAACAGTTTGAGAAGACCAGCTCGGTCTCGCGGGCGATTGCCCAGAGCTCCTTGTCTCAGCTCGCAGCTGAATTGACTATGTATGCCTGGTCCCCATCTCTACGCTCATCTATGCGATACTGATGCAACACGTCTACAGAGAGGGCGGTGCGTTCGGGTTCAGTGCCAGTGCCTCCGCTAGCTATGGGGAAGATAAGTCCTCTTCTAGCTCTGCGACCTCAAGTGAGGACAGTCGAGTCATGACTATTACCTACAACGTGCGTACACTCCTACAGTTCCATGGAAGCGTGACATGCAAGTCCATTTGCTCATCCTGCTGCCCGGAACAGTTTCCTCGCGTGGTTCTGGAACTCGACGCCTCGAGCCTCGAGCTCTCCGAGGAGTGCAAATTCGACTTGTCTGCCGTGAGCACTGCCGCCGACGTCGACAGCTTCAAGAACAAGTATGGCCGCTTCTATCCCACCCGCATCGAGCTGGGAGGGAGACTGCACTCCTCGGAGAAATCGAGCTCCACCAGCACCGCCGACAAAGATGAACAAGCGAAGTCCATGCGAGCCGCCGCGGCCCTCTCCTTTTCCTCTGCGTATGTGCAGGCCTCGGCCAAAGCAAGCTACGGTCAATCCTCGGATTCGAGCTCGCAGAACTCGGCTGCCTCGGCCACCAAGTCCATCTCCTGGGAGGCCAAAGGCGGCGATACTCTCCTGTGTAATGAGTGCGTTGATTCCTGTCTCTGTTCCCCTTACGGTGTTCGAGTTGCTAATAACGTCCACTCTATACAGTCCCCCTGCATGGGCCTATACCGTTGGTTCCTTTTACAATTGGCGAGCTGTCAAGGTCGGTAGTCCAAGTCCTTTCCACTATGAAGCGAGTCTCTCTAACATTCTGAGCACAGCAATCCCGGGTGCTTGCCCTCGAGGATGTGATTGCCAGCATCCCAGGGTACCAGGACATCAAGCAGAAATTCGCGGACATTCTCCGCACGGGCAGTCAGACCAAACCGACCAGCTCTCAGGTCGCGGTAAATTTCAAGTTGATTCACCGCTGGCATGGGAAGACGGTCACCATCAAGCCAAGCCAACAGGGACCGCGGTACCGTATGTTGCCAAACTCCTCTTTCTCACCATCCTATCGGATATTCGAGTGTCTGGGCTAATATACGCTGGATGCGTGGCAACGTCCACAGGGGAGGAGATTTTCAAACGCACCAAGACCAACGTGATCACCGAAGAACGCCGGAGATACCTGAACGAGCTCTCTGAGGCCGTTGCCGAGGGAGTCCCGCTGGAGGTGCAGACGGACAGCAGCTCCAACAGCAATCAGAAGCTCTGCATCAACGTCGAGAGCACCGAGACCAACGACAAGAATCAGGTCAAGTATAACTACCCCTATCGTATCTACAACAGCGGAGACGGGGACGTCTGGCTTGGTGCCAGCCCCGTTCTCCAGGGCTATCTGAACACCTCCCTGATTTGGGCCGGCACGCGGGAGAACGCCACCACCTTCCAGTTCACCAGCAACAAAGCGGGGAACAAATCGGTGTACGTGCAAGAGGGCGACGAGGTCTTCATTGACCAGTTCGACAAAGAAGGTAACGCCATCAGGGCAGCGGCGTGGCTGCACAATCCGGAGGGTTGCATTGGTACACATATCGACTCTCTCCAAGACCCTGAATATTACTGGTTCATATTCAGCTACTTGAAGTGATGAGGCTGCAGAAAAGGATCGTGGAGGCGACGGTGGCGGAGTTTGTTTGCATCTTACCAGGGCTTCCGTCCATGTACCCTTCACCGTTCGGATGAAATGTTCAGTGCAATGGAATAAATGCCATTATGTCCCTTCCCTGAGACTGTGATTTCAACTTGAGACTGAATACAGGACCCAGCACCCAGCACCCCTCCGTACTATACGTACGTACTATACAAACATCGGGAGATGAAAGCTCCACGGTTGGCCCACTTAGGGCAGGCCAGGACGTCTTAGCCCGAACGCCACCATGAATGGCCTCCACTCGCACCCACGTCCAGAGTCTAGATCCCCTAGGGCTTCCAGTATCTCGGCATCTCATTCGTGGGCTCGTCTCGCACGAACTCTAAAGTTCGATCGATGTTACGGTGGGGGATGACAAGGCACCATATGGGTCAAGGCACGGAGTAAACTACATACGTAGCGTTTAAAAATGCAGACCCATAAAACATCCTATTCTTTCATTCATTCAAATCTACCCCTGCAGCACCTTAGCCACCACCTCATCTGCACTCTCTTCTACCACCCCCAACAAGGGCGAGTCCGATTCCGACCATGAAGGCGCCACAACACACCGGGCCTGCCCTTCGTCGAACATCTGCGCGACCACCAACTCCAGCCTCCACATACCATTTCCCTCCTGGAATTTCCGGTGCCCACTCTCCATCAACCGCTGCGCCGAGTCGCGCTGCACCGTCCACTGCCGACCCGTACTAGCGCGCTGAAAGGCCCCCAGCAGCTCATTCTGATTCGTGACAATCGAGAGAACCTTGACGAAGCGGTTCGCCGTCTCCTCCGGATGCAGGAGCACCCCAACCACCGCCTGCCCGATCCCCGCCAGAGTGGTACCGGAGAACCTCTCCGTGCCCGAGTCGTAGATGATAGCCGCCGCGCGGGCGATGTCGAAGCCCATCATAGGGAATCTTTTCATAGCCTGTACCGCACCAAAGACAATCATCAAGATTAGCATCTTACTCCTCCCACCCAGCATTCTGGGATTAGGGGGGTAAACCGTACCCAATCAATCGGATTCCCCGTCGTGATCCCCGTAAACGTGAACCCGGGGTTCTCCCGTGCCTTTCGTTGCGCAAGATCCCACCCCACGCGGCGCTGCGCGTGGATGGCGCTGAACTCCGGCAGGCTGTGGGGGTTATGGCCCCAGCCGAAATCGTCGATGATGAACCGTTGCACCCCCGCCGCTGCAGCGGCTTCGACCATGGTGGCTTGCGCGGGGATGCCCCCGGGCCCGACGACGCAGATGGCGGCGTCTTGGCCGGTCAGAGCGGTGGTCAGGTCGGCGAGGGTGTAAGGGGTCCGGATGATGGGGAGACCAGGGGGAAATGTGGAGGTGGACTCGGGGCGGGTGATGATGGTGATGGCGAAGGTTTCGGCGCGTTGCAAGGCTGCTGTGATTGGGGTGCCAAAGTTGCCGGATGCCTGTGGGCGAGGTCAGTGATCGTGATCTGGGGGCTGGGGGAGGACATGGTGAGTGGAGACGAAGACGTACTCCGAAGATGGCGACTTTGCGAATGGTAGGCATAATTGTGGTGGGAGGTGAGGTTGGACGGTGGTTGGTTTGTTGTTGTTGTTAGGGTTAATGTTGTCAACGGGAGAACACTGGGCGGGTTGGTTGCACTTTATGTATAGCGAGAGGCTACAAGATGGCCTAGTAACTACTAACTAGTACCTAAGCTAGTACCTAATACAGGAACAAGCTGACAGACAGCATTAGTAATTCAATAAGGCTGTGGACCTGTGGTTGACTCACTAAACCAGGTCGAGTCTATCCATGACTCAATCGAGGCATTTATCTGGACTTGGACTAGGCAGGCCATATGCAGTCAAGGTACGGAGTACATACAGTAATTACAGCTTGAATGTGGGGAAGTCACGTACCGTTAGCCCTGGGTCGCGTCCAAGATATGCTTTCAAGTGGGTCTTCGAATGACTGTGACTGATGCTCTCGTATCACCCGTCAGTGCCACTTGTGAGGCTCTCGCTAGTCGATTTACAGTTTGAGCCAGAATGATGGTTTTAAAGTGTTTCTAATATCTTCATTGCACAGTCCTGAGAGACTTCGACATCACAAGTGAGCATACATTGTAGCATACACTGGAGCATACAAGGGCATACTCCGCCTTTACAACTTAATCCACCGACCCATCCACTCATTCACAATCGACTTGGCCTCATCCACCAGTCCCAGATCCAGCAGCAATTGCGTCGTGCCGCGGACAGCCGAGTCCAGGGCAGAGAAGATCCACGCATGGGTATAACTGGTGTGCTCTCCGATGAAGATCGTCTTGAATTCCGTCTGGTAGTAAGCCGGAAGGTACAACTCCTGCTGTCCGACCAACGGATCCGCCCATGCACCCGCCTGGTGCTGATCAACCTCCCAACACTGGCGGTCGTAGATGCCGGTGAATTGCTCTGCCGCGATCTCGCCGTGAACTTCCACCATCGTCCGCTGGACAAGCGCAACGTGCTCTTCCTCGCTCAGCGCCGCAGTGGAGCGCGCCTCCGTGCCGGAGATGTACGAAGCCAGGATCACGCCTGGCCCGGTGCCGTTGAGGTCGTAGGACGGGTAGCAAACGCTACCCACCCCGGCCACATCGACCGAGCCGCAGCCACCGTAGATGGGTTCATCCAGGTGCTCCCAGAAGCGAGTCTTGTAGAGCAGCGCCATCTTACAGGCCGGATCGTAGTTGAGCGTTGAGATGGCGCGGCTGAGCAACGAGGAGTACCGGGGCAGTTCCCAGAGTCGCACTTTGCTGAACGGCGCAGCCACGACGGCGTAATCATACTCCTTCGTCGTGGGCGTCATTGCGAACAGATCGTCCCGCCAGGAGACTCCGATCTTCCCGGAGGTTTCATTATACGTGAGTCCGCTGATCGTGCGGTTCAGGGTCAGTCGGTCCGAGACATGCGGATAAAAGGCGCGAGGCAGGGATTCGAGACCCTTGTCGATGGTGCGCCATTCCGTGGCGGCGAAGTACACGTCGTCATATAGGTCCCCCCAGATGGGAGAGTCGGTGGTTCCGGCAACATAGTCGCTGATGTTGGCATTATATCCAAGAGCGTATTGCAGGTATCCGGCCTCCGACCAGTGAAACATGTTGTTGTCCACAGCCCAGCGGTGCATCTTGTACATGTTCATGGCAATCTGAGCGATGGTCTCGCGCGAGTCGATCGTCGTATAATTGTCATAGGCGGCTTTTGCATCGGCAACAGCCGTAGCGTTTGACGAGGCAGCCGTGTAGACTAAGGATGAGTTGGCGGCGACGTCTGCGGCGGTGGGGATGCGGCCGTCCGGGAGACGGACACCTCCCGAGTCGGCAGGCACATTGGGGGTGCTCTGGTGCCAAGGAATGAAGTTGACCTGAAGCTCAGGCTCGTCGACGTTCATCTGGTTCAGAGCCCCGGCCAGTTGAAACACCATCCGGTGGTCCATGATCTCAAGTGTCTCGTTCGTGTCGGAATAGGTAATGCTGACAGGGAATCGCATCGGGCCCATCTCCTGGTACTGGTATTGGTCGGGGCGCGTGTTGTTGAGGTATTTGGTGCGAATGCGGCCGCCGATCCTGCCGGAGGACTCGAAGATGTGCCAGTCATGGATCCTGACCGACTCGAGGAGCAAGCTTGTCATCAAGCCGGACATGCCACCTCCGAGGATAGCGACCGAGGTGTTCTTAGCTTTGGCGACCAACGATGCGTCCTCGGTCTTAGACTTCATGTATGCGACCCCATCAAACCAGGGGCCCTCCATGTCGGCCACATCGGCGATGCTCTCTCGTTTGTCGACGCGCTTGGCAATTGAGACGGGCGCAGAGCGACCGACCAGAGAATTCCCCGAGAATGCATGCAGGCAGTGTAAATGAGGAGCGTCGGACGGAGTGATCCAGACCAGTCGCCCGGGTCGGGCATCTCGTTGTACAAACACGCTGGTGATATCGTGGTGGCTCTGGGAGGGGTCGCGGAGGTTGCAGTCTCCATACACGACTCGCAGGGGGCCTGCAAATTCATGATCGAGAAATTCCAGATGGATGTTGTGCAAGGAGTCTGCGGTGACGTCCACCAAGTCCCTGAATCGCACGAGGTCGTAATCGACCCCTGTCCGCGCAACCCCAGCATCACTGAGGCCAGCGACTGCTAAGCTTAGCAACAATTGCCTGAGATATCTCTTCATCTTCCGCTGTGTCCGGTCAAACTATGGCGAGAGGTGTTGTGCTCTGCTGCTCGATTGCGATTGTCCCAACCCCAGCGCCTGGGGCTTTATACGCCTTCCGCGGGCATGATTTGAGCTCGCTGCCACCGCCCGTTATCAGTTGAGCTTGTCCCTCTCAATCCGTGACACAACAAAACCGGACCTGTATCGCCAGACTTCGATTAAGGCGCGCCTTTGCCATGACATGGCCGTGTGGAGTTCAGTCCTCGGCTCGGTTCCTCTAAGCGAGGCCGCGGGTTACTGATTCTTCCGGTGTCGGGACTTCTCACTGGGAGACCGTTATCAATGTCTCCGCCTGGATTTGCCAGTCGAGCCAAGAGGCGAGTAAGCCCCGCGCGGGGTAGGTTGAATTGGCGGGATGGAAGTTGTGTAGGATCATCCCTGACGTATCTGAGCTTGGGGGGGGGTGAGAGCGAGATAACGAGGGTGGGTTGGTGCCGCACTGCCGATATCTCCTCAGCTGGTTCGGTGCTTATCATGATTTGCTCTGAGGGTGCCAAGCACACGTGGTTCGAGATGCTCTTGGCAGGGAAGATAAGTGAAAAAAATCTCAGATAAAACACTGCAAGGAGTAGTTTAGACGAGGGGGTCTTATCATGGGGGGAAGAAAGAGGGAGAGAGAGAGAGAGAAGACGACAACAATAATGAAGGATGGAGGATGGAGAAGCGGAAGAGACCGGCAGAATTGGGGGATGGGGAATCAGATCATGTGATCCATTGCGAGTTGTATGCGAATTGTGTGCAGGTGAGCTCTGCTCTGCACAGGTCTACAAGTCTACGGAGTAGATCTCAATTACTTCTAGCATCCTGTCAGATATATCATATGTCAGGTGGTCATATGGCCTTGCGCAGTGGAAAGTGCGATTGTCGACTGATGAATCACTACTCCCACTACTGAGACGATGGAAGATATAACTATAAAGTCCGCTGCGGCAGGCTGTACAAAACACCGAGTAGAGCACAAGAACCCAAGCAATCAGCTACCATTGAAGGACTCAATAAGACTAAGTGAAACCATATCACTACTAAAGCAAGATGAATAGGAAGGAAGAATGATTTCCGACCGTGGACATTTACTCGTACTGTACGGAGTACTTCACACTTTACTGCCTGAGGCGTCAATCTATCTTCTAGCCAAGTCGGGACTAGGGCGGAGTGACACAGTCGCGCCTCGATTTGTTTCGTTTGTCTCGTTTGTTCTGCCTGTCTTGTTTGCTTGGTTTGTTTCTTCGTCCCCACTGCCACCAATAACAACTTCTTCATCATCATCACCATCTTCCGAAGTCTTCCTCATCTTCTTCCCTCTACAACCACGAGTCCTGATATAACTTGCTCTTACTAGTAGCCATCTGAGCCACCGAGGTCAACGTGGCCCCACCCAAGATGTCGAATACCGCCATCTCCGATTGCAACTCCTTCGCAAACCAGCTCCGCAGCTCGACCGCCACCAGCGAGTCCACCCCATACTGATGTAACGGCTTGCTCGCATCAATGTCCGACGCCGCAATCGACAGCGCTTTCGATAGCTTCTCCGCGATAGCTTCCCTGGCCACTGCATGAGCGCTGGCCAGCGACTCCGCCCGTTGCAACGCGCTCGCGATCGAGTCGCTCGCGCCCGCACTGCCACCCGCTCGTTCGTGGACGGTGAGATGCCCGAACATTGGCTTCTTCAGCCACATCGCCTGCGTCGCATTGGGAGACAATCCCACGGTGACTTGGCAGTCCGAGGCCTTGTCTAGACTGACCTGAGGATCACAGTAATAGTCCAAGAGCGCGTGGAGTTGAGGTTCAGTCACCGGTTCCAACCCCATACTTGCGATCAACATATCCCGCAGCTGCGCGTCCTCAGCCACCGCCCCGGCAAAGTCGAACACTCCCAGATCCAGCGCAGTCGCCTTCTCCCCAAGCGCCACCCGATGACGTGCCAGCGCATCCTGGAAGGCGTTGCCCGCCGCGTAGTTGGCCTGCCCCGTGGTCCCGACGATCCCTGAAATGGAGGACAACATGATGAAGAAGTCCATACCCTGCGGAAGGTGACGGTGGAGGTTCCATGACCCTTGCACTTTGGGGGCGAGGGACTCGTGCCACGCTTGATGAGAGATGTTCTCGAACAACGCATCCTATCATGGTCAGGGTCAGAACGTGCATCGGGAGACACCATATGATATAGGGAAAGCTTACTCGCAACACCATGGCCGCGTTGAGACATCCCCGGATTGGAGGCATCTGAGACCTGCATAGCTGGAGGGTGTTTTGCAGCGGCACTTCATCCGAAACATCACAGGCTGGGGCTAGGACTTGGACGCCTCGTGTTTGCAGTTGCTCCACGAGCACACGGCCTCTCTCGCTTTGTCCTCCGGAGCGTGACAGCAACAGAAGGTGGCGTGCACCTCGATCCGCGAACCAATGGGCAATGTTGCTCCCCAGTCCTCCCAAGCCTCCGCAGATGACAAATGTAGAGTCGGGATCCAAAAAGTACGTTGGCTTGGTATTCAAAATCGTCTAGCACAGTGTTAGTGTCGCAGCCAAAGAAAGGGTACCCCGGGAAGCAGCTCACCATCACTTCGTCATCGGGGCGCATTTCCAAAACCATTTTACCGACATGCTGTCCGCCCTGCATGATTCGGAAGGCTTTCTCGATCTCACCCACTCCATGTCGACGGATGGGCTGCGAGGGGTGCAGCTTTCCTTGCTGCATGGACGCGAAGATCTTGTCAAGAGCAGCGGCACAAATTTCGGGTCTCTCCACCGACATGGCGGCGAGGTCCACGCCACTGTAGGTGACATTGCGAAGAAATTGAGACATAGGCAGCCTATGATTAGATAGTATGTCCCGCTTGCCGATCTCAAGGAATCTGCCATACGGCGCTATGCATTCCCACGAAGCCAGTAGACTCTCTCCAGCCAGCGAGTTCAGGATGATATCCACCCCTTTGCCGCCCGTGCGGTGCTGAATGGCTTGCGCGAACAAAGTGGTTCGACTGGAGAAGATGTGCGTCTCTGGAATCTGATAAGTGTCGATGAGAAATTGCTTCTTGCTCTGAGAGCCGACCGTCGCAAAGATGGTAGCCCCCGCGTTCTTTGCGATTTGAATCGCCGCTTGTCCGGTGCCGCCAGTTCCCGAATGGATCAAGACCGATTCGCCGGCCTGGATGCGCGCAACATCGTGCAAAGCTACGTATGCGGTGGCGTAGTTCACCGGAATCGCTGCAGCCTCGGGGAAAGAGATGCCAGGGGGAATTTTCACAACGGGCCCATCCTCGTGAACCCGGATCGAGGTGGCAAAACATCCGTCGCCGAGGGCAGCAACTGCATCTCCGACCCGGAATTTGGAGACAGCGTCGCCCACTCGGCTGACAATCCCCGAGCACTCGGAGCCAGTGTGCGTGGCCTTCAGTTGGCCTACAGCAATTAGTACGTCGCGGAAGTTCACGCCTGCGCACTTGACCTGTATCTCAATCTCATCTGGCTTGAGCTGTCGGTACGCTGTGGCATTTTCCAAGAACTGAAAGCCGCTGATCAGTCCAGGCGAAGAAGCGTCTAATTGCAAGGGGATTTGGCACTCAAACTTCTGCACTGCGCGCTGCTGAGAGCTGGCTTTGCGTGATACCGTTTCGTTGAGTTGCGCGGGTGTCACGATACGAGGGATGTGAAGCATATCGCTTTGTTCAATGTACTCTGTATCTGCACCCTTCGCAGCTGGCGAAGCCAGAAAACGAGCTAGATTCGCCACATGCTGCGCCACTTGGCTCAATGGTTTTTCGGGCTCCAAGCAAAGAAGGTGCAGATTGCGCCGGCTATCCTCTTCCATCAAGACGCGGAACAATCCTTCAACTAGACGGAAATGCGGTTTGGTTGGCAAGACACCCCCTCCTTGGTTGACCCACAGCACCTGAGATGCCGATGAAAGACAACTCTGAAGCTTTTTATACAGCTCAGGTTGGATGTCTGTCCACACCGGACGCTGGAGCTCGATGACGAAAACTCGAAGCGATTCGGTGTCTTTCTGATGGCTGATGGTTTCCTCAAGCGAGACGCTTCGAACCTGCGTGCATCCAATACTCTCGCATTGTTTGGTAATGGTATGTGCCAGGTGTTCCTGGTCGGGTTCCTTAGAATCGTACACTACCTCGATCTCTGTCACCGCACGCGTTTCGTGCTTGTTTTCGACCGCTGTCGAAATCATCAAGCTGCATTCGTGCCAACGCTCGCTGTCGAAGTCGGGTAACGAGACATCCACCCCAGAATATCCAACCTGTCGGAGGATTTCGTCCCATTGACCTTCGTCCACGTACCGGGACGAGTTGCAATGAGGCTCCGAATCTGTAGCTGCTTAGTATTGCGACCCTTCTGACATTGCGAAGAGCTTACCTTGCCACCATTGCTCAAATAGACTGGACACAAATGTCGACCGGCACTCAGGAACGACTCCTTCGTACACAACTAGCTTGCCGTCTCTACTTGCCGTGTGAGCGGACATAACACAATAGCGATAGATGTGGACTCACGGTTTGAGCAGCCTCCGCGCATTCTGCAATGCCTTTCGCAAACTTGCTGTTTTATGAAAGACCTGCATGACTGTCAGTTGCGGGCCCGAAACAACTCAGGGTGGGAGATATACCATCGAGGCCACGACCACATCATACGTGCCACACTCAACACCTTGCGTGGCCGGGTCTTGTTCAATGTCGAGCACATTGAATCCCATGTGCTCGGCTTCCGAGGCGAACCGATCCTTGGCTGCAGCGATGCTTTCAGGCGACGCATCAGTGAAGTCCAAGTGTGCGTATCGTCTGTCACTTGCATCCCCTCCCAATGTAGCCAGAATTATTTCCGTTACAGTTCCAGCATCTGCCCCTAACTCCAGGATCTTCATCTTGGGAAGGCGATGAGCCAGCAGATCAAGGTATTTGCTCAGGCCCCGGATGCCGTGCGATTCAGCGACCTGACTTGTTAGAGGCAGGGGCCGTGAAGTGAGAGGGTAACCACTTACATTTTCCCGATACGCTGCCTTCAGCATATCCCCTTCAAACAGACTGGACGGATCCAGCTCCCCAGTCAGGAGTTTTGTTAGATTGCGAGCGACTGTGGCGTACATATAGCCCTGTTTGCTGCCTAGAATTCGATTCTCGGCCTCCTCAATATACGATGGGTTGGTCATTTGGCTGGCAACACCCAGGGAGACCATGTGCTGGTGGTGGATCAGCCAGGTGTGGTACTTCTTGAGCTTCGGATTTGTTGGCTGGAACCCTGTCTCTACCAAGGCAGAGAGTGTTTCTGTCCCTCGTGCTGCGAGCACAATATCCAGGTCTTCATAAAAGCTTTCGTGGTCGATCGCATCAGCAGATGCAGTACTGCATAAACCGGCAATCTCCGCATTGCTCAGCAACATCAAATCTGGCTTCCACTCGATTTGATGACAGAGGTTATTCGCAGACTCATCGACCCCGTCAGTCAGACCTGGCGTGTCAACGATGTTCATACGCAACCCAGCCACGGACACTAAGGTCTTTTGCAACTTGTCGTCAAGTACAACGATGTTCGAAGATGGGCCAATGAATTGCGACACCTCGCAGCATGTGCCATGGACCTTGAGCACCGTGGATGGCAGCGCGTGGCTATCGACCCATAACGTCTCAATGTAGGTCGGCACCGCAGTTGGGATCCTATCCGTTTCCGAGGGTACTGCTGCCCAGATAGCTGTTTGAAGGATGGCATCCAGTGTTGTTGGGTGGATCGTCTCTCCCAAGAATGTCGAGAAGTTCTGGACCAGAGCAGTCACCTCTGCCTCCGCTCTGCCCTGGGAAAGCTCTTGCACCAGTTGGAAAGCCGGACCGTAGCCATAGCCTGAATCCTCCAAGGTATGATACAACTTCTCCCCCCCCATGGCCAGTTTAGACGTTTGTGCTGCCGCCGAGTAAGCGTCCCGCTGAGCGGCCTGCAGCTCAACTGCGAGCGCTTTCTCCATCTCCTCTTCCTTATCGCCATAGACAATCTGAACGGAGCCTGTGCAGTTATCGATCCAGGCCTCGTTCTCGAACGTGCAGACGTTGAAGTCAAACCAGCCGGACCGTTTCGATTCCATATTCTTGGCAGGCCGAAGATGAAAATTGGTCTCAATGCCTTGTGCCCCCGATGGCACCCGAATGGCCGCGCGGAAGGCGACATCTCGTACATTGAAGCCGGAGATCGGCCTGCTTGGATCCGCCAGCTGCTTGGCTGCCTCGATGGCCATGACCACCATCCCTGCTCCAGGGTAGAGGATCGTTCCATTAATCTTTGCAGATATCAGCATTACCCCCGGTCGCAGCCATTGATGGAATCCGTACCTTGTGATCCTGGACCCAGGGCATTTCAGACACCCGGATAATATTCCTCCACCGCGCTTCCAGCGGGTTCTGGTTCTGATCCGCCAACCCTAAGAGGTCGTTCCGAGCGAATCGTCGCAGACGGTGACCTTTACTTATTTTGCTCTCGTACCAGTAGACTTTCTCGTGGTTGAAGGGATATTCAGGCAGATCTGGCAGAGCTCGACATGTTGAATCGTCCTGGTTGACCAGGGTCAAGTCGATGGGATATCCTGCGGTATACAGATCACCGAACACTGAAAAAGCGGTATCCACGGCGGACATGTTACGCACCAGCAAAGACAGGTATTTGATGGAAGAGCTCTTGCCGATGTCTTTCAGGATATCCTTGCAGGCACCCTGCAGTACTGAATGAGGCCCGACTTCCAGCAGGTGATCGATCTTGCGTTTCCGTCGGTGGCTGCCGTCCAGCGAATTCGTAGGGTTGGATGAGGCGGAGCAGAGCGTGGCGAGTCCATCGGAGAAGCGCACCGGCGATATCATATTCCTAACCCAGTGAGAAGCCTGACGCGGCTCGTCGGGGTCGATCCAGTCACCGGTGATGGATGAGACCATCTGAGGCCGGGTGTGCGGCTCTGAAGGGTCACCCTCCAGCTCGCCAAGAGCTTCCAGATACTGGGCCGCGATTTCCTTCATCTGGACGGAGTGATAAGCCAAGTTAACCTTGAGCCTGCGACAGAAGACCTTATCCAGGTCCAGTCGAGCCTTGAGTGCGTCGAGTTGCACCCCTTCTCCAGAGACGGTCACGCTCTTGGGACTGTTGATGCAGCCAACGGTCAGTCGTTGAACCTCAAACGCGGCGCTCACTGCTTCAATGTACGGCAACACCTCCTTTTCGGAGAGGGCGACAGCCAGCATGGACCCTTTCATCTGTGCGCTTTTCTCCAGCCGACTGCTCATATTGCCTCGGAAGTACGAGACCTTCCAGGCCGAACGGCGGGATATCCCGCGGGAACAGTATCTGGCCCATAATCAGCAGGACTCTTGCATGCTGATGGAACGGATACTCACGCCGCGGCAACCTCACCAGAAGAGTGGCCGAGTACGGCTTTGGGTACAATGTTGAACGACCGCAGCAGGTCCACCAGAGCTACCTGGAGAATTGTGCACAGAATCTGGCTGTACTCAGTGCGATTCACGTTCGATTCGCTTTCGATTCGCTGGAGCTCATCTGGATTCAATTAGCACCAGCTACGCTTGAGAGTGGAACATGTCACTCAGCATACCAACGGGATCCCATTCGCATCCTAGATTCCGGAGATATTCTCCGGCCTCTTCGATGCTTTGACGGAATGCAGGATACGTGTGGAGTAGCTCGCGTCCCATCCCGTACCACTGCGCTCCTTGCTACAAGATTGTCAGCGACCACGGTGGTGTGATGAGCAACCCGGAAACACCTGTACTCACGCCAGAGAAGATCATGGCAAGGTTGGGAGACTCCCGCGACTGAACAGCTCCGGAAAAACGCTCAGTCACTGCTCCCAGGTCGTCCGATGGCCGAGCTACGGCAAAGGTTCGCCACGGTAGGTGAGTCCTTCGTGAGGCTAGGGTATGTGATAGGCTCTTAAGGAAGGGATACTTATCCTCGACTGATTTGGAAAAGAAGGAACTCCAACTTTGCTGAAGGCGCGGGATACCCGCTTCATCCGCCGCAGACCAGACGAGGAGCTTCGGCGAATTAGTCAAGGACCTCGCAACTCCATTGGTGCCGTTCGATACTTGTTGGTGGACCCCGTTCTGAGTCGTACCGTTGGTGCGAGCCGAGGCAAGCGGTGGCATTGTGTTATGGTTCCCTTCCAGTTGGTTGAGTTGGAGGTAGTGATAGGCGTCATCTAGGACAATATGTGTGTTTGAGCCTCCATAGCCAAATGAGCTGATGGAAGCACGTCGCACATCGCCCGTTGGCCACGGTAGGGCTTCTTGAGGAAACTTTGACAGTTAGCTTTATGCTTCGCCGCTCATCAACGGCGCATTGGGGCTTTACTTTGATATTCCAGAACTCGTCATCAATTCGCGGATTCAGGGTCTGCAGGTTCTCACTGTTTGGCGGAATGATGCCCTTCTCCAGCGCCAGAATGACCTTTATCATCCCGGCGATACCACTTGCACCCTCGAGGTGGCCGATATTCGACTTCACGGATCCTCTGCGGATCACATCACATTAGTCCGAATTGACGGACAACGAAGATGTAGCGAACTCACATGTACAACGGCTCGTCCGGCGAGCGATGCAGTCGGAAAACGGAACCAATAGCCCTGGTCTCGATGGGATCGCCCACGGCGGTGCCTATATGCTGTCAGCTCAAACCATACCGAAAGACGGGGGATAGTGAATGCTAACCAGTCCCGTGTGCTTCAAAATACCGCGTCTGCCCGATATCCAGTCCTGCGTTGACGTAGGTCTCGCGAATCAACGCTGCCTGCATTTCCGCGCTGGGCTGGGTGATGCCCGGCGTCTTGCCGTCCTGATTCGAAGCTGAGGATCGAATCACTGCTCGAATGACGTCCCCGTCGCGCACAGCGTCCTCCACGGTCTTGATAACCAGCACCCCCACACCTTCACCGCGCGAGTACCCATTGGCACGGTCGTCGAAACTGAAGCACCGACTGTCCTTCGACAGCAGACCCAGGTTATCCATCATCTGCGTTACCTCAGCTGCCAGCAGGAGATTGCTTCCGATCGCCATGCCCTGATCATGTTAGCACACAGCCTGCATCCGTCCAGGGCGCTTCAAACAAACCATCGTCGCCTGGCCGCTCCAGATCGACTGACACGTCATGTCGATCGCCATCAAACTACTCGAACAGGCCGTGTCGACGGTCGCACTGGGCCCCGTCAGATCAAAGAACCAACTGACGCGGTTGGCGAGCATGTTGCCCGTCGTCCCCGTGATATCGTATTTATGCTGGTGCAGGGGATCCTTCGCCCGCGACATCAGCCAGTCATGGCCGGACGAGCCCGTAAATACTGCGGTTCGAGACTTCGCGATGCGCTGCAACGGGATCCCCGCGTTTTCCAGCGCGTGGAACGCGGTCTCAAGGATCAACCGCTGCGGCGGCTCCATCGCCTCGGCCTCGGCGGCGGTGATGGAGAAGAACGGCGCATCAAAGCGGCGGAGATCCTCCGTCAGGAAATGCGCCCCGCGCATGGACAGCGCGTCCAGGCGATCGGTGTCTGCGCGGTGGTGCGTGTCGATGTTCAGTCGGTCCGGCGGGAAGTCGGTCGAGGCGCATCGTCGCTCCACGAGCATCTGCCAGAAGGACTCCGGGGTGACGGCATCTTGGGGCAGTTTGAAGGACAGTCCGACGATCGCCAGCGGTGTCGGAGGCTTTACTTCTACCGTTTGCGCCATGGATGGAGGAAGGGTGTAGATGTGAATGGGATGCCCTTGGGAGGCCAAAGCAAGAAGTCTATTCTAGGGAGGAGGGACCGCGGTGGATGGCCTTCCAACCGACCGACGAACCGCCTTTATTACTTTTGACTGAACTGACAGCATCTTGGGATTCCGCGTCACTTTTCCATGCTGCTTGGAAGGGGCTAGTGGAAGAATGAGATCGCCTCTTGCATGATGGGGTTGGGGTTGGGGTTGGGGCCTGAGACTGGGCACTGAGGCGCAAGATGCGAGACGCAATCGAAAAGTCACCGGTAATTTACTAGGTGCCAGATTTCAGCCAATTTCCCCGAGACCTGTCAGCTCAACCGCAAGCGATTCGCAGGAGTAATTCCGCCCAAGAATGAGAATTGTGGGTCTTATCTGCAGGCTGTTGCTCGGCGTGCAGCAAAGGTCAATGCTGCCGAGCGCAACGCCACTTTCAGCCCATCCGCACATACCATACCGGTACAATGGTTCAGACTGCAGTAATCTATTCCGTAATCTGACAGATAATGAGCCCGGCGTGATTGCGGATCGTCGGCTATGCCGAAGAGTTGGGTCTCAGCCTCGAGCATAGACTCCTTGCAGGGGGAAGCGCCCCTCGTCGTCTTCTCCTCTCTGATTCTTTTTGGCTTTGCTCAGCATTCCTCGGTCCAGTTCGGGCATATCAAACTTGCGGGATGCTGCTACGCGTTATAAGTTGATTATCTGGGGCATACCGAGCGAGGGATTGACCTGTTTTCTGCCAACCCATCCCTCCGTGATCCTCGACAACGGCGATTCTACAAATGCGTTTCTTGTGGTATACATGATGAAGTCAATGGTCCTTCCTGTCTTGAGGTTAATCTTAGTTCTTTGCTAGTTTACACGGACAAGGCAGCAATGCCCGAGTGAGTGTGACCCGGCCCGTCATAGACGTACTGACCTGACTCTTCGACACAGATCTTCCAGCAGCAGACTGGTATGACTCTAGCTAGCAGCCTGCAAGCCAATCCAATGGCGCTGACACCATCAACAGCCGCACTGCGCTATGAACTTGGAGACGACCACAGCTACGACTTCGTCAACGGCGCGGTCGCATGGGAAACCGATCGAGGTGTGCCGCATGCCATCCTGCTCCAACTGGCCCAAGTGCCCTAACTGAACCTCACCCACCCTAACCACCCAACAACAGATCTGGATCAGTTCGTGATGGGTGAAGAGCAAACGTTCGCGCACTGTGACCCCGACGGACCCGAATCATGCCTCCAAGCTCTGGAGCACCTCGAACGGTACATCGCCGCGGAAGGACCTTACGACGGCATCATGGGGTTCAGCCAAGGGGCCAATGTTGCCCTGAGCTGGCTGCTCAAGTTGCAGCGCGAGGCACGCCCACTGCCCTTCAGGTTCGGGGTCTTCTTCTCCAACCCGTGGGCTGTGTACGATTACCAGGAGCTGGTGGGCGGTCGCATTGTGCCCTTGCAGCGGGACGCGTGCGCGGGGATGCTGGATCTGCCGACGGCGCATATCTGGGGGTCGGCGGACAAGAACGCACCGGCGTCGGAGGCGATCACGGCGGCCTGTGTGGAAGGCAAGCGATCAGTCTGGGTTCATAACAAGGGCCATGAGATTCCCGTCAACACTGACGCGGTGATCGCGATGGGGAAGACGATCACCCGGGCGCTGGTGAGAGCTTCGACGACGCAATATGCCTAGCTAGTCCTCCCTCCAGTGGATTAGCAAATGTACCAGTGGTTTGCTGCCCGTAGTTGATCCTTCACCCTCGTCTCCGTCGGGGTTCTGCTGAGCGAGCAAACGGCAAATGCAAATGAAGATGAGATGCGTAGCGTATAGGGGGGCGTAAACCGAGCTACCAAGACGGGAGAGAAAGAGGGGAAAGGGTCTGCCAGCCGTGTTTCGTGCAACTCCTGGCATTATCCTGACTGGTGGACGATAGCCAAGAGGGACTGTATCTGTACACTGCCTCGGTAGCAGTCTTCTGCAGCGTATGCGCTGGCAGACGCCGGGTTTCGAGGTGTGAGTGCAGGTGGGCCCAACCAATCAAGCACAGCCTCTGCGGAAGCGTCTGCAGTCATCCAAGCCCTGACAAATGCAAGGAATGGTAAGACAAGACAAGAGGATAGACCAAGAAGATAAGCGCTAAGTTACCCAACCCTGGTGGCTTCAATCCGCTCGTATTTCCGCCGATGCTATAGCTCCGGGGGGAACGCATTCCCATTGACACGACAGAAGGACCTGCAAGCTAATTGACTGGTCTGATTGTCTAGAACCGATGCATTATTTAGTGGAGACACCACCCTTAAGGTATGGTCTTGCTGGACTCGTACTCCGTACCGTGCGCATGCATCCTGCAGACTCAAGTAAACCACAGGAGGTTCAACGGTATTACAAAGCTCCTGTATCGTCATGTTCCCGTCACGGACATGCAATTTTGCAGTCTGTGTTACGCTTCGTTTGACGCGATGGGCTGGAAAAGGATTCTTGGGACATCCAGACGATCTAAAGGACTCGCGTCGATGATGGGACACCCCGAACACCCCCAACACCACATTCATCAATCCCATCTGGTTTAAAAGGACACTGGCATGAAGAGGAGCATCCCGCATTTTCTTGGAAACCCCATCTGTTGATCATGCCGTCCTCCAGAACCACCGTCTCGCTGGCACAGTATCTGTTCACCCGCATCAAGGAAGTTGGCATCCGGTCTGTCCATGGCGTGCCCGGCGACTACAATCTGGTTGCGCTCGACTACGTATCGAAGGCGGGTCTCCGGTGGATTGGGAATTGCAACGAGCTCAATGCTGGTGAGACTTAGGCCCTTCTGTATCCTACCTACCTACCTACCCCATTGCAGACACCCTCGACTGACGGGACGACGACCAGGATACGCGGCTGATGGCTACGCCCGGGTCCATGGCATCTCGGCGCTGATGACTGTCGCCGGGGTCGGGGAGCTGTCAGTCTCCAATGCCATCGCCGGAGCGTACGCCGAGTACGTCCCGATCGTGCACATTGTGGGACAGCCGAGCTTGGCCTTGCAGAAGCGGAAGAAGCTGCTGCATCACTCCCTGGGCGATGGGGACTTCGAGAGCATGGCCCGCATGTCGCAAAGGACGGCCTCGAAGAGCGTCAAGCTCCAATGCGTCAGCCAGGCACCGGGACTCATCGACGAAGCGATCAGCCACTGCTGGAAGTCCAGCCGACCCGTCTCCATCGTCTTACCCACGGACATGGTGCATGCCCCCGTCATGGCCGAGCCGCTCTCGCGGCCGCTGGACATGCTGCCCTCGCCCAACGATTCCGCGACGGAGCGGTGGACCGCCGATGCAATCTTGCGCGCACTTCGGATCGCCCGGCAGCCCATCCTTTTGGTCGGAGGGTACAATGTCCGGTTCACGAAGAGGCAAGAGGTGCAGGATCTGGCCGAGGCCTTCGGACTGCCGCTCTTCCTGTCTGCCTCGGGCAGGGGTATTGTTGACGAAGAACATCCCTGCTTCCATGGACTGTATCTCGGGGACTGCTCCGATCCGTCCACCACCCGGAAAGTACGCTCGTCCGATTTGATTATCTCCGTCGGCAATATTCATTCGGATTTGAACGTCGCCTCCGTGTCGTGGGAGTTTGATCCCCTGAAGATGGTCGAGATCCGCGATGGGACGGTGCAAGTCCAGGGCAAGGCTTACCACGGGCTGAACAGTCAGGGGCTTCTGCAGACTCTCGTCCGCCGAGCAGAAGAGTTGAGTCAGTCTGCCCGACGAAGCCCTGTGGCTACTGTGCAGCCTAACACATCTGCAAGCCCACACCCGATCTACGCACCCCCCCCGATCACCCCCACGACTGTCGACCGCGAGGCGATCTACGGCGGCGGGCTGATGATGATGCAAGGGATGCTGAAACGTATGTCCCATACGCTGAGCTACAGAAAGACGACCGGGGCGCTGAACCACGAGTGGCTCTGGCCGGCCCTGAGTGAATGGCTGCAACCCGGGGATACAATCATCGCCGAGACTGGCACCTCCAATTTTGGCATCTGGTCCACCCGGTTTCCTCGCGATGTGACCTATATCAGCCAGTATGTCTGGGCGAGTGTGGGATATTCCCTGGGCGCCTGCCAGGGGGCTGCAGCGGCCGTCCAGGATTCAGCCCTGCCCGATCGACGTACTGTCCTCTTCATCGGCGATGGCAGTTTTCAGTTTACGTGTCAGGAGCTGAGCACGATCGTCAAGAACCATCTGACCCCGATCATGTAAGTCAATTGACCCATCGAAGTCCGCAGCTGCATTGGGGATGATTAACTCCGATTGTTCAGATTTGTGATCTGCAACAATGGATACACGGTGGAGCGGCTGATCCACGGATGGCATGAATCGTACAATGACGTTCAGGAATGGAAATATCGACAGCTGCTGGAGGTGTTTGGGGCGCAGCAAGGGTCCTATCAGACATATCAGATCCGCACCAAGGAGGAACTGGCGGCGCTTCTGCAGGATTCGGCGTTCAATAATGGGCGAATGCTTCGGGTGAGTTTCCCAGCGCTCGGTGATGCATCGATCCACGCAGGTGACTGACCCCATTGGCCATTTGGTCATCATACCGGTAGTTTGTCGAATTACATATGGATCAGAATGATGCCCCCTCGGAGCTGAAAACCCTCACCCAGCAACTCGTAACACGGGATACGCATCCGCATCCACCAGACTCCAGCAGCAAAGGGGAACTAGTGACTTGAATTGCAGAGGACTAACTACGGAGTAATGTATAGACTTACTATCTTCTTTTTTTTTTTTTTTTTGGCCCTTCTCAGTGAGTGAGTGGTGAGAATGGTGAGAATGGTGACTTGATGGCAGCCAAGTAAATAGGATCGGTGACTTCGAACAATACAGTACAGAATAGTACACTATAGTACAGTATCGTGGTACTGCAGACCGCCAAAGGCGGTAAGTGTCATTTGCCGCCCCGGGCCTGGGGGGCATAATACGGAGTCTGCGGGGTAGAATAAAAATACAGTTGCTTACGGTACTGTGGTCTCATGTATTACCGGCCCTAATTTCTCTCTCTTTTTCTCTCTTGCTTTCTTTCAACTACTTATCAGTTATCAGCAAAGTCACTCACTCGTAACTCAGCCACCCAAACAAACACATACCTGCAGACTGCCAGGTTCATGCATAATGCATGAGAACCCCTGCCGTCTTTGAGGGTGAGACACCCTGATCCCCCTCACCAAAGCACTCGACTGTGACTTTTTCCGACTCTGCCCTCCTCCAAACAATTTCTCTAGCTTCTCCCCAAGCCCAAACCCCACCCCACCACAATCTCTCGTCTCTATCATGGAGAAGTTGTCCATCGTCCACGGAGCAGAGGAGCCCGCCCTGTGGTCCCAAACTCTGGGCCAGCTGGTCGAGGAACAGGCCACGCAGTATGGCGACCGCACGGCGCTGGTCACCCCGTGGCAAGACCAGCGATTGTCTTTCCGCCAGCTGGCGGACAGTAGCCAGGTGCTGGCCAGCGCGATGGTGCAGGCCGGCCTGCGCCTGGGCGATTGTATTGCGGTGTTGGCGGGCAACCGCTACGAATACATCCAGGTGTTTCTGGCCGGGGCGCGGATCGGATGTCCTGTGCTACCCTTGAACAACGCCTACACCCCAGCGGAAGTGCTGCGCGCGTTGCAGAAAAGTGGTGAGTGGGTTACTATTCTCACTATTCAAATCTCCGTTTTCCAGCCGCTTTGCTCATAGACCTCCCTCTCAGCAACTCGATTCCTCTTTCTCGCTTCGCAGATCGGTCCCCGCAGCCTGGCCCCGCATCTCCAGACCTTACTCTCGCCCGCGTCGCAAGCCACCTTGCCGGAGCTGAGTGGGATTGTATGCTTCGACAGTGACGGACCCTATACCCAACCACAGGTGCAAGGCTACGGGTGTTTCCTGGCCTCGGGCGAGAGGGCAGCACAGGATGAGGGCCTGCTGCCCGCCGCGGAGCGGATCGTGCGGCTGTCCGACAATCTCAGCTATCAATTTACCTCGGGGACGAGCGGAGAGCCGAAGTTGTCCATGCTCACCCACCGGTAGGTGATTCAACTCCCTAGGATTCCGTGGGACAATCTCTAATACGTGAATACGTGGTACTTGTATCAGCGGCCTCATCAACAACGCCCGCCTCGTTGGCGACGGGATGTGCCTGACCCCCGCCGACGTGGTCTGCTGCCCCCCACCCCTCTTCCACACCTTCGGGCTGGTTCTCGGCTTTCTCAACGCCTTCACCCACGGCAGCGCCATCGTTTTCCCCTCCGACCATTTCCACGCCGACAGCGTCATCGACGCGGTCATCCACGAAAAGGCCACCGCCCTGCTGGGGGTGCCCACCATGTTCGTCGCCGAGCTCGAGGCATGCGCGGCCCGGAAGCTCGACAAGATCACCACCGTGCGCACGGGGCTGGCGGCCGGGTCGCCGGTCTCGGAGACGCTGCTCAGTCGGCTCGAGGAGAGGTTCGGCGTCAAGGGGATGTTGATCGCCTACGGGATGACGGAGACCAGTCCCGTGACGTTTATGACTTCGTTGGATGATCCCAGGGACAAGGCCATGACGAGTCTCGGGAGGGTACTGCCGCATACGTCGGCCAAAGTGATCAACCAGGAGGGAGTCATTGTGCCGCGGGGCGAGAGCGGCGAGCTATGCACCAGTGGGTACGGGCTCCAGAGGGGGTACTTTGAGAATGAAGCCAAAACGAAAGAGGCAATGCAACGCGACGCGGACGGGAGGTTGTGGATGCACACCGGAGACCAATGCTATCTCGACGCGGAGGGATACTGTCATATCAGTGGGAGGATGAAGGATGTGATTATCCGAGGTAAGACTGCCCAAAGACCCTACCACGCCGGGAATCGCGTCTAACCCGGTATCCTTTCCTTCCAGGAGGAGAGAACATGTTCCCCCTCGAGATTGAGGAGCGTCTCCTGCTGCATCCCGCCATCGCAGAAGCGAGCGTGGTGGGCGTGGCGGATCCCAGGTACGGCGAGGTGGTGGGCTGCTTTCTCAAGTTGACCCAGGGACACATTCAGCCGCAGGATCAGGAACTACGAGACTGGGTACGGGTGGAATTGAGCTGGCACAAAGCCCCCCAGCATGTCTTCTGGATTGGAGACGGCGGAGTGTGTCCGGACTTCCCCAAGACTGCCAGTGGCAAGCACCAGAAGCACATCATGAGGGAGATTGCGAACATGTGTCTATCTGGGCGGCGTGCAGGCAAGGATCTGCCTTTTCGTATGCAAGTGATCTCTCTGTTTGGGCTCTCGGTGTGCTTAATTCCGGTGGCATTGTATCTGTCGACTTTGGCGTGACCGCATCAATGGACTTCTACTACTGCCCCCATTGACTTCTGGATTGTTGGCGTGCACAGGGAAGCTGTTGAGCAAGCAATCTTAATGCCCAGGATGACACACGTAACCAACATTTGATTCCTGCTATGTAAACCTAACCGCCAAGATTGCTTCGACGGGCTCTATACACTGTCATGGTAACGTCGATCAGTATATTGTCATGTATCTCATCAGACTACCTAGACCAAACCCTAACGCAGTGGAGTACCCTATCACTCAATCAACGGAAACCGCGTGAGAGCATGTAGCACATTCTCCTTCTCGCTAGACAGCACGAACAGCACGAACAGAACCGCAAAGGAGCAGACAAACGAGCCCAGCAGATTGACCGCTAACCGGGGTCCAATGCCCCAGACACTCAGCGCCCCGCTGGCCGTCTTCCCTCCCAACAACGCTTGACCCGCACCCACCGGCGACGACGCCTTGGCCGGCACCAAGGTGCGATACTCATCGACCCGCCGGGACAGATCACTTGACATGGGGGTGCGGGCTCCCTTGCGCGCCCGTTCGCGGTACCGGTCCATCAACGGCACGAAGATATAGCCTCCCGTGGCATATCGCCGGAGGTAGGCCGCCCCGGGTTGGGTATCGAGGTGCTCGACGCACCGAATATACAACCAGCGCAGCTCGCGCTTGAGCTGGACGCGGTTCCGCCCGGCCACGGCCTCGGTCTTCTCGCCCTGCAGGATCCCCAGCGCCTCCTTGGCGATGTCCATGGACAGACAGTCGCAGATGGCGGCCATCTCCACGGCGGCATCCTGGGGTCCGCGCGACCGGGCCCCGCGGGCGGCGAGGAGGATGATGGCGACGTTGTGAACCCCCGCCGTCATGACGCGGAACTGGGTCATCATTGTGGTCTTGCCCAGGAGCAAGGGCCGGAGGCCCCCATCCACTTTCTCCACGTACTGCATGATGTACTGGCGCCAGGTGAGCATCTCGAGGAGCTTGATCTCCTCCGGGTGGACGTGCTCCGCGCGCAGCCCCGCCAGGATATCGGCCAGCGAGTGACCCAGCAGCGTGAAGGTGCCATCCGCCAGATCCTGCGGGGGGATGACCAGGTCGTCCGAGATGGTGCACAGCGCCAGGTACAGGTGCTTCCACTTGTGGTGCTCCAGCGAGCCGTGCCACACCGTCCACCACTGCAGCGCGTCCCGCATGGCGAACCGGCAGACGTCCTCGGAGGACTGGTCCTGTTTCCCGCTGTGCAAGGTATAGTCCTCCGGCCGGCGAGCAGGGGCGGCGCGGATGAAGGCGTCGATATGTGCCACGAGGGCATCCATGCCGTCGCACGTACAGGGAGGCCGGCTGGTGTCGCCGATGGCGGAGAAGAGCCCCATCACGTCCTCGGGAATCTCGACCCCGAAGTTGATGTTCTCATTGCGGGCTTTGGGGGGTTTCAGATCACAGCAGTGGGTGTGTAACTGGATGGGGTTCTCGCCGAAGTAGGCCTTGACGGCTTGCCACATGGAATCCATGATGGTCTCGTTAAGGGATGACTACCACGGCCGTGCTCTCTGACTTTGTTCGGATGAGAGGCTAGTTTGAGTACAATTTATGGCTGCTGAGTACCAAGGGGCTCCGCTGGATTCGCCTCCGTCAGGATGTCGTCTGCTGGGCACTCTCTCCGATGGCCATACATACCAAAGACCCCTCTCGTCATGAGAACGCCTTTCCTGTGCAGTACAATGTTACCGAACGAGACGAACGCGCTCCTCTCATCTGTACCACCCGCGTGGGCAAACATTCACCCCCGCCGGGATTTGAGCATGCATGAAGATACGAGCCCTTGACGCCGTGATAAGCAGAATGAACGTCGATAGCACGACATTGCCTGCCGCCAAGTCGGAGAAATTGGCAGTAATAGTGGGTATATTGGTCATGGAAAGGTGCGGCGACTCCGATTAGATGAAGTAGCAAGGTCGTTCTTCGTGCTGGTTGCCTCAAAGAGCTTGAGGCAAGTAGCCCCGTAGGGTGTCTACCGGAACACTCTTGGATGCTAGACACGTCACGGCAGATACGAGGAAGGATTGAAGACTCCCGTATCGGGTCTCTCCACAGGAACGATTAGGTGAAGTTGAATCCCAATAATAGCGGCGGGGGGGTTAAAACTATACAGGGACAAGTATGGATCAAGGCTCCCGTTCTCGACATGGTTGTCTGGGCCTTGTCACACAGCATGTGGGTGCATTATCAGGGCCTTTATCTGACGCATAGTGGGATAAGTGCAATACCAGGCCGTAAGTGGATTCGTCCGCAGAACATGCATCGGGTTGATGACAGCGGACTAGTGCGCTCAACACACCAAGCCTGCCATGATTCGACATGGGAAACGGCTACAGTCTCAAGGTCTGGCACATGGCATCCTGTCAGCGAATTGGTTAGGTGGGCCGGTTCAGCCCTGAAGGAATGGATACATCGTCATCTGCTGCCCGCACCCGACTGTCGATGAGAGGTGAAGCACCAAGTTGATTGGGTCGAGATAAAAGCCCCTAGTTTAGAACCGCAGGGCTGGTCTGGTAATTTTTAGCACCTATGCAACATCTGTTGGCCATGAGTCTTCAGGCAAGATAAAACAGACCAGTTTCCCTTTGGGGCATTAGGGCAACGGAGACGGAGGGCCAACCTGCAGATTCGCCTCGTGTTTGACTTCCACTAAGTAACAAGCTTATCCTGACCCCTGTTAGTAGCGTCGTAAGGAAGGAATTAAAGTAAAGCTCTGTACTAAATAGCCGTTAGGCCTGGAGGAATTGTCTCATCCTTGCCAAGCAGTGTCCTCGTGTTATGAGATTCACCAGCAAAATAGCGCCATCTTGGCCGTTACACTAGTCCGCTGGTCTCTCAACATGCTTCGTATGTATCGTCGTTTCTGAGTTTTGCAAATAACGCACAGTCCATGTGGCCTCGTCATTGGTGGAAATGGCATCTAGAGAAGAAAGACCCTTGGTTCCAGACCGTTGCAGAATACACCCATCCATCCTCAGCCTCCTCTGCGTATGGGCGTATTGTCTTACAAACATCCTAAGGACGAGAGATACACAAAGGAAGCCTGGATAGTGCCTAAGCACCAAATTACGGGACGTGGGCAGCCTGCCCTGGTGTGTGTTGGGGATGCTGCAAGCGCATCTGACTGCAGACTGTACTGCTCCTAGCATACGAATAGCCTCCGTCCACAATCAGACAGAAGGACGACGATGAGTGGAGGGGAACCTGCCGGCGATAAGTAAGGTTGAGGCTTTCTTCAGAGCCCAACCTTCCTCGCCAGTCTCAGCTTTTGTTTGCGTGGGCTCAATTTCTTTCTCTCCGCATTCACGTCCGCTGCGCTGTTTCTCTTCCAGTTCATCAGTCGCCGACTCTTTTTTCGCAGTTGATATCATGCTCTCTGTGGAATTGTCGGCCTACTTGGCTCTCAAGGCTCTAGCATTGGCACTTGTTCCAGTAGGCTCACTATATCCCCGCAGGACCAGACACACGATCTAACGAAGGCATCATCATGATAGTACTACATCGGCTTCGCGATCTACAATACCTTCTTCCACCCGCTGAGGCGCTACCCTGGCCCCCGGCTGATGGCCGTCAGCCGGCTCCCGATCGTGTTCGGGGTCATGACGGGCCACTCGACGGGGTGGATCAACCAGATGCACGCAAAGTACGGGCCAGTGGTGCGCGTCGCCCCGGACGAGCTGAGCTACGCCAGCGCCAGCGCCTGGAAGGACATCTACGGCAGCCATCCCGCGCGCCCCGGGGGCATGCCGCGCGATATGACCTTTTTCCGGTCGGTAGAAGACCAGAACGGGATCCATTCGATCCTCTCGGCCAACAATGAAGACCACGCGCGCATGCGGCGCCTGTACGCGCAGGCATTGTCCAAGCGGGCGCTGGCACAGCAAGAACCCCTGATCCTGGGCCACGTGAACCGGATGATGGAGAAGCTGGCGCTCGCGGCGGCGCAGAAGCAGCCGGTGGACATTGTGGACATGTTCAATTTCACCCTCTTCGATGTGGTCTGCGACCTCCAGTTCGGCGAGTCGCTCCACCTGCTGGACGATCCGACCTACCATCCCTGGGTACGCAGCCATCTGGGCGTCATCCGCAGCGCCTCGCTGCTGGCCTCGCTGATTGACTTCCCTATCCTCCGCATCCTCTTCAACCTGACGCTGCCCCGGCTGGTCAAGACTGAGCGCGAGAGCTACTTCCAGATGTTGAACGCCCGTCTGGACCACCGCCTATCCGCCGGTGTGAAGCGGCCCGACCTCGTGCACTTCGTCATGGAAGCCCGGACCGAGGCCGACGGCATCTCCGAAGGCGAGCTGCGCGCGACAGCCCCCATCATCATGATGGCGGGCAGTGAGACCAGCTCCACCGCGCTCAGTGGCTGGATGGCCCACATGCTCCAGCAACCGGAGATGCTCCGCCAGGTCCAGCACGAGGTGCGGGCCAAGTACCGGTCGAGCGAGGAGATCTCGATGCAGACCCTCAAGGACCTGCCTCTGCTCGATGCGTGCATCAAGGAGGCCCTGCGTGCCTACGCCGCCGTGCCCGGCATCCTGCCCCGTATTGTTCCGGCCCCGGGTGCCACCATCTCAGGAGACTGGGTCCCCGAGGGAACCCGTGTGTATGTGACGCCCTTGGCGGCGTTTCGCTCGGCGGCCAACTTCCATGAGCCGGAGAGGTTTGCTCCGGAGCGGTGGTTTGCCCAGCCCGAGAAGCAGTACGCGCAGGATCAGCGCGATGCGTGCAAGCCGTTCTCGGTGGGGACTAGGGATTGCGTTGGTCGAGAGTAAGTGTTCCATCGCGAGAGATCCATTGGGCATGAGGCGTGCTAACATTCCGGTAATAAATAGAATGGCCCAGTATATGATGCTACTCATTTTGTGCAATCTGATCCTGCACTTTGACTTCGAGACCGTGCCTGCGAATGAGACATGGTTCTCGGGACAACGAATCTGGACGATCTGGGACAAACCGGCTCTGATAGTCAAGCTGATACCGGTCAGGGCCTAATTGTCGATGGCTTGACATGCGTTTGTGTTAGAGATATGGAATGTCACCTTGGGTGTAGGATGCCCTAACCACGAGCCTTAACGGTGGAAGCTCAACTTTTGCCCCAAGTGTTTCCTACAAATCTGATGGTGCTGTAGATAGCGGGGTAAGTGGGGGTAGAAGATTGCTGATCGGACGGAGATTCTTGACGTACTATGGAGAATTCTAGGCCCAGACCTATCCTGCATAGGCGCAGATGCAGAATACGAGGCTGTCAGCACTTGTATTGTTAGCGTTGCCGTACTGTACATGTACATGTATGTACTTACCGTACAGTGTGTGTGTGTGTTTGTGTGTTATATCTCTGTCTCCAGACAGCCACCTAGGGCACAATATAAACCTCGTCCCAGGGATAAACCGATAAACCGAGACATCTCCATTCCCTTGCCCATTTGTAAGAGCCCAGAAACCCAAGGACACCAAGGACACCAAGGACACCATGGCACCGAACCCCCCTCCTATCTTCGAGCCCTACACGCTCACCCCCTTCGACTATCTCCCTCCCCCACTGCACATGACAGCCTTTTTGACATTCATTCTTGACAATCCTGCGCGGGCCATCCCAGTCCTTGAAGCTGCCGTAGAGCGACTCATCGATGAGCTGCCCTTCCTGACAGGCAATGTGGTTCTCTCCTCCTCCTCCCCAATCCCTGGCCGACAGAATGTACGGGAGGTCCAACCCTCCACCGCAGCCATGCTGGATCAGCATCCAATGCTCGTTATCAAACACCTTCCCCGCAAATACATCTCTGGTCCGGCGAGAGCCTCGCCCGTCCGCGGCAGAGGCCAAGTTATCAATTACGACGAGATCTTCACGGAGGAATATCTCCCCCTCCCGCTGGACATGGGCTCCGCCCCAGCCAGCCCAGTGTATCGCTTCCAAGCCAACATTCTCGAGGATGGAATCATCCTCTGCGGCAGCGCACACCATAACGCCGTCGACGGAATGGGCCAATGCTTTGTCCTCGAAGCCCTAGCTACCTGCAGTCGCGAGGTCGACATCGCCAACACCACCATCACCGCCACCACCACCAACCTTCTCACCACCCTGGAGCAGGAGAAACAAACCCGCGACCTTATCCTCCAAGTCGCCAGCGCCGGCCCCGTTCAGACCCTGGATGGCCAATCCGCCGGGCAAACCTGGGGCGTCGCCGCTCCCCCCGACGTACCCAACCACCCCATCAGCCGCAAGCTCATCTTCTCGCCGGACCGAATCTCCCAACTCAAGACCCTTTGCAGCGCTCACCTCCCCACCGCCACCTCGGCGGGAGGGGCGCAGGCAAAAGACCGGATCCTCTCGCGCAACGACCTCGTTCTGAGTCTCATCTGGCTCTGCGTCATGCGCGCCCGCGCCCGACTCCTCGGTCCTGCGGCGGAGAAACACCACTCCAGCCTCAGCACCGCCATCGACGTGCGCGCTGCCCTGCGCCCTCCGCTCCCACGCACGTACATCGGCAATGCAGTGCACACCATCCCTCTCCACGCCCCCTTCCCCATGGCCGCCACCGTCGACGACACATACCCCTATTACCCGGATCTCCTCGACCCGACGAATCCGACGAACCCGACGGAAACTCTCCCGGGAGAGAGCCAGCGCGCACCGTTGGAGACGACGGTGCTGACCAACCTCACGCAGCTAGCCCTCCTCGTTCGCCGCGGCAACGCCTCGGTGGACAACAACTACCTGCGTCAGCATCTCGCGCAGGTCTACAACTCCCCAGACTGGTCAGTGAGCGCGGCCTCGCGACCCGCCGAGTTCGGCCAGAGCAGTCTGCGCAGTATCGGGACGTATCGTCTGGATTTCGGGAGTGTGCTGGGCCGGGTGCGCGATTTCGATGTCCCGGATCCCCGGTTCCGCAGCGCAGCGTGGATCCTGCCGGCGAGGGGCAAGGATGCGCCCTGGGAGGTGCGGTTGGTCTTGGAGCCCGAAGCGTTGGCCTTGGTCAAAAGGGATCCAGTGGTGAGGTGGGCGGTTGGGGGCGAGGGGGCGAGGTTGTGATATACGTGGTCCCTGGCTTCTAGAAATTAAGTGGCATAGTCATAGTCATAGTGGTAGAGTTGATTCTATGCGTTTCTCGTTCAATCGGGAGTGTGATTGTCTTGTGGCATTCTTGTACTATGATCATGCGCTAAGCAAACTAAACAGCCAACCGATCCCTCAGCCGCACCATCAACGACGGCTTATGCCAGATGAAATACGTGTGTTGATCATTCCACCGCTCGGACGCTGGACACAGCTCTATATCGAAGTGATACACCAGTTTGGCAAGGGTTACACGCATTTCCAGATAAGCCAAACTGTTTGCTATCAGTCGACAATCGTGCTTCACCAATGGGAATACTAACCTCTTCCCTAGACAGTTTCTGGCTCCCATGGAAAACGGCTGCAGCGTGTCTCTCCTATCCCCCTCAAATTGTGGGTCAGTGCCCAGCCAGCGCTCTGGGAGAAACTCCTTTGCCCGGAAAAAGTTGGCATCACTCATGTAGGAGGCGTAGTGCGGGACGTGAACGTCCGTCTGAAGTAGATAGAGTGAGTGCCTCGTTTCTAAGCTCACCACAAAAGAAAATAGAAGGGCAGGAAGTTGCGTACATTCTCAGGGAGAAATTGACCAGCGACGGTCGCACCGCCTCGAGGCACCACGCGAGGGAGATGGGCCGCCATGGGCGAGTACATGCGCAGCCCTTCATCAATCACTGCATCCACGTAGGGAAGACTGGCGCAGGTGGCCGAGGTGATGTCTGCATCCATCTGGAACGCCTCGCGCACTGTTTGACACAGTCGGTCCAGTGCGGACCGGTTGGTACAGAGATAGTAAATGCACCCAGACATTGCAGTGGCGGTCGTTTCGCTCCCTGCTAGGATGATACTACCCAGGTCAGCGTTGCATGGTCAACTTCAGCAGCAAGCGAAGTCGACATACAAGGTAGAGTTTGCGTGAACCTCATGGCGCGACATGCGCATCACTCTCTTCTCCTCCTGCGTGTGCGGGTTATCGTCCTCAAGCCCATTCTTAATCATGGCCGACATGAAGTCCACTCGGTCCGCCCCGAGGGCCATCCGCCGCTCGGCCTTTTCCGCACTGAGTTCAAAGTTCTGCATGATCTGCCGGCGGAACCACGCCGGAGTGCAGGCCTCCTGTAGCATCGCGAGCACCGGGAAGTGGCGAATGGCACTGAGGATCGTCGAGCCCATGATACTGTTGAAGATGAACTCAATCCAGGGATGCAGTTGACTATCCTGCAGGCAGTCGAACGTCTCGGCAAACATCAAGTCGCCCGTGATGTCGAATGCGGCGAACTCTAGCCACGCCTTGATGTCGATGTCCTTGCCCTGGTGGGCGAGGTCTCGCAGCCGCGAAATAAACAGGTCAATGAACGAGCAAATCCTTGTCTCCTGTTCGCGGATCGCGCGGTCGGAAAACCCATGCGCCAGAAGTCGTCGCTGTCGGCTGTGGGATTCATTGTCCAGAAACCCCCCAACGGCGTCGCGAGTGGGCATCAATGAGGACCCGTAGGTCTTGGGGTCTTTCGGAAACTGAGGCACGCCCGGGCGAAACCCATAGATGTCCTTGAACCCTTCCGCAGTGTTGAACGACAGGGCGTTGGGACCAGTCCGCACGATCGGACCGTACCGATCATGAAGAGCAAGCATCTTCAAATGGTGATGTCCTCGCATCAAACTGAGCTGGGAGGGGAGGTAGGACAAAGCCCACAGTCTGGGTCCAGGGTATTTGGCCAGTGGAGAGAGCAGCAACTCATACACCACTGCATACGACAGCCATGATACCATCTGAGTCCTACCTTTAGTCCATGGTCTGCGGGCAGGAAGGTAGACTTACCAGAACGCCCACCACATAGGGCCATGACCAGCTCGCCAGTACGGTGGCTATCGCCCGGTGTACAGAATCGCTGACGGCGCTCATTCTGACGCTGCCACTAACGTATCCAGATGTCGCTCTCTTACTCCTCGCTAGGACTGATCCTGAGAAAACCCACTTGATAAAGAGGTCGTAGGAGGGGCTACCAGCAGCATGCAGCAAGCCGTTGCAAACGAGGTGGCGAGTCCGAGCTTATCATCCCATGTCAGCCGCGTTTCTGACAGATGTCGAAGTCCTCTATCCGTCCGGAAACGGTTTTCGTCGTATTCGCAATTGATGATCAGATGTATGGCGTAATTTTCCTTTGCGCTTGTCACGCACTAACCCAGCAGACACCCCACTCAATACGAACGGGGGTAAATCCGTCGGAGAAATCCCGAGCTTCGCTGAGGGATTCCCCCTCATGCAGTGGCTCGTGTCATCCCTTGGCCTTCGGGGTTTGGGGCTGGGCGACGCCAAGCAAAATTGAGCTAGATCTTGGCAAGGATCCTGGTAAAACGGCCACAATGAAGACGGTCCAGGTCGTTACAGGTCGTTACGCTATCACCCGTGTGAATCGCTACAATCTGGTCCGACCGACTCTATCCAACCCACAACTGACCCCACGTCTCCCAAAAGTTGAGGGCCGATGATTCGTCCAGAAGAGCATCCACCATATTGTCCATATCAGTGCCAAGTCCCGGATTGCCAGCAGCCGTGGCATTGGTCACATCATCGGACTGTGCAGAAAGAGGTGCCGCCGCAGAAATCGAGACTGAAGTGTCTGGCTGCTCGTCGAGACGGTCGGGGCAGACTTGTTGAATGGCCTTGGCGAAGATTCCACGGTAGATGGACGCAACGGTGTAGACCTTCTGGAACTCCTCCATGACCATCATACATACGTTGAGCTTGTTGAGCCGGAGACGCCGTGATAGAGAGTTGCCAGTTCGACAGTTCAGAAGGTGCATTTGCATGGCCGGAATCAGTAGAGGTGGTCTATAGAGATCAGGATCATCATCGTAGAACAGACTGCCCCATCAGGGCTGACTTACGTCATAGGCAGGGCATATTCAAGCAGACTCTCCTGTGCGAGGGTTTCCAGGATTTCGTTGGTACGGGAGGCTGCAAAGTCGGCCTTGTGACGAATGGTTTCCTGCCACTGCGTCTGGTGATTCAGAGACACGTCGTCCGGCGGGTCGGTGATACACGGTCGATATAGGACGACGAGGATTGCTCTGCGAAATATTAGCGGAATAACGAACTAAGAAAAGGCTTGCGCATACTGATAATGCAATTGGAGGTGATGTAGGTAGAACCTCGTGGGACCATTCCAGTCCGGGGACGCCTTCTCTGGATGTTGTTGACAGCAGATCTCTGCCTCAAGAGCCTCAACTTCCTCACGCGAGGGTTTCGGACGAGCTGTCTTGTAGCTCATGGATAGGACAGCGCCTAGCAATTTGCTCATTCCTATTAACTGGATCCAATATTCAGCCAGGCGAGAGACTTCATCCGGAATGAAGGCGGATAGAAGTGGCTCCGGAACATCGTTGAGGTCATAGAGAAGATCTTCCACTAATGGCATGGCCACATCGCAGTCTTCGAGGTCAATACGTAACGGCCGTCCCAGCGTCAAACTCAGCCAACGATCCCGGAAGAAGCATGTCCACCATAGGCGACGCCAGAGATGTCGCTGACGGTCGGTGATAGATGCATTATATCGTGCCGCGTCGGGATTGCGATGGAGGCCGAGGATCTGGCAAAGAGTCACGGATATTCCAGTCCAGTACCAGGGCTGGACATGTTCATCTACTTCGGAGTGCCAGAAGCCGAGCATCAAAGAGGACTGCAGAAGAACGACCTTGTCTCGCTCTCCACTGTTGTTGTAGAGACACTGTTCCTCGAATTAGTACCTAACTCAGTACCATGTGCAGCTTCGTCGACCAGAATATCGCCTGCAAAAAGTTCTTCGACAAGCAGAGGTACCAAAGTTCTTTCTCGGAGCGCTTGCCCAAGCACGCCAGTATTTGCGCAAACTTTCCTTGAGCTCCGACAGAGTAGAACGTGGCAGCGAGGACATATTGAAGTCCGAAACACTTCTAAGCGATAGGAGCGTGATTGGGACGCGTTGGTGGTATTATAGGAAGCTTGTTCGCCCGCACAGACACAAGGGGAAAGAACACGCTATCTTACCTTTGCATGGGAATACATGGCTGCTTTCATCGCCTTTCGTGAGTCGTACCCTTCTCTCTCGCAGAGAGAGGACGGAACAAACTGCGAGGGCGTTTAGCTATTTTCTGGAATTTCGGCTCTCCAATTTCCACTCGAGCCGCAGCATGCATGCCGCAGACGCGTCATCGTATACTGGTCATGACCTACATTCACAGCAACAAAAAACACACTCCACACCAGCAGCAGATTGAACTCATGCAATCGTCCCGCGTGAAAGAAGTGCAGGATCTGATCCGCTTCGATGATCGGCATGATCGTATGGACATGACGAAAGTATGCCTGAAGCAGACAATGGCATGCTTCGCTGCTCGGTAAATTGAAGACCCCTTTGCTTGCCAGGTAATTCTGATCCTCCGCCGACAGTGAGGTCGCTGCGCGCGACGGAATCAGGAAATGCCGGGGTAGAGATTCTCCCGGAGCAAGGAGCGTCAGGGTGGAAGTTATTCCAGTCTTGTCCCCTGATCCGAAATGAGGCCGTTAGCCTTGGGTAGACTCAAGCCACGACGTTGTGCCCGGGTGGGCTGTAAGGAATGAGTAATACCGGTGTAAAAAGGAACCTGTCCGGCCCGTTCCGGGTTGCCCAAAGCGGCCTCTGCAATCTCGAGACCGTTGCGTTCCTCGTCCTGGATGCTGTATCGTTCCGAAGCCGAAGCAGCCGGTGAATTTGCTGAGACTCTTTGAAAGGCCGGTGTCCGAGGCATCGTCGGGCGATCTGCATCCCCTTCGGGCTGTGCACCGCGGAAAGACGGGCTACTGTTCACGGCACGTAACCGTTGTCGAGCCGATGCATTGCGCCGGCTGGTCCTGGCACTGCCCACACTCCGTCAGTAATTCTCCTATGTTAAGAAGATGCTCCCTGCCGGTCTCACCTCTCAGCCGGGGGAGGGTCCACCACACATTCGGCATGGTCTTGGGCACAGCGGATGCAGGGAACCCCGGTAACATTGATGCTGCATCGTACTTTACGCTGACGGCATGAGTGACAGGCGACCGTAGATCGGTAACGACGAGCTGACATAAGGAAGTTGTAGTGGAAGCAAGAGGGGATGGAGGACGGAGGACGGAGGACGGAGGATGGAAAGTGGAAGTTGATTCAAGGTAGTGGAGGTTCCTCGGGAACGTTTGAAGGAGAGAAGGAGACGAGGAGATCCCGCGGGAGGAGGCAAATGAGACAAATGAGGCAAATGAGGTAAACGAAGCAAACCGGGCAAACCGTTGTTCACAATGCATAGTCTGTCAGCATCCGCTATTCAACTGATTTTATGCACACCCTGATGGCATAAGTTAGCATCCTGCCAAAATACCAATACGTCCATAGGACAAGCAAGTAGGAAGAGAAGTACTATAGTAATCGGAATGTGGACAACTAATCATGGATACAGAATATTTCCTAGCACATCTAGCATTTGCCCTCTTGGATCTCTTGGATCCCTCATGTTCTCTCCAGAATGTCCAGTACAGTACATACATATATCTACCCCGTGGTCCCCCCGAAAACGAGCTGCGCGCACAGTACTAAAAACAGAAGATCTGATCCGACATCTTCGCCACTGCCCCAGGGGCCTCGAACCCCAGAGACACCAAAGCCTTCTTGGAGGCGTTCACCATCCCCGGTGGTCCGCACAACATGACCTTTGTATCAGGAGACGAGGCAGGCAATCGCTCCTTCATGGTCTCTGCCGTGACATACCCCCTCCCAAATGCCCAAGTCTCCGGTGGCGTATCCAACATGTACCAGATCTGGAGATTCCGAGGATAGCTTTGCGCGAACTGATCCAATTCCCGCCGCAGCAGAATATCGTCTTCCGTGCGATTCGCATAGATCAGACTGACCTCCGTAAGATCGGTCGGGTCCTCGCAGATCGCCCGGATCAGCTGGTACATGGGGGTGATTCCAGTGCCCCCGGCAATCATGCCGATACGCTTACAGATCCCCTGGGTATACTTCATCGCGCCCTTGGGGCCCCGGAGCTGAATCTCGTGGCCAATCTCCAGGTTGGCGAGATACCGTCCCGTCAGCAACCCGTCGGGGTAGCACTTGATCACCAGCTCCAAGACTCCGCGATCCAGGTTGTTCGAGGTAGGAGTATAGGATCTGGAGACGGCCCTGCCGTCGACGTTCGCCTTAATAGCAACATGCTGACCGATCGGCAGTCCGATTACATCCTGCGGGCTGGGGAGCTGCAGCACGAATTTATAGACGTTGGGGGCCAGTTCTTCTTTGCGAATCAGGGAGAGACTCTTGTACTCCTTGGGATCAAGAAATCCCTTGACCAGATGAGGATTTCTTCGAATCCGCTTGCGACATTTGATGTAGGGCGGGTACTTGGTGAAGCCCGACTTGATTTGGGTCATTTGTGATAACTTGGACGCGACCATCGAGCCCACGAGGGTCGCCAGTCCGGCTGCCACGGCAAACCCGGAATAGAAGCCCCCGGAGGTGGACAGCGCATGGGGGGATTGGAGCGAGGGCAAGAGACTTCGAAGCTCGGGAAGTGCCGACCAACTTGCAGGGAGTTTGGCCTGCAAGTGACGGCCATAAAACAGGGTGACGGCCGCCCCGCCGATGGAGAAGATGGTTAGGGCTACAGGCGTGATGGAATCGGCCTTCCCCGGGGCTGTGGGCGGCACAGGGCTCGTGGACTGGATCAATCGGACGGTCTGGGGTCGAACCCGCTCGCGTGCATCTTTCAATGTTCCAATGAGATATGTCTCGAGGATCTCGTCTGCATCCTGTGGATGTCATGTCAACCTTCAAACGTACTGTACATACGTGGTGAATATGACTCCCGTGCATACCTCGGAATGGCCCACGTCCTCATACGCTTCGGTCGCGTCCAGTCCAGCGACATCCATCAGTACTTCTGCCCCGCCAGGATGATCTCGAACATAATCGGTGACATTGTACACTACATCAGGGAGTCTCATCAGCATTTGACTTGTCATGGAAGCCAGCAGTCCACGAGTGAAGGGGGTATGGTACCTTTGCCACGAACAGCGATCCACAAATCATCCCTGGACTTGTGACCAGCAACCTCGTCCGTCGTATATTGTGGTAAGTTCTGCATCGCGAGAGGAGAGTGCGAGAGGAAGCGAAAGAAAGAAACTTCTTAGAGGCCTGAAAGTTCGGACTGAGGTCCCCTGAGCTGATTGACGGGCCAACGGTGCACAGAGACTCTTGTATATTTATAAGGTCCCAGAGCGGCCGTATGCCTTGGGCTTCTAGACCAACACTCTCCCGAACTCTGTCATGGCCCACATCCATGTCACACCCCATGAGCATCATGACCAATTGTCGAGGGCGAAATGAAAAGCTGACCGTCATACCTCGGGATGGAGCCGAGGGGCCCTCCTTCACTGCCGCGGGAGAGACAAAGCCGCGGGGGAGATGGATGCGTCTCCACCGAGGTATATGAGACTTCATTAAGAGTGGAAAATTGATACTGGCATCTACCCAGTTATAAAGACAGGGACAGGTCATTCCCCAAAAGGCCAATCAAGCTCAGATCAACTAGCTTATCATCGCGGCCACACATCATGTCGAACCAGCAATTCTATCTCTTGGGCGAGGCGACCACCTCCGCCAAACACATCACAATTGATGCATCGGCGAACCTGGATCAACTGAAGCACACGGTGGCTGCGTATTTTGCCATTGTGGAACCCAATGGTCAGTCTGACAACGATCATGCTCCGTTTGTCATTAATCACTAACCTCAAGTCAGAGATCGGCTTCCAAACCGACATGGAGTGTCTCGTCGATGTCAGCGACGTCCTTGCGGCTACCGGACCCGTAGCCATTACGATCAATGGCCAAGCAGTACGAGACCCCGACGGTCCCAAAGGCCTCCCTTACGTGGGCAATTATTTTGAGGTTTATCCAGACCATCTGGGTAATCACCAGCGGCTCTATAGCCAGTATGGCCGGATCTTCAAGACCACCAACCTGGGCCGTACCACATACCATACCAATGATCCGCAAATCGCCGCCATCGTCTTCGCCGAGTCGGACTTCTTCTCCAAGAAGATTAACGAAGCCCATCCACTTCATGCCCTGAAAACCCCCTCTGCGGGGGTCTTTCTAGGAGATACCGACACCCCGGAATGGCGCGTGGCCCATAAATTCTTGCCCCCTGCCCTTGGTCCGAAGGCCGTGCGGCATTATGCTCCGACGATGCAGCGAACCGTGGAAGACGCGTTCAAAGTATTTGACGCGCTGGATGAACAAGGCTCCGCCTTCAATGTGTACCAGTACATGTTGAAGCTTGGATCCCAGGCGGTGGGCAAACTCACGCTGGGCCTGGATATGGAGCATTTCACCTCCCCCGATGCTCCCGTGCACGAGATGGTTCACTCCATTGCGGAAATGCTGTCTCTCAACAAGAAGGTCACCTCTCGTGGGGACTGGTACGGCAAGCTTCCCTTCGGGGATCCTCAGCGGTTGAGAAACCTGAAAGCGAAATTGGAGGCGATGGTAGAGCAATCCATCAAGGATGCAGAGCGCGGCGGTGTCACCGACCTGCCTTTACAGGAGGCGGCTTTGCAAGCCTCTAACATGGTTGGTGAGTATTCCTTCGTTAGTCTTCATGATTCCCCCGCATTGTGACCGGGCTAATGCATAAATCTTTCAGACTATGCCATCCGTGCCACCGACAACAAGGGGGAAAAGCTGCCGAAATCGAGTCTGATCTGGGCGCTGATTGTGGCCACCGGGGCCGGATTCACGACCACGAGCTCCCTGCTGTCGTGGTTGATATATGGTCTCGTAACGTATCCAGGGATGCAGGAACGACTGCTGCAGGAGCTGATCGACAACGGTATCACGGAAGACACCGAGCTCACAGCCGAGATCACGGATCGGTTGGTCTTCCAAGACAAATACATCAAAGAGACGATGCGCCTCACCAATCCGTCATTCCAGCCCGGCCGGACCGCCAAAGTCGATTTGATCCTGCCGGGTGGCTATAAGATCCCCAAGGATGCGGTTATTGTGCCGGGTCTGCACCATATCCACAACAACCCCGACCTCTGGGATAATCCCAGCCGGTTTGATCCTGACCGGTGGGATACCCCCCAGGTGAAGGAGAGACACAAGGCGGCTTACATACCTTTTGCCATGGGGCCCCGCATGTGCATTGGTTTCAACTTTGCGCTTCAGGAGGTGAAGATTTTCCTCCCAAAGCTGATCTACCGCTATCAGTTCAGTCAGGAGAATGAGCTCGTGCCCGTGGAGTATGATCCAATGTTCCAACTGATCCGACCGAATAATCTGTACGTGCGCGCGGAACGAAGAGTGAAGTGGCCGCCCCGGACCAGCAACTGAGCTTGAAGGCTGTATTTACATGTACAGAGTTACGTATAGAGTTATCGTTTGCATAGAGGTATGGAGCATTCAATCAAGTAGTATTTGAAAGCCTGAAGCAAGTAATGTACTGTACGGTCGCAGGCGTTCTTGGTGGCGGTCACAAGAAGGTCACGGGAACGTATGCGTACCCTAAGTTGTGCCGCATAAACAGTATACCTAGTTAATCAACATTCGCCAACGCAACGGGCCAATCAATCAAGGCAAGGGGCGACTTCTATGATATGACCGTGTTGCTGACTCTGCCTGACCTGCGTCAGGGAGCGAAGGCTTGGCCTCGAACAAGTGGGATCCATGTTTCAGAGAGGTGGGCCTCCGACCAACGAAAACTTCCATGATTGTCAATAGCACACACATAGACGGCTTGCCGACCTTCCAAGGGAATCCATGGCTTCTGTCCCGCGGGAGTGCCTGCATAAAGTATACACGTATACACGTTTTGACTGTGGACCTAGATGTTCGCAGACCTTACGTGTCTGCATCTTCATCATTTGCCGTGTTGTTGCTGTCTTCACCGCCTGCTTGGCTTCCCACGGTTTGAATATGGGACTGTGTTGTTTCTCCAGCTGGCAGGACCAGAACAACAACCCCATAGACAGTAGACAGACTCATGTATGTTTCTCTCGCTTGTCAAATAGTCCCAACTACGGAATACAGCTAGCCCGATCGCACGATCTGGCTTACCGCAGCGGGGCAGTTCTCACGTTAAACCCATCGAAGAGATCGTGCGTGTCGATCGGCCACCAAGAAGGTTTGCCAGCGCATTTCGACGGCGATTCTGCATGCCACGTCCACTAGTACTTGAACTATTTTAAGCCCAGTCTCCCAAATGGTCAACCCTCCATTCTCGTAACAAGATGATTGGCACACGCCATCCCTTAGTTACAAGTCAATGCAGCATCGCTCTTTGAAGGTGACGTAGGTCTTGGTCTCTGTGGGAAATCGAAAGCTAAAGCTGTTACCTAGTAAAGCTCCACATTCCCCGGGCAATCCCTTTGGCTTTTCTCAGGGCCCACGAGAAGAAGCAAGGAGTAAAGCAATGGAGACCCCAGTCCTCCTCACAGTTCTCACACTTCTCACACTGGTGCTGCCTCTCGGCCTGTATCATGGCGGTTTCATCCGCTCTGGTCCATCAGGAGCACTGCCACTCCCACCGGGTCCGGGTCTCGTGGCCGGACTGACAGCCCTCATCCAGCAACGAGATCTCGCTCCAACCTTCCATGCATGGAGCCAGGCCTACGGCCCGGTGGTACATTTCAAGATCGGCACGCGATCCTTCATCATCCTGGGCACTCGCCAGGTCGCACAGGAATTGCTCGAGAAACGCGCCAGCATTTACAGCTCGCGGCCCCCGTCCGTGTGGCTGGACAAATACCTCCACCAAGGGCTGGCGGCTGCCTTCATGCCGTACGGACACGAATGGCGCCTCAATCGCCGGCTGCACATGTCGCTGCTCAACCACCAATGCACCAACGCTTACCAGCATCTGCAGGATATCCAAAGTAAGCAGCTGATGCACTCGCTCCTCCCACCCGCAGACAGCAGCAACAGCACCACCCCCAAGTTCTCGGACCTCTTCTACCAATACACCGCCAATGTCATGTTCACCCTCGTCTACGGCAAGGGCCAGGGCCGCTCCGACACCGACCACACGCGCCTGGAACAGATCAACGAGATGGCCGTCTTCATTCTCCAGGCCGCCGCCTTCTGGACCAACCTGCTCGACCTGTTCCCCATCCTGGACCGCCTCATCCCCGCCCGCCGCTTCCTCACCTGGCGCACCAAAGCCAGTGCCCTGCACGAGCAGACCAAAGCCATCTACCAGGAGTGCACCGACGGCGCTCTCAGCGCTCCCTGCTGGAATTGGAGCCACGAGATCACCACCAAGTCCGACCTCATGGCCTCTCTCCCCTGGGAGCACATCTGCTACTCGCTGGGCGAGCTGTACGTGGCGGGCATCCACACCACCAAGATGGTGTTGGAGAATTTCGTCCTTGCCAGCCTGCTTTATCCGGCGACCGTCAAACAGGCGCAGCACGAGCTCGATGCTGTGGTCGGCGCCTCACGGCTCCCCACCTTTGCCGACATCCCGGCCCTGCCCTACCTCGATGCGGTCATCTCCGAACTCCTGCGCTGGCGGCCCATCTCCCCGATTGGAGTGCCGCATGCGGTCATCCAGGAGGACGAGTATCTGGGGTACCGGATTCCGAAGGGTGCGACGGTCATCGCGAATCAGTGGGGGTTCAATATGGACGAGGAGGTGTTTGAGGAGCCGCAGACCTTCCAGCCCCAGCGGTATGTCGAGGATCCTGGGCTGCCGGTTTCGGCGTTTGGGTTTGGGAGGAGGTTGTGTCCGGGCTACCGACTGGCGCGGGCCTCGTTGTTCATTGTGGTGGCGAGGCTGCTGTGGGGGTTCGACATTGCAAGAGATGAGGGTGGGGAGGGGGATGAGGATTCGCCTTTGTCAAGGGACTCGGATCCGGGTGCTGTTAAGGCGAAGTTCTGCCTCCGAAGTGAAGACAGAAAGACGATCATTGAGAAAGAGTGGGAAGTAGAGGAGAAGGATGAGGGGGTGATCCTGGAAGAAGTGAGGGCACGGATGGTGGGGGGCTCACGGTGACTGTTGGGATGATGACCACATCCCGCGGGAGTATGTTCATGTCTGTCCCAACAAATACGTGTGCTTTATGGAGTTAAAGGAATAGTATACTATAATAGTATGAGTATAACTAGAGTAGAAGGCATAGCAGCCGCTCTCCCGCGGGATTAAGCAAGCAGTGGATCCAAGCAGAAGCACCACACCTCGGCATGCCGCGGCAGGCCGGATATCGGCATCCCGAATATACCTCAGGAACTACTCCTTGTATGCCACCAGCCCACTATATGAGCAGATCTTATAAATAGCATTTGCTTCTTGGAATCTCGGATCCCTGTCTGTATGCAACGAACCAAACAAGCTTTCCTTCTGCTGACTGCCGAACTTGTAACACATCGTCCTGCACCTACAAAATGCATTCCAGCTGGTCACCACCGCACGACTACCGGAACCGCCCCGTCGCGGTTTTGGGCGCTGGCGTCCTTGGAAGGCGAATTGGTCAGTGTTATTGAGGCTCCTTAACTGATATATGCGCTAACATATGCCATGAATAGGCTGCATCTGGGCCTCCGCGGGCTACGACGTCCACCTACGCGATCCGAGCCCGGAGCAACTCACCTCCGGCATCGCCTACATCCACGAACAAGTCTCTTCCTACGCCAGCAAGACGGGCTGCATCCCAGGCAAAGCACACAGCTTCACCGACCTCGAAGAAGCGGTGGAGTCCGCCTGGCTCATCATTGAGGCCGTCCCCGAAAAGCTGCCTCTGAAGATTGCCACCTTCGCCGATCTATCCGCCCTCGCCCCAAATGATAGCATCCTTGCATCCAACTCTTCTTCCTACAAGACCTCGGAGATGCTGGACCGGGTCCCGGACGCGGTGAAGCCACGGATTCTGAACATGCACTACTACATGCCGCCGCAGTGCATGACGGTGGAGTTGATGACGGACGGCTTCACGCATGAGGCCATCTTCCCCTTTATGGTGGAGCGGTGCCGCGAAGGTGCAACCTCGCCGTATGTCGCACGCAAACAATCGACTGGGTTTATCTTCAATCGCCTCTGGGCGGCGGTCAAACGAGAGGTGCTGACCATTCTCTCCGAGGGGGTGTCCGTCCCCGAAGAGATCGATGCTATGTGGGAGGAGATGTTTATTCGGGGAAGGACGCTGCCGTGCAGGATGATGGATAGTGAGTTGGATGCCCTTCATTGCATCTCCGTCTCGTTATACTAAGTTTGATTGGTGGAACAGACGTTGGCCTCGACACCGTCGCCTTCATTGAACAGCACTATATCCACGAGCGGGGGCTTTCCTCCGAGAGAACCGTGGACTACCTCACCACCAACTACCTCGAGAAAGGTAGATTGGGCGCCAAATGCGCCCTGGGTGGGCTCTATCCCCTGTCTAGCGCAGCCAGCAACAGTGGCAGTGACCCCACCACCCACGATCGCCGTCTCCTCGTATTAGACGTCGGACTCGCCTCTTCGACCGCCGCCTCCTCGATCTCCACCCCTGTCGGACAGATCCTCTCTCTCGCGGCAGACGGGACCGATTCCAAAGTGTTGGTTGCCAACCAGCTCCTTCCTGACGGCATCGCAGTCGATGCCACGACCAACCGCATCTTTTGGACCAACATGGGGGTTCCCGGCCGACAGGATGGTGCAGTCTACTCCTCAGCTCTAGACGGGAGCGACATCCAGACCATCCTCGAACCGGGTGCGATCAACACCCCCAAGCAGCTGACCCTCGACCAGACAGCGCGGAAGCTGTACTTCTCCGACCGCGAGGGCTGCGCAGTCTACCGCTGTAGCCTTGACGGGTCGGGTCTGAAGACTCTTGTCTCACGACAGCGAGGGAGCCAAGGCAAAGGGGTGACTGACGTACGGGACTGGTGGGCAAGCCGGAGATTCTGGCTCGGGGTTTGCATGAGGCGATTGGGGTGAGTCTCGACCGGAAGTCTGGGGATATCTTCCTGACGGACCTCGGGGGTGGTGTCTATCGCTGTGATCGGGAGGGGAAACGGAAGGAGATCTTGTATCAGGAGGATGGGCGTGCGTTCACGGGGATTGTTTGCGTTTGAATGTGGTGAGAGGCAATTATTAACGTGCTATAGATTAGACATTGAGAATATAGTTTCGCTTTTGACCATACAGCACCATTTTCTCGTTTTGCAGGGGGATAATTGGGAAAATGCCACCATTCAAGTGTGATATCTTTCCAGTATGCCACTTGTGGTAGATCATGCATATGAAGGGAGGGGGATGGGATAGGCAACAGTGGTAGCCCTGTAACATTGGCAGCTCAACACCATGCAGATGTCAGCTCGAAGAACGTCCTACCCACTGGCTGCACTCTGTTTCAGGATCGATCTCGTGGCGCAGACGCGTGACTCCGTAGCATAGGCAGATATGAACACCAGCGTAATCTTGCTCGGGCCTTCAGATACTCCGGACGCAGTGGATCAATGCTTGACTCCTCCTTGCTATTCTGCAACAGGGGAATACTTGCGTCACGTCTGCGGCTGCTGAGGGATCAAGGTACAGCAAAAGCCTAATCAGAGATGGAATCAGACGACCCAAGTGACATGGATTCGGGCTCAACATTCGCAACGTTGGTGATCGGCTCGCCCTGCTACAAACGTACTTGATCAGAGCCACCTGATGCGATGCATCAAGGTCCAGCACAAGCTGAAAAATATCCTTTCATTCGACTACGGATTGCCAGGCAGTAAAGCGCGCCCAACCCGGACCCAGCAGCTTTAGAATGGCCTTTCGAGTGAATTGCTCATCACAAGACCCCGTCATCAGACCGGACGCCTACCTTGCCTTCCACACTAAACATGGAAGACTACGATCTTTGCGACAGCTGCCATTAGTTCATAAGAGGAATGCTCCAGTAGCATCAACCTCCGCTGGTCAGCACTTATTGCAAGTTAAGCCCAAGATCAACTGGCCTACCTTCAACATCATACCCGCCTCAGCGTCTAACTGTGATCAGCCTTCCTATACGATGATTTCTGCTGTGAACTCGAGTGAAACCGACGCATCCGAACGCAACCCAAAGGTCATGCCCATCGCCATCATCGGCATGGCCTGCCGCTTTCCCGGTGGCGCGTCCAGTCCCGAAAGTCTCTGGGATCTCTGTGCCAACGGGCAGACTGCCTGGTCTCCGACTCCGAAATCTCGATTTCACGCGGAGAGCTGGTATCATCCGGACAAGGAACATCTAGGGACAGTATGTCAACACTCACCTTGCATGACTCGCCGATCGGGTGGGGAAGACTGTTGAATTTTCTGCCAACAAATCATAGTCATATGTGAAAGGCGCGCATTTCCTCGCGGAGGACATTTCCCGGTTCGATGCTGCGTTCTTCAATTTGATAGCCGACGCGGCCAGCGTGGGTGCCATTCTCGTTCGTGCCTGCAAGTGTAGAGACCATTGACATTTGCAGACAATGGATCCCGAAGTGCGCCTGCAATTAGAGACCGCCTATGAGGCCCTAGAAAGTGCAGGTCTCCCCCTCGATCAAGTGGCTGGCTCTCGCACCGGCGTCTATGCAGGCACCTGTTTCCGAGATGACCATGACAGCTTGTTGCGCGACCCCGATACTCTAGCTCGGTCCTTCCTCACGGGTAATGGCGCAGCAATGATCGCGAACCGGATCTCCCATTTCTTCGATCTCCGCGGGCCCAGTCTGATGGTCGACACCGGGTGTTCGACGACGCTGACGCTGTTGCATCTGGCATGCCAGAGCCTCCGGGCGGGCGAGTCAGACATGGCCATCGTGGGTGGCTCAAATATCCTACTCAACCCGGATATGTTCATTGCCGGTTCAAATCTTAGCTTGTTGTCGGCGGAAGGGCGCTGCTTCGCCTTCGATGCTCGAGCCACGGGCTATGGACGTGGGGACGGAATTGCCAGTATTGTCATCAAGCCCCTGATAACAGCAGTCCGAGACGGTGACCCAATTCGTGCTGTGATTCGCAACTCGGCCGCAAACCAGGATGGCAAAACAGCGACTCTGACTTCGCCCAGACAGGAGGCACAGGAGGTCTTGATGCAAGAATGCTATGAGATGGCTGGTCTCGATCCGCGCGACACCGATTTTGTTGAAGCCCATGGGACAGGCACGCAAGCGGGCGATACCATTGAAGCTCGTTCTATTGGGCGCGTGTTTGGCCTCAGACGTAGCACTGAGTGCCCGCTATTGATCGGCTCGGTGAAGACGAACATCGGCCATACGGAAGCTGCTAGTGGTCTAGCGGGTGTTATCAAAGCAGTCATGGCCATGGAGAAGCAGGCTATTCCTCCGCATCTGAACTTCGAGTCTCCGAACGAGAACATCGCATTTGATGCATTAAACTTGAAGATTCCCCTCAGTCTGCAGGAATGGCCTTCACTGTCGCTGCGGCGGGCATCCATTAACAACTTTGGTTATGGAGGTGCGAATGCTCATGTTATTATAGAAAGCCCAGAGATACTGCAGCGGAGTACCCCTTTCTCGGGAAGGGTGAACACCTCAAACCCTAAGAAGCGGTCTCGTGTGTTTGTGCTCAGTGCCAAAGATTCCGGAGTTGCTCGCAGAATGGGCGAGAATCTCTGCGACTATCTCGCGGCCAGGATCCGTGAAAGCGAGGGAAGCGAGGAAAGCGAGGAAGAGTTGCTCGATCAGCTGGCTTTTACCCTCGGACAGCGACGCACCCGGTTTCCTTGCACCATAGCCTGGAGTGGCTCGTCGATCACTGAAGTACACGCCACCATCGATGCCCCAGGTTTGACAACCCAGCGCAGTATGCGTGTGCCACGCGTGGGAATGGTATTCACTGGTCAAGGCGCTCAATGGTTTGCCATGGGTCGCGAGCTGCTCGACGCTTACCCGGTCTTCTGTGATGCCATACACGAGGTCGACGCTTGCTTGAAGTCAATGGGTGCTACGTGGTCTGCCCTGGAGGAACTGCAGCGAAATGCCGAGGAAAGTCGTCTTAACCAGGTCGCGTATAGTCTGCCACTGAGCGTGGCTATTCAGCTTGCTCTAGTCGACCTGTTACGTTCTTGGGGCGTCTATCCTGCAGGGGTCACCGCTCATTCCAGTGGAGAGGTCGGTGCTGCCTACGCCGCCGGAGCCATCACCCTGAAAGGCGCATTGGCAATCGTGTACATTCGAGGCGTTCTGACCAGTCAGTACCAACAACTCCTTGATCGTCGAGGAGGCATGGTCGCGGTGGGCCTAGGACGTCAGGATGCTGAGAAGGCGCTGGCTGAGGTTCGATCCGGCAAGGCCATCGTCGCCTGCGTGAACAGTCCGTCTAGCGTGACCATCTCGGGCGACGAGTGTGCGATTGAGGAAATCAAGACACTACTCCATGGCCGTGGTGTCTTTGTGCGTCGTCTTCATGTCGAGGCAGCCTATCATTCGCACCACATGCTGCCGCTGGCTGAGGCGTACCGAGCCCAGCTGTCGCGATTCCTCGAGCTGAACCCCGTAGTTGACACCGGCATCATCTACTCGTCCCCAACCACGGGGGGAAGGATCACGTCGGCTGCAGAGATTGCTCACCCCGACCATTGGGTGCGTAACATGGTGCAGCCGGTGGAGTTTCTGAGCTCGTTGCGTAACTTGTGTCACGATGATTCTGACGCCACCAGGACCGCTATTGACATGCTTGTTGAGGTCGGCCCGCATGGCGCTTTGTCTGGTCCTATTCGGCAAACGTTGACGTTACCTGAGATGAGTAGTGGGGGAATCACCTATGCTACGTGTCTGTCGCGTGGCCAGAACGCTGTCCAGACCATGCATCAGCTCGTCTGCACTCTTCTGCAAGCGGGCTATCCTGTTGACCTGGAAGCCGTCAACTTCCCCTGCGGCTGGAGCACGCTGCCCGTCTTGACCAACCTTCCACCCTACCCGTGGAACCACGAGACCTCATACTGGGCAGAACCTCGTCGTAACGAAGAACTCCGCCATCGAACTGTCATCCCTCACGATCTTCTTGGGGTTCCTGCACCAGGATCGACTCTGACCACGCCCACGTGGCGACATATAGTCCGCCCTCGTGGTATCCCTTGGGTGCGCGACCACATCGTGCAGGGAGAAATTGTCTATCCCGGGGCGGGGTTTATGAGCATGGTGGTTGAGGCACTGCGACAGTTGCAATCACCAGCCCAACCCATCCATGGCTATGAGCTGCAGGAGATTCGAATTCACAAGCCACTAATCCTGGAAGACTCAGCGGAGGGAGTAGAGGTACAACTGTCCCTCCGTGCATGTAGCGATCAGGTTCGTCAAGGACAGGGGTGGTATGAGTTCTTGATCGAGTCTGTCAAACAGATGAATGGCTCGTCGACGTTGCATTGCGAGGGGCTCTGTTGTACCTCAGTTCTGGCTCAGAGTGCCGGTTGGATAGGCCCTCCTGCTCCTACTGCTGCGCCATTACCAGTACCTCCCAGTACGTGGCGTACCCTTGACCCCGCGGATATGTACAGGATGCTAGACGCCGTAGGTCTGTGCCTCGGCCCTGTCTTCCGGAATCTGGTGTCAGCAAAATCCGCTCCTGGATACGCGCAGTCAGTGATTCAGGTGGCCGATTCGGCGACGACAATGCCCCAGCAATACCAGCAACCCCACATCATTCATCCTACCACTTTAGACGCAGTCTTCCATGCAGCCTACCAGACTCTTCCCGTTGGGGGAAGCGAAGAGCGCGCCGCAATGATCCCGACATCTATTCAGGATCTTTACATTTCCGCGGACTTGACAGCGTCCCCAGGTCACCGGTTCCACGCGAATTCGACCTTGGTAAGGGTAAGCAGACGCGGGTTCGAAACCTCAATTCGGGTCACCAACACAGGCGCGGAGTCCGAAAAGTCGGTTCTCACTGTCCAGGGGCTCTGGTGCCAGTCCTTAGGTCCGCATCCTGCGATGCGGATGCCCGACGACAGACTCTGCTATACCTCGGTCTGGAAGCCAGATATTGATTTCGTCCGACCTGAGCACTTGACTGAGCCAGATGCACCAAGCGGGACCCATCCCCATCTTTCTCAGCTACAAACCGCGGCTGTCATGTTCATTGTGGATGCTTTGCATCAATTTCAAGGTAAAGATCTTGTTGCATCTGAGCATTCCAGTTACTGGAAATGGATGACAGACGTTGCAGAAAGGGCTCGTCCGATTCTCGACATCCTGGGGGTTACCGCGCATGGAATGGCAGCGCTGACACAAGAGCTGAGACAGTGTGTCGAGGGAAGATTACTGTGTCGATTCGGAGAGAAGCTTCCTGATGTCCTGTCTGGAATAGCCCAGGCGAAAGACATCCTGCTAGAATTCATGGCCGAGAACCAGGCTGAGTGTTGTTCTGTTTCAGAGAGACTGGAATCGGTATTACTCGGCTGCTCGAGCTTCATGGCCACAAACGTCCTCGGGCCAGGATCCTCGAGGTTGGAACGGGCAATGGTGCCAATACACGGAGATTTATCAAGACCTTGACCAAGGACGATACGCGACTGTTTTCTCGCTACGAGGTCACTGCCTCTAGTGCAGGACTGGTCAAGAACGCGGATACGGTCCTCAAGGATGAGGCAGACATCGAGTGCAAGGCTCTAGACTTGAACGCGGAGCCTGATGCCCAGGGATATGCCCGGAGAAGCTACGATTTGCTTATTCTTTCCGCATCAGCTTTGTTGACGGTGAAGGAAATGGTTCAGACCCCCAGCTCACTGCATGCTCTTCTTGCTCCTGGTGGGAGATGCATCCTCTGGGGCCCCAGCCTGGGCGATGGTGCGTTGCAGACTATTTTCCGACTTTTTCCAGGATGGCAGGCCAGTTTTCATGCCAGTGGCCTGTGGAAGGAGCTCTGTGTGCAGGCCGGTTTCGAGTCGGTCAGCTCCCACCTCCAGCCAGATCTCAACGCAGACGGGTACCAAGGAGAAGTAGTCGTTGCGACGGCCAAGACAGACGTGACATCTGCCACTCAAACAGAGGTTCTGCTCATTTCTAGAACCAACCCGCCGGAAGACTGGCAGCAAGCACTTCAGCACGGGCTAGCTGCTGAATTTGTGTCTGGCGTCTCCGTTGTCTCCTCGCTTGAAGAGGTTGTTGCCGATGGCAAAACTTGTATCGTCTTAGACGAGCTTTTTCAGCCAATGCTGGATGACCCTACTGCTGAGCAATTCCATGCCCTTCAACGCGTGCTCAGCAGCTGTCGGGCTACAGTGTGGGTATCATGCGGTGCACAATGCAATGCGGAAGAACCTCTGAACAGTTTGCATCAAGGTCTCCTCCGCACCCTGCGCTGTGAGAATCCTCTTCGCCGATACGTCTCGGTGGACTTGGACCCCAATGCCCCCGTGTGGTCTCTCTCAACTGCGACTGATATCGCACACATTGTCCGCAACACATTGGCAGCATCCTCGGCTCCTCAGTCAGAAACCGAATACGCTGTGCGGGATTCCGCGATCCATATCTCACGGGTATACGAAGACCAACAGGAGGCCCAGCTGGTGGGCACCACGCGGCCTCAGGCCCCCGAGATGCGGCCTTGGTCGACCCCTGGCCAGAACATTCGGCTGGAAGTTGCCACCCCGGGTCTGCTCAACAGCCTTGTGTTTACGGAAGATCCCACTATCGACGAGGCTCTTGCCGACGACTGTGTGGAGATCGAGCCATGCGCTTTCGGACTCAATTTCCGGGACATCATGGTTGCGCTGGGTCAGCTCGACGAAACGCGGATGGGCTTTGAATGTAGCGGAGTGATCACCCACGCCGGACCGGTCGCACGCGCCGCTGGCTTCACTGCTGGATAGCGGGTGTATGCCTTCATTCTCGGCTACTTCGCAACCAGGGTGCGTATCCCCTTCACCAACGTGGCCCAGATGCCCGCGGAAATGGACTTCCTCACGGCAGCCTCCATCCCCCTAGCATTTATCACCGCCTATCATGCCCTGGTGGATCTGGCACGTCTCCAGCGCGATGAACGAGTGCTCATCCACTCCGGCACGGGGGGTGTCGGCCAAGCCGCCATTATGGTCGCGCGGTGGATCGGGGCAGAGATCTTCGTGACGGTCGGATCGGAGCACAAACGCGACTTCCTGGTAGAGGAATACGGGATCCGCCCGTCGCACATCTTCAGCAGCCGCAACCGTTCCTTTGCGAATCATCTCATGTCGGCGACCAAGGGGAAGGGGGTGGACGTGGTGCTCAATTCGCTTGCGGGCGCTTTGTTGCGCGAAACGTGGCAGTGCGTGGGGATGGTTGGACGATTCATCGAGATCGGTAAGCGAGATATCGAACAGAACAGCATGGTAGAGATGGGACCGTTTGGGCGGAGTACGATGTTCGCGTCGCTGGATCTGATCACGCTCGGGGAACGGAGAGGTAAGGAGGTGCAACGGATCTTGGGAGCGATCAATGGATTGATGGAGAAACGGGAGATTCGACCGGTCAGGCCGATCACGCGATTTGACATGGGAGACATTGAGAAGGCATTTCGCACGATGCAGACCGGGCAACACGTGGGGAAGATTGTGATGGAGGTAAAGAAGGAGGAGGAGGAGGAGGAGAAGGTGAAGGTGAAGCTGCAGCGGGCGGTGCGACCGGTGGTAATGCTGTCACGTGAGGAGACCTATCTAATCGTCGGCGGTGTGGGGGGAATCGGGCAGTATTTCGCCCAGCGGCTGGTGGTGGAAGGCGGTGTCCGCCATCTCCTCCTCCTCTCCCGATCCGCTGCTTCGGCTTCTACTTCTACATCTACTACCACCACCACAACTAAAACTCCTCCATGGCTTGCACATCTACGACACACCACTGGGGCTTCAATTGTGCTAGTCAGTTGCGACGTCACTAATGCGACTCAGCTGCAGCCGGTTCTACAGCAACATGCCTGCCACCTACCGCCCATCCGTGGCGTCATTCAAGCCGCCATGGTGCTGAAGGTACGTATGTAGATCGATCCGTCAGCATCAACAGATCACAGAAATCAGCACTAATCTTACTCATCAACTCTAGGATGGAATCTTCGAGACTATGACCCGTGATGACTACCTCGCCGCCATCAAGCCCAAAGTCCAAGGATCGTGGAATTTGCATACTCTTCTCCCCCCCGACCTTCGCTTCTTTATTCTTCTCTCCTCCATCAGTGGGTTCGGTGGCAACGCAGGCCAGGCCAACTACGCTGCTGGGGGAAGTTATCAGGATGCATTGGCCCGCTACCGCGCAAGTCAGGGTCTCCCCGCCGTCTCCATAGACTTGGGAATGGTCTCATCCGTCGGCGTCGTCGCAGAATCGAAACCCCTCACGCATCACCTCGAGAACCTCGGACTACGCGCCGTGTCCGAGCAGGAGGTGTGGGCCTTGGTCGCGTCCGCCATCCGCCATCCCATCCGAACCCCAGAGACTTGTCACATCGTCACCGGGCTACCAAGGGGTTTGGTCCGGTCGGAGGCTACTGCGGGCTGGAACCGCGATGCCAGGTTCGCCATTCTTGAGCAGCAAACCCCCTCTTCTTCTGGTCCTGCATCTCGTTCCTCACCGGAAGCCGGTCTGAGAGACCATTTGGCTGCCACTACCACTTTGACTGAAGCAATCTTGGTCATCGAAAACGCCTTGGTCACGAAATTGGCCGAAATGTTCAGTCGCATCCCAGAGGGGATTGATCCCTCCTTGCCTCTCGCGCAATTCGGCGTCGATTCCTTAGTGGCGGTGGAATTGCGCAATTGGTCGGTTGCGACGGTGCAGGCGGATTGCTCCATCTTCGATGTCATGCAAGCGGTTTCGGTGACCGGGCTCGCAGGGAAGATGGCGGAGAAGAGTCAGTTTTTCAAGCTGTAGAGGGTGGGGAAATCAATGCATTTTATGGATACATCTATGCTACCATCAAGTCAATCCGAAGAATATGTGTGCGCTGACCACGTCGTCTCTATAGTTGGCTCAATCTAAATCCAAATGCCAAAACTCAAACTCTTTTAACCCCATGAACTCCTGACTCGAAGCCCGTCTCAAATGGGCGAAGATGATCCTAAGCTTCCTGAGGAGCTTTACCAGGCACGACCCGCTCGACAGAATCCGGTCGATCGGGGTCAAGGTCCAGTGTCATGTTGGTGAAACCGCGATGTCGTCGCTGCCCGCTCCGCAGGCTATAACTACTCAAAGCCCTCTCCCGACTACCACTGCTGCTCCACGAGCCAGAGAAAAACACCTGGCGGAAGGATGGTACGCAAGCCGTGACAATAATCAGACTGGCTTCAACGTTGCTGTAGGACGGTCAGCACCCTGCCATCACCACGCGAATTCATCATCACCTACATCCACAACACCATAGCCCCGAGCCGATAGGATTCGTCGTTGGTATGCAGCATTGGGACGACCGACACCAACCGCATACAACTGGTAACCAGGGACCTACCCACGATCATGCATTCGTCAGTAGCTGCAGTGCGACCGACGTAGACGAGGAAGGACGAAGCATACAGTCCGCCAAGCCCAAACATGCAGGCCACCCCCACGCGCTTCTTGGGCGCCATGTTGAGCCCCACCACCACCGGGAGAGGCGTGATCACCAAGACAATGTCGATGAAGATACTGGCGCACGTGCCGGCCAAGAAAATCGAGGCCCGGCTGATGCACTGCCCCTCAATGGCTACGTCCCAGGCCTTCTGGATCGGGTTGCAGCCGAAGAGGAACAAGCATTCGAGAATGACCATGTAGGATATGACAAAGATCGTGAAACTCCACAGGATGATTCGCCAGCTGCGCTGCATATCGGACAGGCGATAATAGAGAATGATGAGGCCGATTTTGGAGAGTCCGAGGGCTGGGATGTACATGACTGCGCCAGCCATGAGAACCTGCTTGGCCATCAATGAAGGGTGCTAGACGAACCAGGCACGACTGGAACTCCGTACCTTCAGTGACTTGTTGTAGTCTTCTACTGTGAGCTCCCATTGATGGATACCAAGCCCAGCGTGAGTGTATCCGTCTGAAAACCCCGGTGTGTTGTTAGCGATCCATCTCCGGGAAGCGGGCAGACACTGCGGAACACCTCACAGAGTAAGACGGATTGTGTGATGGCTGCGAACATCTGCACCATGAACATTCCAAATCAGTCGACGATGCCAGTCGTCTAGTCACCGACACTCACCCATGAAAGCACGAGAACAGCTAATGATCCGTTGGTTAGATGTGATTACCCGACGCATCCATGCCACTTACTGTCATCCAGCATCCATTTCCTCACCACCACCAGCCGGCTGTAGATGCGCACCAGCAGAGAGATGGCACTGGCAGTCGTCCCTACAATGACGACCACGCGATTTGCCGTGTGCAGATGTCGTGTAGGGTGCGCAAAGTCGGGCGTGACCCCGGCAGGCGGTGCGATCACTCCAGTCTCATTGAGGGTCATGGTTGGTTACCACCATTTGCGTTCGATAGCTCGACGAGCATTCTTTGAAATTTCAAAGAAAGTGAGGAAGGACTGAAAATACAAATCCAGTCACCAGGCGCTCAATGGCCAGGGTTGACCTAGTCCAGCCCCTGGACTAAGATTTTTAGCTGATGCCCGACACCTTCCGCGCATGGTAGCAGGCTGGAACTAGATCCGAGTCTGACCTCAGTACGCGACAGCTAAGCCCTGGGTTTGCGCCTGATCTGCACACCCTACGGCACGTTGCAGTTGGTTTAATCTCGAGTTAATCTATCTTCCACACTTGGCGTGGAACAACTTCGGCCATGCTCGTGCGTTGACTACTTGCTCCCTGTTCGGGCCTGAAGGATTTACTAGCTTAAGGTGAAGATATCGATGATATCGACAGCAGGGATGTCGAGGTAAAAATAAGCACCGTGTGATCGCATGGATCAATAACGAAGATCTTGCCGTCGGGCAAAAACGGCTTGGTGACCTTATACCGGAAGTTGCTATCAGCTAGGCGTAGGGTGTAGTATGATCAATACTCCAACCTCATCTATAAAATCTTCGTGGCCCTCAAACATGGAGCTTGGTCATCATCTGTCCATTGCTGCCTCGCCATCGACAGCGGCCCCATAAGATCATCATGGGTCTATTTTGAGTAGACAGCCGCTCATTGTTCATGCCTCACGCCCCCATGCACATGCTCGAGCATAATTCTTTGTGCATGTGCGGTACACCCATACTCCGGGATCAGGGCCATGCAGACGTAAACCAAGGCGTCGATCCACCCGATGTCTCATCCTGGACTGTACCGGTCGAACCTAAATTGATTTGTTGATTCATTGAATCAACGGTTCCGCCCTTCCGCTGCGGCACGGTTCGTTTGGGATACTCAATCCGGCCGATGATTGCCAAACTTCGGGCATTCTTCGGAGACTTATCACTCCCAGTGTGAGTGGATAGCTAGCTATAAGCTAGTTTTAAAAAAAGGGTCAGTACTTTTGTCAGGATCAGGTCGAAGGTCTGTCTGCAGCATAATTATTATTTCAAAGAGTTTGTTTACTGCGGAACCGGCCCCAAAAAGACCGCGGGGCGGGTAAACCATGCGCCCGGAGGAACTGGCCACCGCCTTTCTCTCCGCTCGGTTCTGCCCGTCTTTTCAGCCCCAATGCTTCAATGATGTACAACAAATAACTTAGTTAACTACATAGTACAGTACTCTCATCTCTCCAACTCAGCCTGCTTCGCTATGCTATCGACCAGCGACAGCTTAAACATAGACAGCAACACAACTCACAGCCGAGCATTCGGCAGAAATTCTCCTCGCGGTGGACGCTCGCTTCCTGCATGGTATGGCTATCTATGCCTCTGGAGTGTCTGCACACAATGTGAGCTAAGGCCAGATATTCCACCGTACTGCCAGTGAGCGATGCCGCAATAAACACCAGAAATGTGAGTCAGAATGGAATCACTCTTGACTTGAGAGGTCTTTGTACTCAGTTGTGATGTAGGTGATCTTGCTGTCAATCGCAACACTTGCTCCCCTTGCGAGCGAGCGGGTCTGCTTTGCAGCCAGAGTCGTCAGCCAGACCTCCGCATCAAATTGGTGGATATACCATCGTCCAAGCGCAAACGCCGCAAGTCTGCTCCTGGGCGGACCAGCGCGAGACTTAAAGTGGTTCAACAAGCCACTCGATCGGAACTGGTGGACGCCGGTGAGGACGGCCCTGGCAACAGAAGCTCCGCAATCCCACCGACTCAGTGTCCTCAAAAGCGTTCTCTAAAGCGACCGCTTGCATCGCAGAATCAAGGATCAGCAGTTCCGTCCGACCATGACCCTGACCCGTCAGTCTCAGCCCCTGCGTCGACCGCCTCGCCGCAGTTCTGGCCACTTTCCAGGGAAGAGGCCCGGCTGGTGAAGTATTTCTTCACCAATTTAGTGTCGTGGGTAAGCCAAGTGCCCGATCGCACTTATGTGGATTACAATAATGATATTGGCCGAGCGTAGTTCGACTATTGCATTCCTGACAGGCACTTCCAAACCGTTGTGGGGGCCACCGTTACCAAAGACCCGTCCATCCTATTTGCCGTTTTGGCAATATCTGCCCGACATCGGGAGTTGACGATGGGGATCAGCTCCTGCAATTCGCATGAATATGAGGGGCGATGCCTTGAAGTTCTGATCCCGAGTCTCAACGATACGTCCAAGGCTTTGGACGATAGCGTGCTGGCCTCCGCCATGCTCTTAAGATTACTCGAAGAAATGTCCGGTAGGTGTTGGGTCTTGTCCCAAGTACCGGCCCAACTGCTGACTTTAGCATAAGAGCCAACCGAAGAACAGGTCTTCACATCGCATGCGGTTTCCACCCCGATTTTGCTCCAGATCAAGGGTGGTAACGTCCGACCATCGGGATTCAGTGATGCAGCCATGATTGTGGCTCTGCGGCAAGAGATCGTCATTGGCAACATGGTGAAACGAGCCGTTGAACCCAGCCTTGCCTCCTGCAATGCAAATTGGTCATTGGCGCCCGCTGACGATGCTACGTGGACATATCGCATGATTGCACACGCAGCACGGGTCACCACCTTTGCCTACGGTAACGGACCCAAAGCCAAGTTGGAGTGGGATCGACTGTGGCAGTATGTACTGGACTGGGAACAGCGCAAGCCCGACTCATTTCAGCCGATACACTATTCACATCGAACGCAATTGTGGACCTTTCGCCTTCGCCCGGAGAATCCGGGAGATGCACCATCCGCCAGCGCGAACGGGGACAGCTTACTCCCGGTGATCTACTACACCTACGACTGCCCGATTGCAGGCCAGCAATATCTCCAACTGTCTCGCATCTTATTACTGGCGCATGACCCCCGCCTGCCCAGCTTAGGCATGGGGCGCGCTCAGTATCTGCAGAAGCAAGAGGAGGAGATGCGTAACGCGGTTCGCGTCATATGTGGGATAGCCATGTCGAATCCGGAATATATGCCCGCCAAGCTGACCGCGGGTCTGGCAATCGCATTGGGTGGTGAGCTGTTCGACGATCCCGAAGAGACTCGAGAGCTGATGCATCTGGTTGCTGAGGCCGAGCTGCATGTGGGGTGGCCATGCTTGAGAGTGAGCCATCGCCTCCGAGCTTTCTGGGGTCTCGAAGGCAACCTTGAATGATGCATGGAGTCGGACGGTTTACACCACAAAGGGAAATTTCGGTCCGGGCGCAGCTTATGTATTGTAACATGAGTTAGTAATCGGGATGAAATGCCATTCTTGGTAATTTTCTCCCGGGTTGCCCTATACAATGCACCACTAGGTATATTATGGATGGCCCAGCAACATCAACTTTCGTTCTCAATTCACCTCTCACCCTGGCAACTTATACGATCTGAATCCTCATCATGCCCCATCCCGAGACCGACTTTCCAGACCTATACGTCAACGATGGCCAACTAGACCCTCAACGCACGGGTCTGCTCGAAGCAACCTGTCCGCGTACCACTCCCATGGCTGAGATGCGGCACCGATTGGAACGAGACGGGTATCTCTACCTGAAAGGGCTTCTGCCTCGCGCCGATGTCCTTGAGGCAAGGAGGAAATATTTCGAGATGCTTGCGCCGACCGGGATTCTGGATCCCCGGACCTCCCCAATCGAGGGGATCTTCGATCGCTCTCAGGACGCCACCGACTTCCCCGGCTTTGGAACCGGTCGCCACGGCACCGGAACCACCACGTCCGATACCTTCATGATGCTGGCCCTTCGTGCCCATGCTGAAGACTGGTATCGCAATGATCTCTGCAAACATCCGGCTCTCATCGCCTTCGTCGAGGACTTCACCGGCTGGGGCAAGAGCACATGGGCTTTGGAGCGGACTATCCTGCGGAATAATCTCCCTGGAAATCCAGCGACTGGGGTACACTACGACTATATCTTCTTGCGGCATGGGGAAGACTCGGTCTTGACAGCGTGGGTTCCGGTCGGGGATATCGCCCTCAACGGGGGCGGGTTGATCTACCTTGAAAACGGTCTGTAGTTGCTGGAGCTGGCCATCGATCGCTTCGAGCTAACACGACCAGGCCACGTCCTAGGTAGGGCCACCGAAGGCCAGTTTACTAGCAAGGCCCAAGCGGCAGGACTCTCAGAAGAGGAGGCCAAGACCGCGTTCAACCAGAACATGATGTCCAATGGCATGCTCAGTCAGGATCCGAGGCATTTTGGTGAGGAGCACCAACGCAGGTGGCTTGTTTCGGCATATGAGGCGGGGGATGTGGTCTTCCATGATTCCTACATGGTATGAAGGCTCTTGCGAGATTGCAGGATGCTCGCTGATTGCCCCGTCAAGATTCATGCCTCGACCTTGAACCACGACGAGAATGGTGTCATTCGCCTCGGAACGGACTTGCGGTTCGTTGATGGGCGTGGAGGCTGGGATACGGTCAGCCCGGCCCTTCAATTCTTTTCTGTCCTACACTGACTGTTTCCCATAGCGATGGGCCAGCATCTACAGGGATGATGATGGGCTTTGACTGTGTAAACAGATTTTGTTCGGTCGCGGCCTTCGTTCCGCAATCTGGGCTCAGAGAGACCGAAGACGGCCGATAACACGAGGCGAGCTGAAAGGGCAAGGTTCAAACCGCGGAGGGAGAATGCATTAGGTCGTTGGTTCACACTGGTGGTCTATCATAGTTCTTTTTTTTTTCTTTTTTTTCTTTTTTTTTTCGATCTATCTGTTGACTTCCTTCAAGTAGTTTTCTGGTCTTGCAATGTTCGAGAGTTGAAGATATGCGAGGCATTGAAGCATTGTGAGCACTCAGGTGGACTATATATTATAAGAAACAGCCAAGTTTTAACAGCCGGCCTGCTGGCCCAATGGTAAGGCGCTTGACTACGAATCAAGAGATTGCAGGTTCGAGCCCTGCGTAGGTCATTCTTTTTGCTCCCCTAGACTCAGTCTAGTTCTCCCCTCTTACTCCTTTTTTCCCACCTTTCCCATAAGAGATGGGTATGTCCTTCTCTAAAGCCTCGCAAATTGCCTCGATATGTAACTTCTGGCTTGTAGTCAAATATTGTGCCATCAGATAGTGGAATTATCGCATGCTACCCGACTTATATATCTTACGGAGGATCAGCCCGAACAGTGTCACCACGCAGCAAGCAGCACCGACAATATTGAGCAATATTCATTCATCTCTTTCACTCAAACAAACAGCAACACTACCGATTGACTATAAAGCCCCGTGCGATAGTTGCCGTCCTCAGCCAACGAACGCTCACTTCAGAACGCTCGCCATGACCACCACCGGATGACCCAACTCTACCCCCTCCTGGTGCAATTCCAAGGCCGTGACGGCATCGATTCGCTCTGAGAGTAACTCCCGCTCAATCTGTAGCGCCCGGAGAGCAGCGCCCGCCGGAGTCCGACCGTGAAAGATGCATCGGAGAGTGGTGGTGCGATAGAAGTAGAACTGCTCCGGAAAGCCGCGTCCTGTGTGTCAGCATGCGTCTCACCAGCCCTGTAACCAGAGTACGATCAAGAGACTCGGAACCCACCGGACCCAATCCCTGCTGCTGTTGGGCTGCATAACCACCGATCACCGAGTCAGGCTCACTCTGCACTTTCCAACTCATGGAGAGGATCCGTCCTGCAAAGCCGGCCGTGTCAGCGAGAGCGAGGATCGTTGCGATCGGCACACGACCGCCAATACTGGACAAGATGACCCCGGACGCGCTGAGGAGGCTGAACGCGCGAGCCTGAACGAGGCTGGTGTAGTGCAAGTCGAGAAGCGCGGAGGCGACGAAGGGAGGAATCTGATAAGGTAGATCGGCGCCAGAGAAGTACGTCGACGATGTCTGATCCTCCAGGAGGGTGGCCCCCTCTGGGAGGGGAATGTTGGGCAAGTTCCTTGGGGCATGCGTTAGGTTGTAGGTCACGAAGAAGCGTATGGGAACGAGGTGAGCACACTCATAGATCAGGTCGAAGACTTGTTGTCCCTTCAATGGCTCCAAACAATACCCCGTCAAGGCAGTAGCCTCGAGAGCCACCGCTTGAATCGTCTTCCGGGCGTCATGAACCGCGGAGATCAGATTCAATTTGGCGGTTGCGACCACCTCGGGCGATAGGTCGGTCATGGTGATGCTGGTCAGCTCAGGGAAAAAGACCTCGAGGGCGCCCACAGCATCGGTTCCGGATCCAGTTCCAATCGTGGCGAACCGACGAACGGGGCTGTAGCCAGCGAGTTGGAAAGATCGGAAGGCCTGGAATGCTGCCATCACCGCCCAGTCTGCGGTGGGTCTCTCGACCTAGAAAGTGGGAAGTGGAAGGCATGAGCATTGTTCTGACTGTCAAACATGAACATAAGCTTTTTACCTTGGGTTGATAGCTGAGATCTGAAAGACTGATCTTGAAGGCAGGCGAGACATGACGAGGCTTCACCCCATAGAAGGACTCAAAGTGGATAGAGAGATCATTGCGAGCCTTGGGCACCAGGTCAATGGTAGCCCTAGACAAGTCGTCAGCAACAAGTATCTTCTCCTCCAGAACCGCAGTAGACATGCTGACAAGTGGGTAAACTAAATGGTGTTACAACCACATCGAGCATCTCAGACCTCAAAGTCGGGCTGACAACAACATTAAGTATCAATAGCACCTGTCAGAAGGCGCCCTCTGCTTCGTGTTCATATTACTCCGAGATGTCGCGTTCAGGAAATAAGCATATCACCGTTGTTGTTGTTGTCTATTTCCCCGGACCGAGTGTGCCAGGCATGTCATCTTCATGTCTTGATGGAGGCTTCTGGTGCGGCTGACGTCTCTTAAGGTGGGATGCCCGAGGTAAGTAACCCCGGAAAGTTTCGCTATTGGATACTCTCCTGAGTGTCACAGAACGCTCGGATCCTCCGAGTCGAAAGGGCATGCAAGTGATTTAGTTGATACAATACGAATGATTGATTCCATTTCGGTAGCAGGGAGAACACACTGGCAGGGCGCACACCGGCCGGGGAAACCGCGGACCGAATGTTTGCTGTTGACGCCACCATCCAAGAAACTATTGATTTATAGCTTCGAAAAGACTGCAGCTTAGCGTCTGCACCTGCAGCCCTCCAAGCGACGAAGAAGCAAGCGAAGCGAATGGTTCGTTGCCAAGCTGCCACGATGCAGCCCCAGATCCCAAGGCAACGATTGCCGAGCCTGCTTTGGCCCAGACCATGCGGGGATTCCCTTCTTCTCAGCTGCGAGCTCAAGCGCCTCTGCCTGGCAGTTGCACTCCCAGCCAGTCGCAACCGATCGCTTGTCTCTTTCAAACCCACTTTGGGCTGCCATGGACTTCTAGGGAGGTTTGGTCGAGCCGGTCTGTTTGACAAGTCGGAGGAAGGAGGGAGGAGGGCGGACGGCTGTTAGTTAGGGCTTCTTGCAGAACATGTCGAGGACAGGACTATAAAGCGCGATGAGTTGCCTGCACCGATGGAGTCCGTTTCTTCTCTCATCGCGCTCACAATGCAGCCTCCAGTGTCCTCCGAGGTACAGTGCTCCCACCTGGAGGTCCCCGATGCCAAGTTGTACTATGAAGTACGTGGTCAAGGTCCCCTTCTCCTGCTCATGGCCGGGGGCAACGGCACCGCAGCCTTCTTCGCATCTTTCGCATCTCTGCTGTCATCCCACTTTCGAGTAGTGACGTACGACCGACGAGGATTTTGGCGGAGTCCTATCAAAGATGCGACCAGCTTCGACGCATCCAGACTGTTAAAGGCGAACGTCGAGGATGCTGCTGCCCTGATCCAACACCTCTCACCCAGCGCATCGGCTATTGTTTTCGGATCCTCCTGGGCAGCCAACATTGCTATGAATCTGCTCAATGCCCATCCTCAGCTGGTTCGCAAGGTCGTTATTCACGAGCCTGTCCTGGGGAATCTGTTCACCCCGACGATCCTACAAGGATTCACTGAGGATGTCGGTCGAATCATTGCTACGTTCCGCCAGCGGGGAGTGCCGGCGGCCAATGCGATCTTGACTGCCATCACGAGTAGTCAACGCGATCGAGAGCTGTTCGTTGCCTCGCCAGTGTTCAAACAGCTGATGTCCATCCCCCCGAGCAACCAAGACTGGTACTTTGGGGTTGAAATGGCTGAGTGGCGGCAGTTCACCATCTTCGAGCCGGAGGTTCTCCTGGACCATCGGGGGAAGCTGGTGCTCATGCGTGGGGCAGAAGAATCCCCCGATTTGACCGCGCAACCGATCTGCGTCTTGTCCGACCGACTGAATCTGCCTGTCGTTGACATGCCTGGAGGTCATTTAGGCTATATCACCCATCAGCAGGAGTTCATTGACAGCTTGAGGCAATTGTTATCGCATCACGAGCGGGCTCGGTTGTGATCCATGGTTCTGCGAGAGTCTTCCCAGTTTCTTCGCGTCATTGTCGCCACTGCCCTGCCCCCAGATAAATCGACCCTCTCCACCTTCTTTCAATCTCGCTGATGTTAGACGTCCCAAGGCCACTTTCACCAACACCTCAAAACACACCTCAAAACCAAACTCAACCATGTACCAAGCGTTTATCAGTCGCTCAAGGCCGGCTGTGTCCAACCTCGGCCAACGCATCCAGTCAGCGGGTAGGGTTGCTTGAGATACAACCAGAGACAACTAAGAACCTCATCACTGAGTAAAGGTGATAGATCCCTCCCAGCGTCGAAGACACATCGTACGCTCGGATACCTATCGCCGGGACAGCTTCGAACCCGGTCACATCCCGCTCAGTTCGCTGCGGGTGCAGGCCGCGGCCTGGGGCGTTGCAGGGGCGGGCATCTTCGCCACCCTGCATGGAGTGTATATGATGCTGCGATCGTTCCGGCAGATCCGCTACCTCTAGGATAAGGAGGAGATGAAAATGATGGATGGTCTAGCGGGGGGGGGTTCGCATTGCTTCTAGCTTCACAGTCTGTACAGCAGCGTGTTTTGATTCGTTATCTCCAAATGCCAAATACCACTTTTATGCCATGTCCAGGGAAACATCCAACCCCCTTCAACCTCCTCTACTGCACCACAAACTGCTCCGTATGACTCTTGTACAACACACTTGAGTCCAGAACTGCGCCCGTCTCGGATCGAATGAAGTCCACCTGCAGATGCGTCTCGTTCAGCACCCGCACGGTACTGTAACTGTAGTCATCGGCGTAGACAAACACCGTGTACGAGGGCTCGGATCCGACCGAGCTCAAGCCCTCGATATTGCCCGCTCCACCGGCGACGATGTACATGGGCGCCGCCGGGTCATTCAGCCCATTGGCATCCGCGGTGCCGTTGTAGACGGGCTGGAAGCGCTGCGAGTTGTGCACGTGGCCGAACACCCCCAGATCCACCCCGTACTTGTACAGGAGATCCTCGAAGGCCTCCTGGCACGCGTCGCAGATGTTGCTCGACCCGCCCGTGGAATACCACGGTCGGTGACCCGCCACGATCACCCACGGGGTCACACTGCGGTCGACACTGGCCAGGTCCGCCTCCAGGAACGCCAGCTGCTGCTGGGGCTGGCCGAAGGGGCCGCCGTCCAACCCGGCAGAGCCGTCCGGGCCATCCGGGGCGTCGGTGAAGTCGGTCTCGGTATCGATCATGGTGAAGTGCACCATGCCGTACTCGAACGAATACCAGAACGGGGGGTTGGAGAGCGTGCGCGCGGTCGCAGCCAGGGTTTGTGCGGTCGTGTTGGTGGAGGACGAGGCGAAGGCCGACGGCATCGTCTCGTCAAACCGGTGCATGAAGTCGGTGAAGTTGCGTTGCCCCTCCGGGCAGAGATCGATGAGCAACGACAGCTCGTCGCAGTCGGCTTCGTGGTTCCCCGGACTGACCATGTAGGGCTTGCCGGCGGCAATCGGAGCGAGCTGGTCGTAGAACTGCTCCAGAATGGCTTGATAGGCGTCCTTGCCGTCCAGCAGGTTCTTCAGCTTCAGATACCAGTCGTCGGCGTAGGCAAAGTCGCCGGGGTGAATGACGAGCTCGTAGTCGTCGAATGTGTCGGCCAATCGTCCGATGGTGGTGTGGTTGAGGTCGGGCTCGACGTACGGCGCCTCTCGCTTGCTCGTGGAGGAGTCGCTGGAGAGGGTGTAGCCATCTGCCCCGTACACTCCCAGGTCGATAACAACATCGAAATTGAAGGGGGTTTTGTCCCCGGGGGTCCGCGGGCTGAGGAACTGCTCCACCGTGGAGTTGCCAGACACAATCTTGTAGTAGTAGGTGGTGGCCGGCGTAAGGCCCGTCAGAGTTACAGCATTGGAGTAAGTGCGCGAGGTGGAGTAGGTCGTCGACTTGGTCGAGCAGGCCTGCTGGCTCAAGTCACTGCTGGAGATGCCGTATTCGACACAGCTCGAGTTCAGCTTCTCATAGGTGTTCCATCCAATTGAGACCGCTAGACAGAGGGGTTGATCAGGGACTGTCGGGTTATGGTTGGGAGAGGAGGCGCTCACATGTGGGCCCCATGATAGCCAGACGCTGCTGGTACGGGGTGGTCAGGTCATTAGGCAGAGTAGGATAGTCCACGGCCAAGGCTGCAATCGCCAACAAGGGGAGTCCCTTGAACAAAGTGGACTGGTGTATCATAGTAGTGGTTGTCGCTTGCGTCTGATGCTTGTAGTCTTGTTGTTTGCCCTCATATGCTCGAATTTATAGTCGCGGGCAGGCGTAATCCCGCCGTCGTGAGTGGCTCGGGCCAGTGGCCCCAAGTGCATGCTGGACCTTGCAGATTCCAGCTTGCATGATTCTTGTTTGATGCAGAATCAAGATTACGGCCGAACGTGCCTCGGTCCGCGCCTCTGTTTGGGAATGGAGTTGGGAGGGCAATGATGGGGGATTGATTAGGGTACCTGATCGGCCAAGCACGTGGGGAAAGCGTTGGCCTCGCCGTGCTTCATCCTCCGTGCCGGCTCTGCCGCATAGATTGCCCACGGGGGACGGTAGACCGTTTTCTGCAAGCATCTCCGACTGTCACGTTGGTGAGTCTGCGGGATTCTACAGGCACTGCCAGGCAGCAAGCTCGGTGGAGTCATTCGTACGGACTAAATGCCTATTTGGGAGGGGGGTTGCTGCATCACCACCTGGCATTCCCCACCTCATAGTCCGGCGTACTAAGACCGGGCATAGTGGCATAGCTTATATAAGCAGGCATTATCCACGAATGTCCTGTGCTGTACTGTCGAATTGGCAGCGGAGGAGTCGAGGAAGCGAAGTGTTTTCAAGTGTATGACAACCCTGCCTCATAGCTGGGCGGCGAAAGCGATTGAGCCACTTCGAATGCTGGGAGCTCATCGCCGAACAGGTCGCTGTGCAACTTGTCACTGCTGCTAGCTAGCTGATGGATACGGAGTGGAAAGATCGATCCGTAGGACCTGACCGAAGTCCTTCGGTCCAATACACGATTTGTTCGGTCATTGACAATCTCCTCGCCCGTAATGACTTCAATCTTGAGGTGATGGTCGACGGTGATGGCTGGGGTCTTGGCGACCTCACTCGGATGAAGCCATCCACGACTCGGGCAATGGGACTCTCGGTCCAGGTCATCCACAGCATTGATGGCTTGTGGTATCGTAATGTCGAATTGGATCTGAGCCCGATCATTCGTCTGACTCGGTGAATTTGACTGTCGGTGGTTGCTGGTTGACAATGGGATCTTGACCTCTCCGTGACCTAGGGCACGCGTCGACCTCTGACCAGGACTGAGGCTTGTCTGCCAGTCGCCGTTGGAGATCTCTGTGAGGACAGCTTCTTCTCGCACTTCCCACTTAACTGCGTTGACTATCACATATTTCGCTTCTCCCGCTCGGTCTCCGAGTGCGTAGAGATTCCGGACCAGCAGTAACACGGAGAACTGAGCCCTAGGTGTGTTGTGAGTGGGTTGCCGCTGTGTGATGCTGACGTCGAATGTGAGAGGAGACTGAGGAAACATCCGAGTGTGTTTGGCTGTGAGATATGAGCTTTGTACGAGGCGATGGAAGATCCCCAGCGGTCTGTATAGAATTTCTGACTCCCCGGAGGCCAGAGTCACCGTGGCCCGGATCGCGTAGCTGATGGTTCCCAGGTCTGTGATCGTCGTAGCAGGAAGGTTATCCGGCACTGGTACACAAAAGGGAAACTGGAGACACTTGAGACTAGTATCTGTCAAATCCGGCGAGGACCAGAGGTTACACTTGAGCACGGTCTCGCAGTATGTCTGAGCTGTCGTCTGAGCGGTTCTTGGTGATATCATCCGCCGCTTAAATGGGAGAGAATATCGCCAGTGACCCCCGGTGATTCTGCGAGCGGACTCCTTGGCTTCAATTTCCACTATTCGTAGAAGACTGATAGTGATCTCTGAAGGGGTTTGGGTGTCCGTCGTGACAGAATCCGGTGAGATCCAGAGCGACCCAGACAGAGGCAGAGTATATAATCCCCGATCCGGGTGGATGAAGATAACATGCGAAGTGGGAGTGTCTAAGCGGAGACGTGGTATGGCCATTTCGGTCGACATATAGATGTTGGTGATGGAAGAGATTGACAGTGAAAGGGGTGCTTGAGAAGAATTTGAACAACAAAAGCAACAATGGTCCAATGGTCCAATGGTCTAATGGTCCCATAAGTAAGATATTGATGCCATCGACGTATAACTCCCACGTCCAGGGTTATAGTGGGTGGCAGCCAGACTAAGCCCGAAAGGGCAGCCAAGCTGTAAAAATAAGCTTTTGCATCGTTTGCAGCTCCACCGTCGGTGCCTGAACGTCGCCCGCTTCTTCAGGCCGCAAGCGCCCCTTCCCCTCTCCATAACAGAAGCATTGCCCTGCCCTGCTCTGCCCTGCCCTGCTCTGCCCTGCCCTGCTCTTCCCTTGGAACTCAGTTCTTGTTGAGTCCGTCTCCCTCTCCATTCCTCCAAATCCGCCCAGCCTGCTCTCTGTCCGTCAGTTCGTCTATTTTTACAGCTCGATTTGGAAGGCAATTCCACCATCAGGGGTTTCCACACTTGGCCATGCCTCCCAGACTCCATTTGGTCCGCCACGCAGAGGTGCGATATCCATGGCCATCGGCTTCCCCCATTCCTGACTTGACCGACAATCAACTCTAGGGCTTGCATAATCTCGGCATGGCCTACTGGTCTCTCGAGGACCCGCCTCTGACCGAGAAGGGCAGGGAGCAGTGCTCCAAGCTCAGAGAGCATTTCCCCTCGCATCCCAGCGTTGAACTTGTCGTATCGTCGCCCATGCATCGTGCCATCGCGACTGCAGTGGAGAGCTTCCGGCCGCTGTTTGATCGTCTCCCGGGCTCTAGGTTGGTGGCACTGCCGGATCTCCAGGAGATCAGCAGCTTCCCCTGCGACATTGGAAGTGAAGTGACCGCACTTCAGGCGAAAACGGAGGAGTTGGGCGTTCACATAGATTGGAGCCATGTGGAGGACGGGTGGACGAGCAAGGTGAGTCGAACAGCAGTAAAGTACACCCGATGGGTGCCAGAGAGACCCGTTGGGGCTGACTTTGGGACGCCTATCATATCTAGGACGGACGATACAAGCCCACCAGAGAAGCGATTCAGGAGCGGGCTCGTGCCGCCCGGCGGTGGCTCTATGAGAGGCCAGAAAAGGAGGTGGTGGTAGTCACGCATGGGGCCTTCTTACACTTCCTGACCGAGGATTGGGAAGACAGTTGTGTGTACGAAGGGACGGGCTGGGCCAACACCGAGTATCGCACGTATGAGATGACCGCCGCTCCGGAGGATGACGAGATCTCGCTGGTGGAGTGTGACAGCTCGCGGGTCCGCCGTGGCAAGACTCACGGGGCATCTTCACGAGATGAACAAAGTCGATTGTATGGGATGGCGCTGCAAGGGTGGGAGGAACAGGGCTACTTGTTAAATGGGATCACCCAGACGGCGGTAGTGGGATAGGCAATGCTCATGCACAGGACCTCGTCAGAAGTGTTCATTAGCTATCTTTAATCTATGAAATGGATAACATACACCACGTTCATCACTTCTTGTTCACCGAGTGCAGTATTGCTGCTGGACCATGAGACATACAAAATAGACAGAATATACAATAACCCCGCCCGATCACGTGCGGATCACATGACCCAGCAAAAATTTGAGCGTCCAACCTTGACGTCAACCTGGCATTTACAACCAACCGACTAACTAGCTAGATATCCCTCAGATTGATCGAAACTCATCTCCTGCATCCCGCCTGATGCTAGGCGTCTTTAGTCATTTACCCCCAAGCACTGCGTCCGACAAAGGTCAGTCTCCCGCAGCTGGCATCTTCCCCTACAGCCACACTAACCACAAAAGGGCGGACCTCCAGACTGTACCAAGTGCAAGTCGCGACGGATCCAATGTGACCGGAGCTTGCCCAAGTGCCGGAAATGCATCTCGCGTAATTATGACTGTCCAGGCTATGGGCCGGTGTTCAAATGGGTCCAAGGGGTGGCCAGTCGGGGCAAACTAAGCGGCCAGGCAATTCCCGTGCCCAAGAAGAATGAGAACGGGGAAGAAGAGCGCAGGGAATGTCGCACTCCGCATCACTCTCAGCTGCAGAATGCGGAGTTGACGGGATCGGAGATCTACACTCAACCAGAGAGTCCGGCAGAGGCCCTCTTGTCCCACTTGCTAGCTCATTTTGACCAGCATGTCGCGACAAGGCTTGCATGGGTGGATGGGCCCGACAACCCCTGGCGAAACCTCGTCATGCAATTGACGCATTCGTCTCCGGTGGTCCTCTACTCTGTTCTCGCAATGGCCTCGGAAGACTTGATCCTTCGCTATGAGGCCGGGCACCGCCTGCGCCGCCTGCAGGCTGCTTCGTTGGACTATAAAAGCAAGACCCTGTCGTTGCTCGGACAGCAGCTGGACATGCTGCCACGAGAAGGCTCGGGGTCGCCCGGGCATAACCACCAAGTACGATGTATTCTCGCCGCAATTCTGCTTCTGTACAACGTGGAGCTGCTCACGGCAGAAGATGCGCGTTGGCGAGTACACATTCAAGGGGCGCGCGCGGTCATCCAATGGATGTCCCAGGCCGTCGCTCGTCGCAATGTGGAAGACCAAGTGGATGTCTTCCTGCTCTATGAGTACTACTATTCTTCAGTGTTCATGGGGCTGACGACTTTCGACCCTTTGGAGGAAACCTCGAAAACAATTCAAACCCACGATACGTTGACCGTATTCAGCGACTTTGTTCAAGTCATGCAGACGGTCACTCGTGCTGAGCGGGAGAAGCACGCTGGGAACCCCGACGCTATCCTGCCCACACTGGAGGATATCATGGAGGAGATAGATGCGGCGAAATCCAGGACCTTGCTGCTCAGCCAGCGTATCCAATTTCGGTCGGCTGACGCACAGCGAGATTTCGACCATCTCTCCCCCATGTACTACCATGCGTGCTTGATATATAGTCATCGGGTCCTAGGGGATTGTTCCGCCGAGGAACCGTGCATTCTCCTATCGCGTGACGCAGTGCTGGACCACGTCTCTTGTCTGACTCACAGCGCGTCGTTTGCCCAGGATCTGGTCTGGCCACTTTTCATCGCTGGCACGGAGTGCAGAGGATGTCCCACCAAACAGGCGACGGTGGAACGTGCGATGCTGGCCGTGATGCAGATCAGTGGCCGGCTGGACCGCGATCGCGTGCTGGCCTTTTTGAAGACATACTGGGAAACAAAGTTGAGTCCCGATGTGACCTGGATTCAATTCGCCCGGTCCAGAGCGGCGGATTGTCGTTTTCTGATCATCTGAAGCTAGTAAGGTTTTGTGCATGAGTCACTCAGCCCGCTGGACACGACACAATGACCGTGATCGGAGGCGTGTTCCGGTGTCAGCTACCTTGGGTAGCAAAGCATTTACCATGGAATGCGAGTCCTGTGATGTTTACCATCACCCGCAAACCAAGGGGACAGATGTGGCCTCTGAATGAGTCAGTAACTCCCCCTATCAGGCAATATTTATACATAAACGGAAGACGCCCACGCGAACCACGTCCATAATACCAAACCAGTTAATCCAGCACAAGCTTCGTCAACAGCCAAGCCGCTTGGATACACCATAGCGCAATGAATAAAATCTGCGGTTGTTGCTATTTTGAGCGCGATACTTACGCCTGGGGGTATATCCCACAGGTTGGCCTTCAAGCCCACGCAATCCTACGAGGCACCAGCTCGCGCACAACTCTGACCCAAACATTCAAAAACTCGGGACCTAGGCTGCTTCACGAGGTCTGCTATCGGTTCCCACTCTTCGACGGGGTTAGTGTCGTCGGATTTCGATGCCAGGTGGGCGATCGAGTCTTGCGCAGCGAGGTCAAGACCAAAGAGCAAGCCAGCCAAGACTATCAAACCGCCGTCTCGCGTGGCGCCTCGGCTGGGGTGCTTGACCAGTCCAGTCAAGACTCGGACATCTTTCTACTGCGGCTGGGCAATGTCCCGCCTCGGGAGACCATCACAGTGAGCATCACTGCTGTGGGGGAGCTGAAGGCCGACGCGCAAAACGAGGGCATTCGATACACCTTGCCAAATGGCATTGCACCTCGCTATGGGTATAGGGTGGATCAGGTCGTGTCTACTCTGATCAACCCAACACACAGGAAAGGCCTCAAAATAGTGGTAGACGTTTTCATGGAAAATCAAAGCGCAATTCGGATGGTTCAGTCACCCAGCCATCCCATCCGTGTCAGACTGGGCCGGACTTCATCCACCCCGGAGGAATGTACCGAATTCGCAAAGAGCTGTGCCTTCGCAACGCTGCATGTCGCCAGTGAAAGCCCTATATTGGAGCGAGACTTTGTCCTGGTGATCAAAGCCGATAAGACGGATGTTCCTCGCGCTTTGGTCGAATGTCATCCCACCGTCCCCAACCAGCGTGCCATGATGGCTACCCTTGTACCCCGGTTTCACATCCCTGCGTCCGACCCGGAAGTGGTTTTCCTTATTGACTGTAGTGGCAGTATGTGGGACAAGATCTCAACCTTAAAGTCTGCTCTCCGGGTCCTTTTGAAGTCGGTGCCCGTGGGCACCTATCTCAACATCTGCTCTTTCGGGACCCAGCACCAGTTTCTCTGGGCTCGCAGTCGGGCCTACGATGGCCCCGGTCTGCAGAAAGCATTGGCCCTGGTGGATTGCCTGGATGCAGACATGGGATGCACGGAGATGACGGCTGCTGTCCGAGCAACTGTGAAGCGTCGTCTGAAGGGACGGGAACTGGAGGTTCTGATTCTCACCGATGGACAAATTCACCAACAGCAAGAGCTTTTCGACTCCATCCGTGCCACTGCTGCTAACCACACAGCTCGCTTCTTTGCTTTGGGCATCGGTTCCTCTGCTTCTCATGCCCTTGTGAACGGTATTGCACGTGCTGGTGATGGGATTGCCCAGTCGGTCATGCTTCATGAGGAGCTGGACTGCACCGTCGTGCGTATGCTCAAGGGGGCTCTGAGTCCGCACATTTATGATTATTCGCTGACTGTCAACGCCGACGAACCAAATGATGGTTTCGAGGTGGTTGATCATGAAGAGCAGGAGCTAGTGCAGGAGCCAGACACCACCACCACCACCACCACCCCAGAAACTTCCCCTCGAAGACCTATCCTGCTCTTCGACCCCGACCTGAGGAAATATGACACTGATCTCACATCGAGCGAGCCTCCAGTTGTGCAGCCTCCGAGTATCATTCAAGCTCCACAGCACCTTCCAACCCTCTATCCGTTCATTCGCACCACGGTCTACCTTCTTCTCACATCGGCTCGAGCTCCACGCTCGCTGGCTATTCGTGCTTCCTCCAAACATGGCCCACTGACACTTGATATTGCCGTGGAAGACGTGGGTTGTGGCGAGACCATTCACCAGCTTGCAGCCCGCAAGATAATCACCGACTTGGAAGAGTCTGGCGGATGGGTAGCCTGTGCCAAGGACAAGCATGATCAGCTCTACAATTCAGTGACTCAGTCAAGGCTAGCCATCCAGGAATGTAAACGTCTGGGTCTCCAGTACCAGCTCTCTGGCCACCACACGTCGTTCGTGGCAGTCGATGAAAATGCTCTTCTGTCAGGAGAATGCTCGTCATCTGGTTCAACTGCCGTGGTGATTCTCCCACACCAACCGGACACGGGTCCAGACTCATTGATGGGACATGTCTTGCCTGGTTCCCCGAGGAAGTGTTATGCTATGTCGAGAGCTTGGAGAGGTGGTTCACCGGGGATTCTGAGGGGTGGTGCCAGAGGTGGTGTACGAGGTGGCACAAGAGTGGGTGGGAGAGGAGAAGGAAGGGGGGGAGGGCCAGCGGGTGCGAGAGGTGGCAGTCCCCTCGTGCCAATGCCCCAATCTGCGACTATCCCCAGCGCATCACGTCGACGGATATATTGCGTGATTGACTTGCAGATCTTTGACGGAAGCTGGCAATGGTCACCAGAGCTTTTCGAGGTTTTGGAGCTGGACGAATCGATGATGCGTAGGCAGCTTGTGCGTTGGTGGCAGCAGGCCGGCATTCAGCCGAGTCAAACGTTTCCAAACTGTGACGACGGTTCGCTTCTTGCCACAGTTCTAGCCATTGAACACCTGCAGGGACGATGTCAAGATTCGAGAAATATCTGGGAGTTGGTGTGTACCAAGGCAGAACGGTGGCTGGATGAGCGAACTCGAGCCATGGGGAAGAGAGGTTGGGATTGGGTCGGACGCTGCCGGGAGCACATTCATTCCCTAATTTCTGACAAGGATACTGAAGGACGAACGGATAAGGTATAAGCGGATCGGCTACTGGTTTTGATCTCTCTCGTGTTTAAAAGTTTACCAAGTTGATTATTGTAGCAAATCTCATACAAAGGCCACTCCGGCCCAGAACATCAGCACCAAAATCCCTACACCTGCAGCCCTGGCCCGGTGTGCAGCCGCACTCGTAGCTCCACAGCACTTACCATTATACGTGACATTGTTCATCTGGGCCGCAACCTCGAAGACCGATCCGGGGAAGTTGCCATCATTGTAGTAATCGACTAGGAGAAAGTTGGGGGGACGATCCCATGTGGCTGCCACAATACATATCCCAGGTCAGTGTTATCATGAGTGCACCGCAGGATGATCCGAGTCCCAAACTTACCCCGGCAATTGTTGGCCATGAGCCCCAGACTGCCGAACCCAGATACAGCATTGGTGGTGTTCAGCTGCGCGGTATCTGGGATCAGAATCTCAATTCCCTCCAGCATCACTTCAATGTCGAGGTTGTGGTTGATCATGTACATCCGCTCCTCGGCCTCCGCCGCGGTGATCCCCGGTGGTCGCTGCACCGTGCAAGGGAATGAAGCGTTGAGAGGAGAAAAGGGGGTCTCCCACATCTGGCTGAACTCGTCGAGGATGTAGGGGATCGAGCTCTGATCGGCCTGATAGTCCATGAACACGACCACGCGCTTCTCGGCCAGAATCATTTCTGACAGGGTCGGCCAGTCGCTGACATTCATCGGGATTTTCCACGGCTCGTAAACGTAGTCGATCAAGCCGGAATTCTGGATGGGAGCCGTGAAGTTGGAGGGATCCACGTAGTCGGAGTTGACAATCAACACCGTCACCACGTCATAGGGATTCTCTTTGACCCAGTCGGTGACGTTGGTGAGGTAGCTCTCCAGGGTGCCCATGTTCAGCAATTCGCACGAGGTATGACAAAGGTAGATGTCATCCTGATAGTAATGTGCTTCAAAGGAGACTGCCTGACAGTGAGTGAAGGCGTAATGTGCAACGAGGATCGAGGAACTGACCCATGCGTACGCCGTCCTCGAGCTGAGTGCGGACTGGGTATGCCTGATTGGCGGCGACATTGTTTTTCTTCACAAAGGGACTGTTGTGGGCGGTCACCATCGTGATGTTGGAGTATTTCCTTTCGCAGAATTCGGCGTAGCCATTGCAGGGCTGTGAGTTGGCAGCCGTGGTGGCCGTGGCGGTGCTGCTGCTGCTGCTGCTGGTCATGACCCGCGTGCCGCTGAGCTGAACTGCTGTGTCGGTCGTACTAGTCGTGCCTATCGCTGTTGCTGTGCCGTTGCTGATCGTGGAGTTGGTCACCGTACTGGCAACTGCAGTCGTCGACAGCGATCCATTCTGGGCCAGTGTGATAGTGGTGGTGTAGCTGAGATAACTGCCAGTGGGCACCACCTCCGAGGCCGAGGTAACCACCACGAGAATGTCCGAGCCAGTCGAGGCCGATGAGGTGCTACTTACGGTGGTTTGGTCGGAAGTGATCGATTTGGCGCTGACCAGGAACGTGAACGCCTGCAGCACGAGCAGAAACAAGCGCCTCATTGTGAGCATGGTATGTGTAGCGTTAAGATACTTTTGCCAAGGTGGGCATCGACGGGATATAATGGAAAAAATGGAGGGAGTGACGTCGTCGGAAGCAGTCGGAAAAAGCTTGGCCAGCCTAGTCTAGTACTCTAGTACTCTAGTACTCGTGCCTGACCTGACTGACTCGGGGCCATGTGGCCGAGCCTTTGTCGGCTTTTTCGTCGAGAGGATAAAACTTTGTTGCCTGCCGCGTCATCCTCGCCTGGAGTGACTTTTTCCGGGTGGAGCACGACCGAGGTTGGCCGCTGGTGGGAGGCGAAGCGGAGGGGAACCTTGCAGAACCTTTTTAGGAACCAGTCTGTTCACTTCAACCGCCTCAATGGGCTTTTGATCATGAATTTTGTCCCAAACATACTCACAGTTTTGAGGATGGAAGTGAATCGACCTCGATTGTATCGATGGTTTCGCTGGTAACACCGATCGCCATTGCCAAGTCGGATCTTCCCGAGCATCAGTGTCGCCTCAGGCATCAACAACGCCGAGCATGCTGCGGCCTGATCAGGCACAAAGGCACAAAGGCACACCTGCCTGCAAAGATCGGGCTGTCCCCGTGTTCAATGTGTCCCAGCAAGAGCAGCGGGTGGTATTGACTGTTCTGCCATTGCATTTTGTCACACCAGAAATGGAGGGTAGTACTACGGTACATATGCTACAGTACGCCCAGGAAGTATGGGTAAGTTGCCACGTCTTGCTGATCTTCTGCCGATCCGCAGCAACCTTAACCTTAAGCTCTGAATTCAATCTGACCAAGCCAGGGTATAGCGGGCGAGCAGGACGACAAATAAAGAAGGGGACAAAAGAGAAACGAGGAGAAAAAGGAAGAAGAAAGAAGAAAGAAAAAAGAAAAAAGCAGAGGCGCCGAGAAATGCCATGAATCGCCGTGTCTCAGTTGTAGTCGGCGGGTGTTTCATCGCGGCCACACGGCGCTTGAGTGTCCTGCGTGACAGCTTCAGGAGAGGCCCCATGAGCACTCCTAAATCATTTAGACTAGGGGCCTGTTGAAGCAGATTCGAGGGACCATCTATCCTAGTTTGAATGACTGATTCTCCATCACACAGGATGGTGTGTTAGAGAGTATGTCTTGGTTTAGGGCTGGGCCGAGGCCGGGCTGCAGAATTAACATGAAACCTCATTTCCCATTAATACCCATTTAAGGTCTCAACCAAGACTCCACCCAAGTCAATTTACTCCACCAGAGCCAATGAACAACCAGAATATCAGGCATCAACCACCCTGAGCCATCAATGCCAATCTCCGACAGACCCTGACACCACACTCGGCATTGCACCCTTCCAGGGTCACCCGGCTGGGGGTGGGTTCAGGGATAGCACAGTTGCCCGCAAGTATATCTAGCCTAGGATCCCACAGGGTGAGATCACTGTCCCTTCCCTTTGCAGACAGCAGCTTCACCAACTACCGCCCTCCATCATGCGTGGGCTTTTCACTCTTTCTTTGCTTTCTGCGGCGCTGGGCGCCTCTGCCGGCTTGACCGCATCCAACCTCGAGACTCATGTCGATGTGCTGGCACTCGACAACTCCTTCAACCCGATCGAAGCCGCTTACTGGACTAGCTTGGCGCATCACCGTCGGACTCCTTTTGCGGTTTCTCCCAACGGCAAGACGGCCTATTTGGCCTACCTCGATTCGAGCGGAACCGACGTCCATGTCACCGAGCTGGACCCTACCACTTTCAAGGCCACGGGCACTTCCGTGACGGTCAGTGGTGGTAAGGAAGGTAAGCCGATCTGGAGCCTGGGGTCTGGCGGATATACATAAGATACAAGCAAGCTAATACGCACGGTAGCCGGTGGCCTCGTTGCCCACGATGACGGCTTCGCTCTGTTGACCAACGAGGTGATGCCCTCTGGCACCACCAATGCGCCTCCCAGCGACACCCCCGTCCCGGTCTTGCACCGTTACACGAATGGCAAGCAGACCTGGAAGACCTGGCTCGGTGGCCCCGACGTGCACGCCTCCGATGGTCTGGCCGAGGCGGTGGACATGAACGGCGACCTGGTCTACTCGGAAGAGGCGGGGATGTACGGGGCCTACTTTGTGGTCAGTGACTACTCCGGCTGGGCCGAGGGCCACTACGGCGACAGCATCGAGTACGTGGCCACCAACGGAACTTTGTTGGACATCAGTGGGGCCTCCAGCGCCTGGGGCTGCAGTCACAACACCGGCATTGCCTTCGAGGCGGCCGACGAGCCTCCCTTCGCCAGTATCTGTGCGGAGGACCAGGGTGCCATCTGGCTGAACACCCAGACTCAGGGCATGACCAACAACGGGGTCAAGATCTCCAACGAAAACACCACCAACGGGGCCTCGGGCGAGCCCATGGGTGGCATGTCCGGCAGCTACAGCGGCCTGGCGCGCTTTGCCGACAGCAGCCGCTACATCTTCACCTGGGTGTCGCGGGGTGCGATCGATGTGACGGAGAACAGCTGGATGGGCGATGGATACACCCACGTCAACAACCGCACCAACCCGCGCAACGTCGCCCTGGCGCTCTTCTCCGACAAGTACACCAAGGTGGGCGCCCAGGCGACCTCAACTGTGGGCGCCGAGGATGGGGACAGCCAAGTGACCTGGGTCACCTCGGGCTCCAACGACTGCTCCAACGCCCATACCGCCACCTTCGGGAACAGCTCGGCCCTGATCACCTGGGAGGAGATTTCCGATCCGACCTGTGACTACATTGCCATGGGCTGCCAGGGCAAATTCGCCGGCACCTACTTCCAGCAGGTGGATGCGAGTGGGCAGAAAGTGGGGGATGCTTTCTCCAGCACCGATGTCTACATTGCGGGTGACATGGTGACCATGTCCGACGGTCGCATTTGCTGGCCGTATGTGAGCATGGACTGGGATCTGTCCGTGGTGGTGTATGAGGCCGACTCTTCCAAGTTCACCAAGCAGATCAGCTTTGCCTGCATGTCGCCTAGCGGCAGCTCCAGCTCCAGCAGCTCGTCGAGTGCTGCTGCTGCTTCTAGCACGGTTGCTAGTGTCTCTACTACTCAAGCCGCGGCTGCTGCTACTTCCAGTGCGGCTGCTGTCTTTGTGGAGACCACCGCAGCTGCAGCTGCCGCTGCAGAGACCAACGTTGCTCACACGGCCGTGGTCAGTTCCATGACTCCTGTCGCCACAGAGGCCAAGGTCGCCTCTTCCAGTTCCACCAGCCAGCCTCCCAGCTGGGCTACCGCCGCCGGTCAACGGACCACTCTCGCCACTCAGGGTCACTCCAAGACCTCCTCCGTCAAATCTTGGCCGACTGGGGGTTGGGAAGAGGGAAGTGCGCCCCAGTGGCAACAACCCTGGTCGGAGGAGCAGGAGGGCAGTTGCTCGTACTAGGACATGATCCGCTGCTAGCATGAATCAGGTAGTCGATAATCGGGGGAGAAAAGAAAGGCCAATTAGATGGAGGGGCACGCGCTGGTTTCATAGCTGAAACTCATTTTGTCTCTTTACACGGTAGTATCAATTGCCACAAAGTCCAAGCGACTCAGGCGAGTGTTGAAGAACTCTTTGCCAGCGGGCCTTTGGCAGACGAGTCGGTCGAGTCCAGTAACAATTGCACAAGTTCCCTCCAATGTAATTTGAGTTATTTATACTACCTAAGCACAGATTGATGCAAGGGGAAGCAGAGGTTAGCAAGCGACACCCGGCTCCGTACAACTTGCATACACAAAAGAATGCACCAGAATATACCCATGATACACTGTAGATTTTATTCATGTTTATTTCCTATTGTTAGGGCAACTGGCGGACTACCTCACCTGACCACTACAACCTTACATCACCTCACAATTCCCACTTCGATCCGATTTTGCCCAGTCCTCGTCCGGGTCCTCGTTCTTAACGGGGCTGACATTTGCCCATCGCGCAAGCAAATCCTCAACGTCACTCTGGCTTGTCCCCTCCTCTACGTCGATGGGGGAGAGAAGCGGCTGGCCGAGTCGTCCGGCGCTCTGCATCTCCCGGTATAATGTCGCGAACCGGGAACGGATTGTTGCTCGACGCCGCGATGCATCTTTCTTGGAGAGATTGCCGGGAATCCTGTTCAGTGCCATCCAGTCCCGGATGCTTCCCTCCGACACATGCTGCACCCAGGGGCCACCTCGAATCCAAGCCAGCTCGTGCTGCGTCCCGCCCAGGGAACTGAAAGTCACCAGGGAGCGGAACTCGTCTTCCCACCAAGCATAGGCCGAGTACCCCAGGTCCCGTAGCATCAGGTACACCAGATTGTGCGCGTATCGCTCGGGGCGCAGCATTGTGACGGGGTAATACTCGGGGCTCTGTCGGCCCCGGCAGTTCAGCCGGATATGGGACTGGCGTGAGCATCTCTCGGGCAGGTCCCGATGGCAGGTGACGGTGTAATATGGATCATCGGGTGTGGGAGGGTGCGCCGGGGGGTCGGGGTAGTCCGGGTCCAGGAGCTGCGACTGACGATAAAGGAAAATGCCTTGGGTCTGCGCAGAATCGGAATGGCAGGCCTTGGTGGGGTATCGATGATCCGTGTGGAAATGATGGATCGGCTTGGGGAACTGTTCGCGCCAAACCGGCCCGTCAATCAATGCGTGACAGCGGGGCCTCTTCTTCTTCCCCCCTGGCGGCGAAGGTCCAAAGTCCTTGCATTCGGGGAACTTGGCCTCACGAAGCACCGTGGCAGCCTGATCAATCTGATGATCGGAGACCCCCCAGGCGGAGAACCGTGGGAGAATCGGCGAGCCTAGGATGCTCTGGGCGGTCTCACCGGCGAGGAAGTTGCCAATGCCATGACTATGCAGGAGGCAGGAGACGTTAGACTCCAGCAAGGGATTTCCCTCTGGGACGGGAAATGTCACTGGTGGCGGAGAATCCATGGTCAGGAGCGAGTCCCTCGGTTCCGGCTCTGCATACGCGCCGGACATCTCCTCGACAACGACGACTACATGGACTCCATCGCTGGTCATGCTACCGTCATCGGAGCTGCCAAGGATTGGGATTTCCTCCATAATGCATGTTTCCACTCCACCCTCGGCTATTTGATGGAGCTGCTCAAGGCCAGAGTCGCTTTCAGAACCAGGATCACAATTAGAGTTCGACATGGTGACTGTCTGACGCGGAGAGTAGAGTAGGGTGTTGTGGTCTCTCTTGGTCCGAAAGTGCAGGCTAACGAGGCTTATATAGCAGAGCTCCATTGATCTTTGCTCTTTGTTGGCTGCAGCAAAGGAGGACTGGCGACCAGGCAACATAAACGGTCTCGCTGTCACAAAGGCCACGACGCTCTTTCATGCAGTCACCATGCTTTGTCCCGTTGCGTGTGCTTTGCTCTATTGGGTGATGATGATGGTGCTGGTGGGGGTCCTTCAAGGTCGGTAATCTTCATATGACTTGTGCTGCTTCTGTACTCTTCCGAGATCGAGCGCTAACTCAGGTCCCAGATCTCATCGAGTCGATCCTTGACCCAGTGGTTGACCATGGGTTCTAATTCCTCAGGCCCGACATCGGACCAGGCCCCTCGTCGGGAGGAGTGCTCACTGCTGACGAGGCCACGAAAGTGTTTTTGATGGGGGCCACGACCCTGGCGACATTGGAGTACTAGGTATTTTACTTACTATATTCACTATATACTCCGTTCCGTCGTTGTTGAATATTGGTAGATATCGATGCAGCCCTCCCGTTCTTATGGAGGCGGATCGATCGGTCGGTCGGCAAAAGCGGGTGGGGCAACGGGGCAACACAACAGCCGATGGGGGAATCAGAACCAGTCGGGAGGGAACCATGGGGGTATTCCCCTCAGAGTGTGGGGGAGGGAAAAATGACAAAGCAAAAGAAAAGTCTGACATCAATCAGATAACGCCCGGTAATTCTCCTCCCCGATCTTGCACCACCATCACCACCACCATGAACAACAAAGACAGTCGCATTGTCATCGTAGGGGCGGGCGTGTTTGGTCTGGCGGCCGCCCGTCAACTGGCGTTGGAGGGATATCGCCAGGTGCTGGTGCTGGATCGCTCGCTGCCCCCCGTGGCCGATGGCTCCAGCTCCGACATCTCACGCATGATCCGCTTCGACTATGCGGACGATGACTATCTGCGCATCTCCCATGAGGCCTATCGGGAGTGGACCAAGCCCCGGTACCAGGGCATCTTCTATCCCGCCCCCTTCATCCTGACGGGCAACACCAGTGCCCACGGCCAGGCCTGGATTGCCAGCACCACCGCCGCCCTAACCCGCCGGCAGTTGCCCTTCACCCGGCTCGACGATGTCCACGCCACCAAGCAGATCCACCCCGTCCTCAGTGGCGCGTTGGCCGCTCCCCCGTTCAATGGCTATCTCAACACCCAGGCCGGCTGGGCCGATGCCAACAAGGCCATCACGCAGATCCGGGACGACTGTCTCGAGCTGGGAGTCTCATTTGTGTGTGGTCGCAGAGGCACGGTGGTCGGCCTCGAGACCGATGCTGCCCACGAGATCAAGGCCGTGCGGACGCTGGTCGGCAGTCCCATCGAGGGCGACTGCTTCCTCCTCACGGCCGGGGCCTGGGCCTCGAGCCTGGTCCCCATGTATAATTCCACCCTGACCACCGGACAGGTCGTCGCCTATCTGCGCCTGACCCCGGAGGAACTGGCCAAGTACAAGGACCTCCCCATGTATGCCAACTTCTCCACGGGTTGGTTCAATTTCCCCCCTCATGAGGAGACGGGCATCCTCAAATTCGCCGTCCACGGATGGGGCTACACCCGCACGCCGGGCCAGGAGGAAGTCCTTTCCAACCAGGCGAATGTCTCGGCGCCCCCCCTGATCCCGCCCCGCGAGCGCCGCAACTTCGTGCCCGCCGATGGGGAGGTCCGGTTGCGCGACGGACTGCGCGAGATTCTCCCCGAGCTGGCCGATCGACCCTTCGAGAAGCTGGCCTTGTGTTGGTACACCGATACGCCCACCGGGGACTTCATCATGGACTACCACCCCGACTACAAGAATCTATTCATTGGGGGAGCGGGCAGTGGACAGTAAGTTGAGGGCTATTCAAGCAATAGCATCATCCAGGAATTAGGTTCAGGCTGACCATCTCCACTAGTGGATTCAAGTTCCTCCCCGTCCTGGGCGAGTATCTGTCGCTGGCGTTGAGGAAGGGGTTGCCGAAGGATCTGGCGCAGAAATGGAGATTTCGAACCGATTACGCCACACGCGATGATGTCTTCTTGGGAGACGGCAGTCGAGGCGGACCCGTTCGTCGTGAATTGAATCCCCAGGAGAGGGCGAAACTGTAGGGGTTGTCTTGTCTTTCGGTTGCAAGTTGAGCAAGCATGTCAAATATCTCCTGCGTCTATAAACCGACGCTTCTAAAGTGCGAATATTTATATCCGCCGGTCACAAGAGCAATTCCTGCATACTAGGGTGGGGAATAGCAGCCCTCCCAGACGATGCATACCACAGTTTACGCCCCACGTTCTCCAGACTGCATCCCTGCCGGTCTAGAGTAGCTAGTTAGTTAACTATTACTGATTTGTCATTTTATCTTGGCGAGAATCACCCTGGGAGAGGGTCTCCGGACCCCCGACGGCAGTCCGGAGAAGCGATCACGTGACGTGGTGCTGACCGGAGCCAGCATAACCCCCCAAATGCTGCCTCCCCCTCCTCCCAGGAGTTTGTCAACCCCATTTGGATGAGCTGTCCAAGTCGCATCGGTGAAAATGGTTCGGCGACTCACTGGCTCAGCGGCGCTGGCTTCAGCCTATACAATGCGACCGACCGCAATCTCCATGAACGTCCATCGGCGGTCTCCCGAAGCAGAAGCAGGAGCAGGAGCCATCGATCAGCCTCGAGTCACCATCGTGAACGCCAATCTCCTTATCCCTGGAGACGGAAGTCCTCTGGAAGATGCGGCCTTGGTCATCAGTGACAGGATCATTGCTTTTGTAGGCCGCCAAGCCGACATCCCCAAGAGATATCTGCGCGGACCGCACACGAGCCACAAGGTAGTCGTCCTAATGCCCGGTCTGTGGGACTGCCACATGCACTTTGGGGGCGAGGACCAATACTACAATGACTATACGGCGTTTCTTGCCACTCATCCGGCCTCTTCCGGCGCCCGACTGGCTCGGGGCTGCTGGGAAGCCCTGCAGAGTGGCTATACTTCCTACCGCGATATGGCCGGGTATGGGTGCGAGGTCGCCCGGGCGATTGAAGATGACTCGATCGTCGGGCCCAACGTCTATGGGGCCGGGGCGGCGATCAGCCAGACGGCCGGTCATGGGGATATCTTCGGCCTGCCCGCCGGGGAGGTGCTGGGAAATTTCGGGGCACAAAGCCCGCGCCCCGGCCACTGGGGGGCAGGACCTGTGTGCATCGTGGACGGGGTCGAGGAGGCTCGACGCGCCGTGCGGCTGCAACTCCGTCGGGGGGCGAAGGTGATCAAAGTCATGGCCTCTGGCGGGGTCATGTCCCGGGACGATAACCCCAAATGCGCGCAATTCTCCCCCGAGGAGCTGAAGGTCATGGTGGAGGAAGCCGCCCGCCAGGACCGCATTGTCTCCGCCCATGTGCATGGGAAAGCGGGCATTCTGGCGGCCATTCACGCGGGCTGCAAGAGTCTGGAGCATGTGTCCGAGGCGGACGAGGAGGTCTTTGAGTTGATGAAAGAGAAACGCGTCTTGTACGTGGCCACCCGGACGGTGACTGAAGTGGCCCTGGCCAACCATGGCGAGGGACTACCCAAAGAGTCGTGGCGAAAATTGCGAGCCCTGGCCGACTCCCATTTGAAAGCCTACCAAGGAGCGGTCAAGGCCGGTGTCATCATTGCCCTGGGAACCGACACTGCCCCCGGGGGACCCACGGCGTTGGAGCTGCAGCTGGCCGTCGAGAAGGCAGGCATGACGCCCCTCCAAGCCATCAAGGCTGCCACGGCCAATGCCCCGCTGTCCGTCGGTCCACAGGCTCCCTTGACGGGCCAACTGAAGGAAGGGTACGAAGCAGATGTCATTGCACTGGAAGAAAATCCCCTGGATGACATCCGAATCTTGCAGGACAATCAAGTGATCACCCATGTATGGAAAGCTGGTAGGCTCTTTAAAGGACCGGGCGTGGGTCCCTGGGGGGAGACCCGAAATCCTTTTCGCTGAAGCCATGATTTTGTTGAATGGGTTTGAATCCTCGATGAGACCTCCCTCGAACGGTGGATGTATCACGCTTGAGATAGTGCGATAGAAATGATCCCATATCCGTACCGCGTGTGCCACCAGAGTACTGCAGCAAGCCGTGTATAAGATTAGCACAATGTGTCTCCGCTCGAGGGGCTACCCGTCAGTAGTGACACATGTCCCGTTCAAATCACATCGGTAATCGAGAGCCAGGGGCTTTGTGTTCCATGTGGCCCTCATGGGAAACTCCGGACCGACAGATTGATGTCCATAGATTGGGTAAGCCCGTCCGAAGACCACTATATATCATGCATCACGGCCGGATCGAAGGACATTTCTTGTCCTTATCACGGCTCTTCTACACGACCTAAGTCTGGGCCGCCATCAAAATGCTCATGAAGCATCTGATCCTCACTCTCTTGACTTTGGTGTCTACCCTGTTCGGCTCCGTTCTCGCTTTGCCGGGCGAACCAAGCGACCCCGACTCAGATGATGGGGCTCCACCCAGCGGAGGATTCCTCCCCCTCGTCAAGACGTTGCAGAGACTTGGAATCGCTGGCATCAAGCTTGACCGCACCCTCGAAATGTCGCAAATCACGCCCGAGACCCTACAGACCATCCGGCAATTGACCCAGGACATCGAGAACATCGTGACCCAAGCCACGGCTGAGGCAGACGCCCTGGAGGTTCTGGACCCCATCCGCAGCACCAAGCTGACCAAGAATGCCCTGCCCATGAAGCCAGTGTTTGGCCACTTGCTCAAGGTCATTTCGAATGAGGTAGGCTGATGCCTTCGCGCGCGCGGGTGAGGACGTGGAACGGGACTGATGAACGAGCACAGAAAGAGGGACTATGCGCAGCCCAATTTTGCCACGAGATGCAGGACTTCTTGACTTGGATGCGGATTCGGTGCCACGAACTGGCAGAATCTCTGCGAGGGATCGTCGGGTTCGGGGATGGAAAATTGATTGAAGTCTGTGCAGACCTGATCGACAAGCAGTATGCCATGACGATCACCGAGTATGAGAAGCTTATCCGATCTGGCCGCGACGAGGACCAGCCCGATGACCCAGGCGATGATGCGGGACCTCCTGGGCAGGGCCCCCTTTAGGAATGAGCAACGGGAGTGTCGAAAGCGAAACTGGATTGCACGGAAGACTTCCATGTAGTGCCTTGAGTACTGTACATAGAAAGTGGTCCCGGCCAGATAGGAACAAGGCGGTTGACTTGGAATGACCCTAAAGAGCTCTAAAGACCCCCGTCCCACATGTATGCCATGAGTATACCTCGTATTCACTACCCGGTGCGACGCCTGGCCGCATCTGGTCAGCCGAAGTGACTGAAACACATTTCTGCTTATGCTCTAGAGCGCATGCATGAGCCACATGGAACAATATCTTGTCATCCTTTCAGCAAACCATTCGCCATACTGCAATACTGGTTGGGAAGGTCCGTAGACAAAAGACAGCAATCGTTAAGACTAGTAGAGTGTAATGATCTTATCATGCCAGCAACCCTCATTGCTTCTCCAGGAACACTACCTGACTACCGTACTCCGTCTCGAAAGTAAATTGCAACCCCATATTCATCAACGTGGCACCCGAGTACCTCTCGTTCCCATCCACCGTATACTCTGCCGCCGGATCCAGTCCCTGCAGCCGCACCCACGGCGCCGCATGATTGACATTTGGCCTGAGCTGAAAGTAAAACAATACAGCTTGAGCACCGTCCTCCGAGACAAACAGTGCAGCAGGCCACTGCGAGTCCTCTGGTAGTCGCAGGCGGTACAGGTCCCCCGTCAGAACCAAGGGGTTGACCTTTTGGGCCAACGCGAGCAGCCCCGGAACCATGGCATCATCCTGCACGGTTGCTGGATCGAGTTCCAGACCGAAGGAACCACCCATCATGGCAACGTGCGCGCGAAAGGTGAAGGGGACCGTCCGGCCCGTTTGGGCATTGGGTACGGCAGAGAGATGTGCGCCCATGGCCGATGGCGGGTAGGCCAGCGAGGTGCCAAATTGGATGGTGATGCGGTCCACGCCGTCGGTATTATCGGAGGTCCAGATCTGGGGGAAGTACTGCAGCATGCCGGCGTCGAAGCGACCGCCGCCCGAAGCGCATCCTTCCCAGAGAACGTCGGGAAAACGGTTAGTGAGGGTCTCGAAGACGCGATACAGCCCGAGCATGTATTTGTGGTCATTGGATGGAGAGGGAGTCTCATGGAAACCGCGGTTGTTGTCCCATTTGATGTAGGAAATGTCGCCAATCTGCAACAGATTGGTCATAAAGTCGATGATAAAGTCCTGCACCTCCGGCAGGGCCAGATTGAGGACGAGCTGATTGCGGCGTTCCGTTCGGGGGTAAGGCCCAGCGTGTAGAACCCAGTCGGGGTGTTCGTGGTAGAGCGTGGAGTTGGGATTGACCATCTCGGGCTCGACCCAGATGCCAAAGCGTAGTTTCGAGTCGGTCCCGTTGACGGTGAGGTTGGTGATTTCTTGCACCACGGGCGACAACCCCTCTGGAAAGCGAGCTGGATTGGGCACCCAATCCCCCAGTCCAGCATTGTCGGACACACGAGGGTACTTGTCGCCAAACCAGCCGTCGTCCATGACAAAGAGGTGAATCCCCAGCGCCGCCGATTCTTCCGCGAGAGTCTCGATACTGGTTTGATTGTAGTCAAAGTAAACGCCTTCCCAGCTATTGAGGAGGATTGGACGATCCGCCGTGGCGAACTTGCTCTTGATCAGGTGGTTGCGATACAGTCGGTGGAATTTGCGAGACATGCCTCCGATACCATCCTTGGAGTAGATGGCAACGCACTCGGGGGAGGTGAGGGTCTCGTCCGGACCCAGCTCCCAGGAGAGCCGGTCCGGATTGAAGCCGAGCAATGCGCGAGTGAAGCCCTGGGAGCCCTTCTCGACTGCCGCTGAGAAAGAGCCGGTGTAGATGAGGTTGAAGCCCCATGCCTCTCCCTGGGATTCGGTCGTGGACGGGTCGACAATGGCGAGAAAGGGGTTGTGGAGATGGGAGGAGGAACCGGTGTTGCTCCCAAACCTGATATCATTTTTCCGTTTAGTATGATGGCCACCAACCCTAATGCGCGACTCACCCTTGGACACCGTAATCGACCTTCCTTCTCTGGACCTGTGCCTCTCGGGCCCAGTCGCCCCGGAGGCTGATCATGTCGAGGTCTTCATAAGGAAAGTCGACGCTCAGACTAGCCAGAGCCTCGATGGTGATATTCGCGGGGCCTTGGTTGGTGATGTTGACACTCCTCACCACGGCGTCGTATTTGGGAAAGATGGAGTACGACAAGTCCGCCGCGACGGAGCTATAGTTGTCGTACAGGTGCACGACCAGCGTGGTCGTCTCCTGCGCGTTGCCAAAGGTCGACGGCAGCCCCGATAAAGCATGTTTGCCCTGGAACACCTCGTGGGAGGTGTACTGCAGATCGGTGACGGTATAGCCGGGGGATTGGCGAATGCGCACGGCGGGAATGCGGAAATCGCCGCGGCCCTGGTCGGGGAATTCGCGCCGGATGCGACCGGGCATCCCCACCCATCCATTGACGGCCGGTTCCTGGGGCGAGGGGATTGCGCCCGTAACGAGGCCTCCAAAGTGGTCGGAGACTAAATCCCCGGTGGTGTGGTTGACGTGAAATCGGTAGGAGAGCTGGTCGCCATTGAGGGCAAAGGTGGTGCCCTCCGCGACGATGGCTGGACGATGGCGGGTTAGTCAGCTCAGGTAGTTACTGGGTAAGGATTGGGGCATGACACACCTGGTGACTTCAACGTGGTTTGCGCGTGAACTACGGACACGCAAACGCACAGCGTCGACAGGCCCAGGGCCACGGCAGGACGGATCGACCCGACCATGATGAGAAGATGATGAAAGTGAGGGTGGCCGAAGATGCGGGGAAAGAAGGCAGTGCCTTGCCGGGTATTTATGTATTGGTTGTATTGGTCCTCTGGGACATGCATGGATGTCCCCAGTCAAGGGATCGATCGACTGCATCCGGGGAAATGTCGGTCAATGCTGCTGCTTGTTCCTTGGCACCCCCACGCCGCATTCCATTTACGGTGGGGATCATCATGCTTGGCAGGCATGGAGTCGAGAGATCAAGGTAAAAGTATTCTTGGCCCGCAGTTAATATGAGTACCTAGCTCGTTCACAGTACTCAAGTAGGACAAATGGATGGGCCCATGGGGTTGAGTGAGGGCTTGCATCTTGAACAAGGTTCTTCCACCCGAACCTCCCCCCCAACCAAGCTTGAATGTGATGGTAGATTAATGCAATATTATGCTAAAACGCTTTTGCAGAGCAGGCTTGAAATTTCTTCTGGATTTGCTATGAGCTGCTAATAGCAATGGTGTTCAGCATTTTGGATCGGGACAATGAAATGAGGTATGCCCATGATACCCAAAAGGAACACCTAAAAAGGCGTCTGGTCTTTATAAGCAACATACCAGTTGGGCGCTGTTCGATCACACCCATGGAACAAAAAATAGAAGAAGGGCTTCTGACGCTCAGAATACGGAAGCCACTTCAGCATGGCCGGCGTGATGCCGGGAATATCGCTAGTCCAAGTGTCGGCCAGCCACTGATTCCGGCTCCAGGTAATCCAACCGGACAAGGCCCACTCGTCGTTTGCGTGATCGGTGCGCCACCAGCGCACGATAGGGCTGATGTATCTTCCATCTAGCAGATCATCGGTGTCCTCGAAGTCGTAGATATCGCAGGCAGAGCGACCAATCGCGGCCAGCCCGAAGTCAACGATTACAACCCGCCGCGTCTCAGTCACTATGACATTCCGCGGGAACAAGTCGCCATGGCTCAAGTCTAGGGCATAGAAGCGCGTGTCGGCTTCTACCACCTGGCGTATCAGATCCTTGCGTTCTTCTGTCGAGAAGTCCGCCGGCCGCAGGTGCGCCATATCCATCCCTTCGATGTACTCGGTCAGGACCAGCCGGACCGATCGCTGCCGACCTTGGGTGTCCGCGATCATCGTAGACCACGAGCCATAGAACTTTGGAATATGCTTCCCCAGGCCGTGGCGGATCAGATAAGCGTAGGCTGAAGTTTCCCGCACATACTGGCGATTCGCATAGCTGGGGGGGTGGTCGTAAGGGTCAAGGTATTTCGCATCAAACAGCTTGGCAACCATCCTGGGGCCCAGCTGGCCCTCGCTAGCGTGACTCGCCTCCTCATGACCGTGAGGACCATGACTCTTGTCTCTTATCTCTTGGACCACCATCACCTGGGCGGCAAGTCCAATCCCAACCTGCAGCTCTTGGGCCACCCGCAACCGGAGGGTCGTGGTTCCATAGTCGGAGAGTGGCCGGTGCTCCTGCGCGGTGAGTTCGAAGCCTTCGTGGTAGGGCGTCATGATATCGATGCTTATGTGTTCTGCAGCTGGATGTCCAGGCCATGGATGTAGTATTCATGTCTCGCGACTATCGGCTCACTATATACTGGTAGGTAGGCAGAGAGATTCCCCGAGGCGGCGTCGGGACTGGTGGCCTCACCTCTTCGCAATAATAATGAGAATGCAGAAAGTGATTGTTCTTTATGTCTGCTGCTCGATTGTCGTACGTAGTTGAGTGCCCTGATTCGGATTGAGATTGACAAAGAGCCCCTTGTCTACAAGCCTGCAATACGAAATATTCCGTGGACTTCTGAAGGAAAGGATCATGACCGCTCATTATCTCCGAATGAAGATACTCATGGAGAAAGCCGATAAGACCAGGTCAAAGGATCTTGATGGAGAGTATGTGGATCTCATCCACTGACACATGCGTTGATGTGGAGTCTATATACAAAATCCCTATGTTTGGGTCTTAAAAAAAGTTTGCTAGAAAAAAATATAAAAATTATTAAAAAAAACTAGAAGAATAGAGGAATAGAAAAAGTCTAAGCTTGACTTCTATTATCTAATAATCACAAAGTTAAAAGACTTTTTAAAAAGTTTTATTTTTAATCGGACAAAATCTTACAGGTATAAGATTTTGTTTAATTAGAAATTTTTTTTTTAATATCTCTTTTATATAAGTTTTTTTTAAGAATCGGAGAAAGCTATTTAATAAATAGCTATTTAAATAGTTTTTTTTATAAAATTAAAAGATTTTGCTTTAGAAATAAGAAGATATAATAATATAAAGTTTTTAATTATTATTATTATTAGTTAGAGGTTGTCTGCTACCAGTAGATAATCTTTTTACTATCTAATTCTTATAAACTTTTATTATTCTTTTGAGTATTTTTTTTATATAAGTTTTTTTCGAAAATCTAAAAAAGCCATCTAATTAATAACTACTTAAATAGTTTTTTTCTATAAAATTAAGAGATTTTACTTTAGAAATAAAAAAATATAATAATATAAAATTTTTAGTTGTTATTATTACTAGTTAAAAATTGTCTACTATCAGCAGAAAGTATTCTTATTATTCAATCTTTACATATTTTTATTATTTTTTTTAGTATTTTTTTATATAAGTTTTTCTTAAAACTCGAAGAAAGCTATTTATTAGATTATAATTTATAAAATCTTTTTATATTAAATTAAAAAAATTTATTTTAAAAATATAATAATATAAATACATAAGATTTTTAGTTGCTAGTACTACTGGTTAGAGATTATCTATTATTAATAAATAAATTTTCTACTATTTAGTTTTTTTAGTTATATATTTTTATCATTTTTTTTAATATTTTTTTATATAAGTTTTTTTTAAAACTTAAAGAAAGCTATCTGATAGATTATTATTTATATAATTTATTTTATATAAAATTTAAAAAATTTACTTCAGAATTAGAAAAATATAAATATACTAAGCTTTAGATTATTTTTATTACTAATAAAAGATTATCTATTATTAGCGGATAATCTTTTCATTATCTAATTTTTATTTATTTTTATTAATTATTATTTTTAATATTATTTACATTAATAGATAATTTTTTTATTATTTAGTTTACTATAGTTCTCTACTATAAAAAATTTTTTATTATACCAAAAATATTTTATCTAATATTTTTATTTTATTAAAGTTTTTTATTTTTTTAATATAATTTATTTTATAAGTCTTGATATTTTTTATATTTAAATTTTGAAAGAATAAATCTTTAAATTAGTAAGAGTAAATTTTTATCTAAATAAAAAATTTAGAGTTTTATAATTAGTTTATATTAGAGTTAGAATCTTAAAATATATATATATTTATTAATTCTATTAAGTCTAAGTATTTTTTTAATATATCTGTTATTTTTTAATAAGTAATTTATATTAATTTTTATTACTATAAATATATATATATTAACTAATTAAAATTATTTATTATTATTTTTTAATTTTAATTTAATATAATAATTATATTCTTTCTATTATATTAGTATATATATATTAATACACCTATCTTTATATTATATTATTAATTTAAAAACTTAGATTACTTAATTTATATTAAATATTTAAAAAAGACTTGATTTTTTTATATTTTTTTATTAAATATTAAAAGTAAATCTTTTTATTATTTTAATTCTTTGTATTATTTTAATATTTTTTTTATTATTTATTCTGTTAATTATTTTTTTAAATATTAAAAAGCTCTAGAGAGCTGTATATAGTTAGTCTACTATAAATAATATTAAAAAAGCTAAAAACTTACTAAAAGGTTTTATTAAAGCTAGCTATTACTAATTAAAATATTATAAAGATTTTTAATTTTTATTAGAATAATAAAAATCTTTTTAATAATTTTTAAAAAATTGTAAACTATTTTAGTAACTACAATAAGATTATTTAGAATATAAATAATATTTATAAAAATAATAACTGCTTTAATAATATAGAAAACAGCAGTAAGCTTAATATAATAAAAATAATAAAAATAGTTAGAAAAATAATAAATATAAATATATTAGCTATAACAGATATAGCAGTAGATATAATAGTAATAGTAGTTATTAATAATAATAATTAATAATAATAATAATAATAATAATAGTTAATAATAGTAGTTAATAATAGTAGTTAGTAATAATAATTAATAATAGTAATTAATAGAAATAAAAATAAAAATAGAAGTAGAAATAGTAAAAAAAAAAAAAAAAAAAAAAAAAAGAAGAAGAAGAAAAAAAAAAGGTTTAATATATTAATAAATAGGATTTCTAGTAATATAATCTTT